GAGTTGCCAGGTCCGTGAGACTCTGTCTCATTTGCCACAAGCAGAGCAGGGGGACAGACACCAGCCTGGCCCCCTTTTATCCCACCAGAGACCTCAGGATACTTTAATAAGCAAAGCAAAGTGTGGAGGGCCTCATCTGCTGTGTGAATGGAAGGGTTGGGACTCCCCAGAAACACAATTCTGATCTTGCCTTCCAGGATCTAGATGTAGGAGGATTAGAATGGGATGCATGTAGGTAACTAATTTTTATATTATTTGAAAGGCAGAGGGAGACGGAGTTAGATGAAGAGAAGTCTTCTATCCACTGGCTTATATCTCCAATACCTACAACAGTTAGGATTGGAGCACAAGCTGAATTTAGAAGCCCCAAATTCTGTCCAGGTATTTCACATGGGTAGAAGGGACTCGAGTACTTGAGCTATCACCTGCTGCCTCCCAGGGAGTGCATTTGCAAGAAGTTGTCTTGAGAAACAAGGTAGCCAGGGCTCAAAACCAGGCCCTGAGGTATGGGATGTGGGTGTCCCAGTATTGACTTACCTGCTGTGCCACACACCCACCCTGATACTAGATTTTGACTGGGAAAGTGAGGAAAGCAACCAGCTGCTTCCTTTTAGTTCAGGGCTCCTTGTTCTTTGGATACCTGAGGGCTACTCTTCAGCCATGGTTTATATAGGCTGGAGAGAAATTACAAAGTCATCCTTGGCTGGCGGTGAGTACTGGGTCCCACCACTGGGGTTCCGGAGCCAGGTGGTCTGCATTGCTGCAGCGAGCCATCCCAGAGTGCTGCTATGGGCTCAGCCAAGCCTTTAAAGTGGTCCAGAAGGCCTAGTACAAGCTTGCAGGTTGCAACCTTGATGTTATACTTGCACTTCTTCCTTGTCCTGTGGTTCAGAGTGATAAAGCACACCGGAAGTGAGCTGTGCTAGGTGTAATAGTAATAATCCCTTGAATGATGTTGGGAACTGACTGCATGTCAAGTGTGAGAGCTGTAGGTATGTAAGTATTGCTTCTGGCGGTCCTGTTTCAAGGGGCCAGCATCACCCTAGTTTACTGTTGAAGCAACTGAGGTGCAGAAAGTGAGCCATGGAGCTGAGTCTGCTAGCTGCGGAGCTGCGTCCTCTGAGCCAGGTGCTGCTTTGGGGCCCAGGACACTAAGCAGTGGCCACATTCCGGAGCATGTAGAACTCTGCAAAGCTGCCTGTGTATCCTGGGACACTCCCAGGGCACCGCAGCCTGTCTGCCACACTGTCAGGTGCAATTGGTGTCGGCACAATGAAGACAGCCAAACATAATTTGAGATGTGCAGTTGACATTTGGGGCAGAGGAGGCAGTTTTGCCCCAAGGACCTTGGAGGCTGTGGCCCTGGCCCTGAGAATTAATTGCTCTGCTCTAAGGAGTAACACATGGACATTTGCTACGCCTGCTGGGTCATAACTATTGCTGGCTTTCACACACTGGACTCTTCCGTCTGGGCATCTGACTGTGGGAAGACTGTTATAGCAGGCACAGGGGAGGGCTGTATGCTTTACTGAGTGCCTACTGTGTGCCTGGCATCAGGCTGGACTCTTGCACTGTGTAATCTATCTACTCCTTACGACAGTCTGTAAAGACTTTGAGTTTGGTCATTCTGTCTCCTTTATGCCAGCAGAGGAGGAGTTACTGTCCTTACCCAGGCAAGTGAAAGTGTGCTGGGATATCCACCCACACCTCTTCTCATGGGCCACCACTCTTGCCACCCTGGTTAATCAGTGACAGGAGAGAAGGTGCTGCAGCTGCCTCCTGGGGCCTCACTGTAGGTGCAGTAGGTAGGCAGGGGACCCAGTGGCTCAAGATCCTAATGTGGGTGAGTAGAGAAACAAGCAGTGCCTCCCTGACCTCAGGGGAACTGCTCCTTAAAGAAGTTTGCAAACTACTTCCAGAGATTGCTGTTCCCACTCTGTAAATGTGCCCATTCCAGAATTTTCCTTCACAGTGCCTGAAGAACCAGTGTATCAAAATGAGGCCAATACATTCATTCTATCCCGGAATTTCCAGTGGCTCAAATGAACTTTCTAGAAAGCTATTTTTTAAAAATAATAAGAAGGAAGGCCCTCCTTTCCCTGCAACGCTGGATGGTTTCAAGTAGGGTGTCTAGTTGGAGGGTCAGTGTTGTCCAGAGCCCCAGTCAGTTGTATGGGATTTGTCAGGAAGAAACTCTCAAGCTATTGCAACCCACTGAAGCCTGGGCTGGCTGTGTGAGGCTGTGCAGGCGTGGTGGATGTTGGCTTGCTGTGTTTCTGAGAGGTTCCCCACCTCAACCATCCCCGGCAGCTCCTCGTGTGGGGATGCTTCGGGTTGATCGAACTGAGCTCCTCTTAATGTTCCTTCCCCGTACCTACATCCTGCCTGAACACAGCAGGGCACTCTCAGGTCCAAGAGCCCTGCCAGGCGCTGCTCTGTCATGGGTGACACTGCACTGCATCACTGCTTTCTCAAGGTGCAGGAATCTCCTGTTTCATGTGGAGGGGCGCTGGGGAGGCCTTCTAGGCAAGTTGCCATCTTTTTATTGTTCCAAGGGTTCGGCTGTGAAACACTTGAACTTTCACCTGTCAGAGTTGTGTTGTGAAGGAAGGCCGTTCACTCTCCAGCTTGTCAGAGTAGCAGGACAAAGTTGGAATGGATCCCAGGGAGGCTGTGATGGGGGAGGGCCCAGTTGGATGCCTATCTTGAGTTCATTGGAAACAGAAGTTCTGGGCATTCTATAAATTTGGCCCAGACTTCCGCTGGGTCATATTTCCCCTTGAATCTTTCTGACAAAGATTCCTTTAGACCCACATGTGTACGCTGAGTAAAAATAGAGCGAACGGATTTCGTGTTCTGAGTTCTGAATTAAATCTGCCGCATTGCTTATGGAAGGCATTTAATGCATAACTGGGATGTGTCGAGTTTTGCAGACTGAAGCTTGTGACTGGATGAGATTTTGTGGTCTGTTCAGGTCCCTTGTGGTGCCAGAGATCAGTGTGTCAAGTGAGCCAGGCTACCCCTGCTCCCTAACAAGCAGTGCACACAGACACATTTTTTTTTTAATTCTTTTCTTTGGGAGGTGGTGTCCACTCTTATGAAGCCAATTATTCCCCCTTAAGCTGGCGTGGACCATTGTTTTGGAGTTTCTGAGGATCAGTAGGTGGTCAAGGAGTAATCAGCTCTTAAAAGACAGCTCACAACAGAACATGTCATCCAGAAACTGCAGTTCTAGTCACGTTCTGCAAGTCTGGTTCTTGAGGCAAATTCCCTGGATATCCAAGTCCCTGTGCAGATTTGGATACTGCAATATATTTCTATTTGTTTCTGATTTATTTATTAACTGAGAACTAAAGACCTAGAAAGAGACTGAGACAGACAAAAAGAGCTCTCATCTGCCAGCTCACTTCCCAGATGCCCACAACAGCTAAGAATCAAGAATAGAGCCACTCAGCAAACCCATGCCTTCTGACTGGGCACTTGGGCATCCCGGCTGCTGGACGAGTGCCCATCCCATGGCTAGGGTTTTATGCAAACCCTTGCTGCTTCCTGGGCCACATACACTCTAAAGCAGGCTGGCTTCAGTGTTCCAAGGCCTGCATGCTTAGAGAGAGTCCCAGGGCCCTTTGCTTGGTTTACTATTTTTTTTCCTTTACCAAAATTATTACACAGGCAGGGATTGAGACTTAGACTACTCAAACAGTGACATCACCCATTCTGCCACCATGCTGCCCCCCAGGTGTTGGAATTTTGATGGGTGCAGAAGAGATTGGAAAGAAAATAGACACAGAGGACCTTCAGGGAATGGGAAGTGGAAAGAAATGGCAGTGAGATTTTGGAAGGGTCTAGGCAGGGATATGGCATGTTGTGTTAAGCACGGAAAAACTTGATCTTTGCCAATCACAGGGAGAAGATGTTTTTGTAGTGTATACTGTAAATTCAGCATGCACACGCACAGGAATATACACACACTCTCTGACCACTGACAAACAGGTTAGCAGGTGATATGGCCACTTTTTATTGTCTATATTTCTGAAATGATTTTCTTAAAATTTTATTACTAAAATGTTTAAAAATGTTTGAAAGAGTGAGAGAAAGAGAGATCTTCCATTTGTGGGCTCATTTATCAAATACCCACAACAGCTATACCAGGGCCAAAGCCAGGAGCCAGAAACCCCACTTGTCCCACATGTGGGTGGCAAGAACCCAAGGACTTAAGCCATCTGCCAGGTGCTAAATTATTAGCAGGAAACTGGATCAGAAGAATAAAATACCCAAGACTCAACCAGGTTCTCCAGTATAAATTGCTAGCATTGCAAGCAGTGACAACCCACCGTACCACAATGCTGTGTGTTCCAAGCAGATTTCTTTTAAAATTTTTAATTCCTTTTACTATGGAAAGTTTTAAGCATACTCAGAAGTAGAGACGATAGTAACATATATTCTCATGTGGCCATTATCCAGGATTGCTAGTTAACGGCATTTTGAAATCATTGTATCTGTTCCATTTCCAGATGTTCTCAAGGAAATTCCAGCGCCATATCATTTCAGTCTTAAGTATCTGAGTATAATTTTCAAATAGCTTAGGGTTTCTTGACTGTTGTAAGAAATCAAACCTACCACATGCATTGTGTTTCCCAAAAGAGTGACTGTGCCTATGTCTCTTTCCACAGACAGCAAAGCCATTGTGGATGGTAACCTGAAGCTCATCTTGGGCCTGGTATGGACACTGATTCTGCACTACTCCATCTCCATGCCCGTGTGGGAGGATGAAGGGGATGATGAAGCCAAGAAGCAGACACCAAAGCAGAGGCTGCTGGGCTGGATTCAGAACAAGATCCCCTACCTGCCCATCACAAACTTCAACCAAAATTGGCAAGATGGTAAAGCCCTGGGAGCCTTGGTAGACAGCTGTGCTCCAGGTAAGAGCCCAGGGCTCAATTCGGCAACGGGATAGTGGAGGCAACTCAAGAGGTGTATTTAGCATAGTTTGCAAGTATCAAGTCCAGGATTGGGTGGCAGCGTTGATGGGTCTAGTGAGGGTGGTATTGGTAGCTGGCATCCAAGAGACTGGTGTGGAGGAAGGATCATATGACAAGACCAAAAGCTGAGGAAAGGATGGAGAGCTTGGCCAGGTGCACACTGAGACTTTCATACCACTGTTTTCTTGAGAGCTGCCTTCCAAGTGTGTGCTGTCTATGAGTGCTGGGACTTCTACCACACCCTGCCTCCAACAGTCGCTGGATTAAATTACCTGGTACTTCTAATACTTTGTCACTTGTAATTTGAGGGTTTGGTGTCATGCCCGAGTAAAGGGACCAGATTATTTATTTGTACACTGTATCCCTGTCTCTACCATCCCTTTGGAATGGGGATATATGGACCTTGCTATTATAGCAAATCCAGGTATATCAATAGACATTCCTGAGCCTTGGATTCAGTTGCTTATCCACTAATGGTTTCTGTCCTTGGAGCAAGCCTTGGATTTAGCTTCCGTGCCCTAGAGTCTTGTGTCTTCCCGCATTGGTGTCTTTTTCCAACTGGTTTCAGCAGATCCACGTGGCTCTGTTAAGTGGCTTGGCCTGAAAATCTAAAAACTTCCATTGAATGGAAAGTACCCACTTCTATTAACCATGGGTTTGACTATATATGGCCGTTGTTGCCCTTTCTCTTTTTTATTTTGCTGTGAAATGGTACTTGGCCAGGCTCCAGTTGGAGTCTTTTCTAGATTCGATGGGCTTCTTGTTGTCAAGTGGTCAAGTGTACACCAAGGCTGTAATTATCCTTGCTGGAGAGCTAAGATTGATGGGTAAAGTTTGCTGGCACATACTCAATTGAAAAACCAGAACCAGTAGTTCTGCGCTTTTTTTAGTTTAAAGAATATATACTTTTATTTTCCATTTGCAAATATCCTGTATGTCCTGGACCCATTAATATTTAGTAAGCTTGTGGTTCTCAGGACGCGTAAAGTAAAACAAGCTGTTGTCAGCTGGGTGGGGAATCAGGATTCATTCTTCTGTGAGACACTGGTGCTATCCCAGGATCATTCAAAGTACTACGTTGATTCCTTTCTTTGTGCCCTCCTCCTCCTTACTCCCCAAGGCACAATTTAGGATACCTCATTTTAGTTTTAATCTGGGGGAGGGGCAGGGATCTTTCTGTGAAAGGTCACCTGACCCAAATGCTTTTTAATAGACTTTATCTGTTTATACTACTTTTCAATGAACAGATAATCCTTACATTTTATTTTTATTGTTTAAATATATGCGAGATTCAAAAAGGCACAGGAAAGATAGATAGATGGGGTGTGGGTAAGTGGGAAGTATGGAAGAGAGAATCAGCTAGCTAGCTCCCATGCATGGATTCACTCTGCAAGTGCCTGTAACAGCCAGAGCTACTGGGCAACCTGAAGGTAGGAACCATAAATTCAGTCCAGATCTCCCATTTGAGTGGTGGAAACTCAGTTACTTGAGTCATCATCACTATTGCCTCTCAGGAACTATATTAGTAGAGAACTTGAGCCAGGGCAAGAGCTGGGTGTCAAATGAAATAGTCTGATATAGTGTGATGGCTAGATTATACTATGCTATTCTCTACATCTGTCCCAATAATCCCTATCTGAATGCAAGAAGACAGCAAGACGAAGGAAAAGTCTCTGTTAGTGTGGCAAGGTGTCCAAGCTGTTTGCCTATAAAATCCATACTTCATTGAGATTTGGGAAGAAATTCCTCTGGGCATCTGACATGGTGTGCTTTGAAGTTAGGTACATAGTCTACTTTGATCTCTTCAGTCAGCTAATGCTAAAGCTAAAGCATCCTTTGTGCTGTGTTAACAGGTCTATGCCCAGATTGGGAATCCTGGGATCCACGGAGGCCTGTGGATAATGCCCGAGAAGCCATGCAGCAGGCTGATGACTGGCTGGGTGTCCCACAGGTATGTACAGGCATGCTACTGTCAAGTGGATGGCTCCCATCAACTCACTTGCTCTGCACCCTGGGCCTGCCTTTCTGGGTCAGGTCACCAGTCTGACACTTATGGCATTCAGCCACCAAGAGTGTTGCCTATGGTGCTGCTCCATTTCCATGGTGCTACTTGTTACTAGTAGGTTCTCATGGACTCAAGTGTTTGTGCTTGATAGTGCAGAAGTCCTCTTGTCATCCTAGTTACCTACTGGAAGGTTTTATAGTATTTTGCTACCAAACATTGAAAATATGTACCTTAATTATTAGCTTAAGCCAAATGTCAGTGCCATTATCTGACCAATTTTTGCACGTGCATATATATATATATATATTTAAAGATTTATTTATTTGTATTGCAAAGTCAGATATGCAGAAAAGAAGAGAGACAGAGAGGAAGATCTTCCATCCAATGATCCACTCCCCAAGTGACCGTAATAGCTGTAGCTGCACTGATTTGAAGCCAGGAGCCAGGAGCTTCTTTTGGGTCTCCCATGCAGGTGTAGGGTTCCAAGGCTTTGGACCGTCCTCAAATGCTTTCCCAGGCCACAAGCAAAGAGCTAGATGGGAAGTGGAGCTGCCAGGATTAGAACTGGTGCCCATATGGGATCCTGGGCGTGTTCAAGGTGAGGACTTCAGCTGCTAGGCCACCACACCAGGCCTGCACACACATATTTTTATTTTTAAAGATTTATTACATTTATTTGAAAAGGCACAGGTACAGAGAGAGGAGAGAAAGGGACAGAGAGGTCTTTTATCTGCTGATTCACTCCCCGAAATGGCAGCAGTGGCCAGGAGTAGGTTAGACTGAAGCCAGGAGCCAGAAACTTTTTCCAGGTCTCCTACATGGGTGCAGTGCCCTGAGCACTTGCTCCTTCTTCTGCTTTCCCAGGTTTGTTGGCAGGGAGTTGGATCAAAAGTGGAGCAGCCAGGACTTGAACTGGCACACTCATATGGGATGCTGGCACTGCAGGTGTCATTTTAATCTTTTGTGCCACAGCCCTAGTTGCTACCTATATTTTCAAAAGAGTCATTTGAATGCACTGTGGTGAGGGGACTCGGGATAATTCACCATTAATGGAAATTGTGGGAGGATTTTCCTGTAATCCAATCAGTAATGTAACAAGAGAAGGTGGAAATGAAGTGAGTCTGGGAGACTCCATCTACAGTGGACACATGCCATCTTTCATGTCCACTCTTCTTGGCAGCAAGGCCAACCAGTGTTTTCTGAATAAACCTCCCAATAGCAGTTCAACACAGTGGCTTCCACACTCCACAATCGAGAAGCTGCAGGCAGCTTAGGCTTTCATGACCTTATTCTAAGCCCTGTTAAGGTTTGAGTCAATGTTCAAAGGTGTGGTCAGTGTATTTCGCAACAGAATCCTCAGAAGGTAGGGATACTTGCCAAACTCTTAGGTATGGGTTTGTAGTCAGTCTGTTATATGATCCGTTTCTTGGCTAGTCCATCCTGAGGAAGTGGTGTGGTCTGTTCATCTCTTCCTAAAACTAAAACTGCCTCCTCTTGACGTTCATGTGATGTTGGCACTGTGAAGCCGTTAAAGGAGCTGCCAGGAAGAAGTGCCAAGTCAACGCACATCCTTTCTGGAATGTGTTGTTGACGACTGTTCAAACCCAAATGGCTGCTTTGTTCCCTCAGACTAATCATCAATATCTTCTGCTGTTGCATTTGGTTAATGTGGTTCCTAAGACAGAGCCTGCTATCCCTCTGTTGAGGGTGGGTTGTGGCCTGCCTTCCTGCACCATTTCTGGGGCAGGGAGCACTTTGTGTGCTGGGTCACACTTTGTGTGATACTGAGGCTCTGATGGCTTTAGGAAGGTCTCATCTTGTCCTCAGATGAATTTCAGGAGAGGACCATTCCTTTGTTTTTGAAACAAAAATTTTATATGGTTGTTTTCATTTTGTTTGAGGGCAGAGGGAGACAGAGACTGACACAGTTGAAGCAAGATCTTCTATTTGATACCCTGGTTGACTCTCCAGATTCAGAGCTAGCCCAGATCAAAGCCTGGAGCCTGGAAGTCGGTTTGGGTCTCCCAAGCACTTAGCCCATCACCTGCTGTCTCCTAGGATATGTGTTTATAGGAAGCTGGAATTGCAAGTGGAGCTGGATCCTGTACCTAGGCACTCTTAATATGTCTGCATTCCACATGGCATCTTAAGTACTGTGCCAAATGACTACTGTGCTTCCCTGTTTTTGAAGAAGGCTCTTTAGGAGGTGTATATTATGGTACAGTAGATTCAGTATCCACTTGGAATACCTGCATTCTGCATCAGAGTGCTTGGTCAAGGCCTGGCACCTCTGCTTTAGACCTAGCTTCCTGCTAATGCATTTTGGAAGGCAGCAGATGATGGGTTAAGTGTTTTGGCTCCAGTCATCCATGTGGGAGACCTGAATAGAGTTCCAGACTCCAGATTTTTATCTGACTCAACCCTGGCCATTGTGGGCATTTGGGAAGTGAACTAGCAGACAGAATATCTCTCTTGTCTGTTGCTCTGCCTTTCAAGCAAAGGAAAATAAACATTTTCAAAAAGACTCCCTCATATGTTGAGATCACATGTCTTGTATGTTCTTGTGTGGTCTGTTTTGGATTTATTTTTATTCTTTTATCAGTTAGAGAGGATTCAGTCAATTTATATATAAGTCAAAGAAAATACCATTTTATTTATGTGTATTTCTTGTAATATGCATTGACCCCATTTGTGCTTTTTTTTTCACATTTTTCTATTTTGTTGCAAGAGTGGGAGTAGGACACAAAGCTGTAAAAGTTACCTGTAGGGTGTTTTGGTAAGTTCTCTCAGCTTCCAAAAACAAGGGTGGCCCTTTGAATATGGACTGTGACCTTGGCTTAGTGATGTTTTGCTTAATGTAGAAGCTGAACCAATTTCTTAGTATTTATAGTGTTTGTTCTAAGTGATGGTGGCAAACATTTCAATACAAGGAACGTTCTAAAAGTTTCTAAAAAGTGTATTACGAAAAAACTGTGTGTGGACTTCAAAATATTTTCCATCAAAACAAACTTATCTTCACATTCCACTGTGTTTGCCAGGTGATGTGTTCTACATATTCACTACTGTGTTGTTATTCTAGGTCATTACCCCAGAAGAAATTATTCACCCGGATGTAGATGAGCACTCAGTGATGACGTACCTTTCCCAGTTCCCCAAGGCCAAGCTCAAGCCGGGGGCTCCTCTAAAACCCAAACTCAACCCAAAGAAAGCCAGGGCCTATGGCAGAGGTGAGTGAGGCTTGTCCTCCAGTGTTGGAGGATTGTGTACAATGTCCTCAGGGTCAGGAGTGTTCGTACTTGTTAAAAACTTTTTTTTTAATGTAAAGACTCCTTTATTTACGACCTGCTAAATCCAGGATTTTAATTTTATTTATTTTTATTAAATTTTGAAATAACTGTGTGTGTGTGTGTGTGTGTGTGTGTATGGGTGAATGGGTGAGAGAGAGGAATAGTGAGAGAAAGAACTTCTCCATCTGTTCCCTAATGCTGCAGTAGGTAGGATAGGCCAGGCCAAACCAAGCTGGCACTCGGTCTGTTTACCATGTGGGTGACAGGAACCCAAGAACTTGAGCCATCCCTATTGCCTCCAAGGTCACACACTAGCAGGAAGCCGATCTAGAACTAGAATTTACCACTCTAAGATGGGAGCTGGATGATACATGTGAGGTACTAGGCTAGACCTACTGCCTCTCCCCAAGGCTTTAAATATTGCTTTTGCTTTGTTATGATGGAGAATGGTGCATTTGAAGCTTTGTCATTTTAGTGCAGGGGCCCTGGGCTGAGAAAGGGCTCCTGCTCCCATTTTTTTGATGAGAAATCAGAGTCTGCTTGGCAGAGGTTGGGAGTTTGACTCTTGCTCCAGTCTATGTTCAAGATGAGAATAGCTTAGGTCAGTCTCTGCTGATTCATTTCTGCTTCTGTTATGCAAAAGCTACTTCTGATTTTCACATCGGGTGGGAACTGTTGAACCCATGGAGGTTGCTTCTTTACTCAAGACAGTTGTGACTCAAGACATTTGCAGGGCACAAGTGAGCTGGTCAAAGCCACCTGGAGGCACTTGGTGTCCTGGTTGCAGATGAGTTCAAGCACACAAGTTTTTTCTGGAGAACAGGTGCCTGACTGAGAGTACATTTTCTGGTAAAGATTAGCTCAGTGACATATATTGCCTTCCCTTTGCTATAGGGAAGAGAAGAAAGTTCATTTTGTGAATTTTTGAAATGACAACTGGAGCAATATTTGTATCCACACAATATCTCTTACATCTTCCTCCACAGTAGGCCATTGCTATAGTTTTTTCTTGTCTTTTGAGTGTGGTGTGTGTGTTTGCGTCTCTGTGTTTATTGCATTATTTGAAAATATGGTGACAACATTCCTTAGTACCCCAAGTGCCATAACCACGGTAATCACTGTCACCCATACAAAAATACCAGTTATTTCAGATTCTCTGAAATCACTGCATCTGAATTCCTCTTTTGTTCTAAGATTGTCTTTTTTAGTTGCTTTACCAGCTAATGTCTGATAAATTTATTTAATTAATTAATTTTTGGGCTCTTAGTGAATGTATCATAATTACTCCCATTTTTAATTACTAAAAAAATTTAATATTTTACTTATTTGAAAGGCAGAGAGTGTTGATTCATTCTCCCAAGTGGCTGCAACAGCCAGGACTGGGCAAGGTCAAAGCCAGGAGCTAGAAACTCAGTCAAGGTCTCCCATATCTGTGGCAGAGGTCTAAGTACTCCAGCCATCCTCTGATGCCTTCTCGGACACATTAGCAGGAAGTTGGTTTGGAAGTGGAGCAGCCAGGATTTAAACTGGCACTCCCATGTATAGGATGCTAGTGTTGTAAATAACTGCTTAATCTAGTATTCTGCAGTGTTCACTCCCTCCAGGTTTGTTTGTTTGTTTGTTTGTTTTAATGGCATTGACTTGTCCTGCATGTCTTGTAGGATGTCCCATATACACATTCGCTTTGGATGTAGCTTTTTGCTACTAGGCATAGGTTTACTTACTAAATAAGTAAATATTAAAAATATTTATTGGAAAGGGAGATTTACAGAGAGGAAAGATAGAAGGAGAAAAATTTTTCATCTATTGGTTTATTCCTCAAATGGCCACAGTGGCTGAAGCTGAGCTAATTTAAAGGCAGGAGCCGGGAGCTTCTTCTATGTCTCCCTTGTGAGTGAAGGGTCCCATGGCTTTGGGCCATTCTCTGTTGCTTTCCCCAATCCATAAGCAAGGAGCTGGGTGGGAAGGGAAGCAGCCGGGACACAAACTGGTGCCCATCTTGGATGCTGCATTTGGAGGTGAAGGATTAGCCATTTGACCCATTGTGACGTCTCTGAGCATTGGCTTAGTCATAACATATGTACTGAATGTGTGCAGTTCTTGGTTCTTGACGATTGTTAGGTCTTCTCCTTTGCCCTTTCTGGTTTGATTAGATCAGCAAAGAGTTTGCTAGATCTGTAACAAGCCCAGCGACATTTGAGGTTCTGTTTAGTGCTGAGCTAAGTTCTGTGCAGTCATTTGTGTTATGTAGGGGCAGGGGACTTAGTCAAAAACCTTTCTCTACCTTACATTATTATTCTCTCAAGGGCTGGCACACCCATGGTTTCCTTATAGTTCTCTAAGCCATAGTAAAGGAGGTGGCTGTTGTGATGAATCTTTGGTTTGCAAAATCGTGCTTCCCTGGTGGCAAAAAAAAAAGCTTCAATAGTCAACTCCCTTGTCAACAAAATCAGTCAACTGGGCTAAATCTAATTAAGGCATAAAGAGCCTGCTTACGATAACCTTATCACTGGCTGTCCAGTTTCCTCATTGTTAATGTGAGACAGTTTCCTCTCACGGTCCTTTTTTCTAGAAAATGACCTCGTGCTGCAGTGTGGGAATGTGACTGGTTACTGCCCTTTCCTTCGTTAGCTTCTTTGTGAATGTTGGATACCTAACAGAGGAAATGTACTTTGGTTTTCTCATGCATTTTTTGCATTGTCTTATTGTGATAGAATTTACGCAACATTTGCCGCTTTAACCATTTTTAGGTGTGTCCTGTGGCAGTAAGTGTCTTCACAGGGTTGGGCAGTCACTTCCTTACTAGCACCTGTGCATCTCCTAACCCGAAACCCAGTGCCTGTTCAGTGATAGTCATCCTCCCACTCTTCATTTCTGCCTGGCACCTGGTGGTGTGTTCTCTACTTTCTGTTTCTGTGAGTTTGCCTCTTAGAGATATCTCACAGCACTGGAATCATGCAAACATCTGTGTTTTTCTGTCTGGCTGACTTCATTTAGCACATGTCTTCAAGGCTCATCCATGTTAGAGCTTGTGTCAGAATTTCCTTCCTTCTTATGGCTAAATAATATCCATCATATGCTTATGTCATATTTTGTTTATCAACTCATCTGTTGATAGAAGCTTGGGTTGTTTCCACCTTCTAACTGTGGTGCATGTTCGCTGCAGTGAATATGGGTATACAAAGTATTTCAGTTCTTGGGTTATATGCCTAGATGTGGAATTTCTGGATCATTGGGTGATTTCTTGGATTGACACCTCCCCCTCCCATTTTAAGTGGAATGATAGAACAATCACTTTAGCTGGAGGACCAGGACCTGAGACTGCATAGGCAAGACTGTGAGATAACTTTTCTCACCCCATATCTCCTTTGTGGCCACACCAGCTTGCATCTGACATCTGAACCTAGGAAGAGGGGCATGCTTCATCTTCTGTTTCCAGAAATGTTGGGGGTGAGGATCAATTCTTTTTATTCCTTGGGTGTTGAGTTGGACCCACTTCCATTGGCACTTGCAGATCCATTCAATGAGCCCGGACTTGCTTAGTTGCAGGTTGTTGAAAGAAGGGAAGGCTGGAGGGTGTAGGGTGTGGATGTACAGCCACAGACAAGTCTTTGTGGTGGGACTTCCTTGCAGGGTGAGGTGTGTTGAAGGCATCCTGGCATGAACTAAAGCAGAAACGTTTCCCAGACATGAGATTGCGTGTGACATATTGCTGCCGTGATATCTCTTGCATCTTTGTAGTCATGGGGACCCCTGAGTATGCACAAAGTGAGCAGTTTTGCAAGAGTTTGCAGGCTATGGGGATGCAATTCAACTTCCTAACCGATCCTGGTTAGTGCTGAAAGATGACCCGTAACAGGGCTTTTTGAAAGTCATTCTTCAGACTGGTAGAGCCTGAGCAAGTGGGTATTGTTTTTTATGTTTGAATCTATTTGTTCAATGACCTGGTCATTATATATATTTTAAGGAAATTAAAAGTGTGGAAAACAAAACAAAACATTGAAAGCCTGCTTCTCAACTGTTTATTCCTTCCTTCAAAGCCTTTTTTTTTCTATGTTGAAATGAGTTCTATTCTTCATTTTACCCTTTACAACCTAACTATATGAGTTTATTTTACTATGCCACAATCTATTATAACATTTATTCACTAATATATTGAAAAACTAATATAAATCAGAATATAGTTAAGAGGTGACCCAGTATCTTCAGCAACCTGATGGCAAGGAAAAAGAAAAGCTAGAAAAGCTAGAATGAGGGAGCGGCCATTTAGCCTAACAGGAACCCTTGCATCCCATGTTGGAGTATGTGGTTTCTGTCCTTGGCTGGGCTTCCTGACTCTGGCTTACTGATAATACAGATCCTGGGAAATGGCAGAGATGATTTTGGAACCCTTGCCACTGGCAGGAGACCTGGATTGTATACCCAGTTCTTAGCTTTGCTTGCGCTAGTATGGACATTAGCACTGAACCAGGAGGAGAGGGAAGACTCACGCAGATCTAATGTGGATATAGGCGTCCCAAGCAGCACTTTAACCACTGTGCCAAATGTCAGCCATTATAGTGAATATTTATGGGTGAAAAACGTGAGGCTCAAGATTTTGTGTTAAGATAATGTAGGAGGAAGGCAGAAGTGATAGTGAAGATAGAGCCAGACCGTCTATGAGTTGATAGATGTTGACCCCATGTGATAGATTGTGAGTTCATTAGACAGTTCTTACACTACCTTTGTGTGGAATGTTCCATGATGAAAAGCTTTTTGAAAAGTAATATTTCAACTGTTACTTCTTTGAAGATGCAGTAGAAGAACTTTTCCTAATTCTGTCTGCTCTGCACCATTAAAACGCCTTGGTTTTATATAGGAAATAACAGAGAGCTGGCTCAGTCCCTAAGCAGTGATGGTAGTAAGTCTCCTACATCTTCTCTGGACTGAAAGCCAGACTTGGAGCTGAGGCAGTGGACAGCTGGGAGAAGGCCAGTGAACACAAATGTTAAAGCCCCAACCAAAGAGAGGGCAGCCAGCAAGCAGAACACTTTCAGACAACAACTGCTTTTATTCCAGCCAAATACTACAGAAAGGATGATGTCCCTCCCCTTGCCTCTGACACCAGAAAAAGCAACAGAAATGACCCCATCTAAGCAACAGAGGAAATGGAAACATGAACAGAGTCTGGGGAATGTGTGGGGCTGTAGCAGAACATCCAACATTCATGTTAGAGGAGCCATGGGAAGAGTGGAAGAGGGGGCAGGACTGGAAAACCATGGAAAGATATGCATAACAGCTGCAGATGCCCCAAATCAGACATCCACCTGCAGACTCCAGAAGCTGGGTTAGTCTCAGTTATGGGAAACTGAAGTCCACACAAAGACACCTCCAAGACAAGACCATAAAAGTCCCTAGAGGGAACTGACACCTTTGTTGAGGGGGACAGATTGTCTTGTTAAAAGTCACAGAGACCAGAAAGAAGTGGCATAGCATTTTATAGGTGCTAGAATACGAAAAGGAATATCAGCCACAAAATCATTACCCAGGGAAGTGAATCTTTTGGAATGAAAGAGAAATCACACTGTTGGAGGCAGGGAAACTGAAAAATTTTCACCAGCAGTCCTGCCTAAGAGGACAGCTAAAGGAAATCCTGTGAATAGAAAGGAAGCAATAAAAGAAGAACTCTTGGAAAAACAGGAAGCAAGAACGTGGTAAGCCAAAGTAAGACAATACACTTTCTTCAAAAACCAAAAACTCCCAAAATTCAACTGAGGTGAAATCATCTGAATGGTCCTAGAACCGTGACAGAAATTGTATTTGTATAGTTTTAGAAAGATTTATTTCATTTATTTGAAAGGTAGAATGATGGAGAATGGAGGTGAGAGAAAGTGATCATCCATCCGTCCTCTACTTCACTGCTCAAGTGGCGACAGTGGCAGGGGTTGGGCCAGGCCAAAGCCAGGAACCAGAAACTGTGTGGAGCTTTTTCTAAGTTTCCCACATGGGAAAAAGGGCCCGGGCACTGAGATTGTCTTTTGCTATTTTCCCAGGCACATTGGCAGGGAGCTAATTGGAAGTGGAGCTCGTGTACTTAAGTTTTTGAAAAGGCAAGCTGAAGGTCTAGACGATCCAGCAAAACATTCATATTCAGAACATCTAAGGAACTCTCAGTAGTTGAAAATAATCCAATTAGGAAATAGGCACAAGCCTGGAACAGTTGCACTGAACACGATGTGCAAATGATGAAGACGCCCATGGAAAGATGTTCAGTATTGCTAATCATCAGTGAAGTGCAAATTAGAACCATTGTACAAGCCTCCGGAGTGGCCCCAGTAGTGATAGCAGTGGATGCCGGTGAAAACGGAGAGAAATTGGACATGGGTTACTCCTGCCTTACTGGTGGAAGTGTAAAATGTAATGTGTAAAATGATATAGCCACTCTGGGACACGGTTTGGCACAGAGCTAAGCATACAAGTGGTACATGACCCAACAATGATTCTGGCATGCATCCCAGAAAAGTGACAATTTGTAGGAAAGCTGGTTTCTCTAAGTTCTTATTCAAAACTCAAGGACAAAACTTGGCTTGCTGCTCTCTTCTCCTGTTTTCAGTGCTTCTCCTCCATCACACCTGCACTTGTGAATTTTCCCCACAAACTTAACTCTTTAACTCTCTATGGACCCCTTCTGGGTGTCCTGTAAATCACCCCAGTTCTGTCACTTCCTGGAATTATCACAGGTTTAAGATTCTGTCCCTCAAAGCTGCTTCCTGCTGCAGATGCCAGTCACAAAGGCTACATACAACTTCTGTTAGATGTGGTTACAAATTGGAGGTTCCCATGGTCCCCTAATGAGGTCTAGTAATATGTGAGATTGAGCTCAGAACTCAAGCAAACTTACACACTGGTTTGTTCTACAGCTAAGATGGTAATATAGAGGAAAACTGCCAGTTGAAGAGGTGCATGGGGTGAGACTGGAGAGGGTCCTAAGCGGAGGGGCTTCATTCATTGTAGATGGGATGCACCACCCTCTGGGAAGTCCTGTGAACCCCAAACACATGAGGGATTTCTAAGAAGGTTATATCATTTAGGCATGATGACAATTCAATTGTTGTGAGCCATGCCCTCAGTGTACCTGCAAAGAGTATTTCTGGAGGAAAAGGCCAATCTCCTACAGTTACATACTGTGTGATTCTGGATGTTTGTTGAACATTCTTGAAACAATGAAATGTTAGACATGTCTTGAACATATTAGTAGTTGAAGAAGGTGGGGTGGGTGGGAAGTGGTGTGACTCTAAATGGGTGGCAGAGGTGGTGACAGTGTTCTGTGTCTTAACTGCATTATTATCAACCCTGGTTATTTAATTTTAGCTTTAAAAACTTTAATGTGAGAGGTGTTGGGGGGGGGAGCGTTAGTGTTGACACCTCCCCTGCCCTACACCTACCACTTACCTCACAGATAGAGCCCCCATCTGCTGGCTCATTCATTCTCCAAATGCCTACAGTGGGTGAGATTTGACGAATGCTAGGCTGTGTGTAGACCAGACTGGGCCTGAAGCCATGAGCTAGGAACATGGTTCAAGACTCCTATGTAGATGGTAGAAACACAGTTGCTTGAGCCATTACATTGCCTCTCATGGTCTACATTACTCGGAAGCTGGAGTCTGTGCTTAATATCGTGCCTTTGCACACTGATATGGGCATGCTAAGTTTGGGGCTGACCACCTGACCCTGACTATAATACAGTACCATAGTTTTGTACAGTGTGCCATCAGAAGAACTGGGTAAAGTATATTAGATTTTATACCTACATGTGAATCAATCTCAAATTAACTTGCTCATCTTGGTAAAAGTTTAATAGTAGAACAATGTAAAAAATTTTTAAATGATGTAAGGTCATGATCAAGAAAAAAAATGAGCCTTCCTTCTCTGCACCATATTACCTCCCTTAGGGCAAGCCCTGCTGTTTGTTACCAACCACGTGACTCCTTGCAATTTTAGGTTCCTACCTGAATCACTGAATAATTCTAAGTTGGAAGTTGCCGCAGGAATAACTCAGTCACAACCTAAGCTTTGGACTTCTTTGCTTTCCTTGGACATAGCAGTTGGTCCTCATTATGCACAAGGACTGTAGGACTTGTTCCCATCTCTCAGCTCCCTGCTTGGGGAAGTCTTGTACCAGGGTGGCCCAGCTAATAATACGCTTGTGTGAATTCCTGACAGGAATCGAGCCCACTGGAAACATGGTGAAGCAGCCAGCTAAGTTCACTGTGGACACCATCAGTGCCGGGCAAGGAGACGTGATGGTGTTTGTCGAGGATCCAGAAGGGAACAAAGAGGAGGTACGTCTTCACCCCTGTAGCATTCTAAGGAGCTCTGGGACTTGTACCAGGATCTCTACCTCTGCCTCTACCTCTGCTGCCTCTTCAGTGTTCACAGCGGTGGGTTAGAGCAGTTAAAGTAACTTGGTCCAGAGGTGTGCCTTGAAATGTAATTTAAATTAATTTCTCAAGAACACAGTGTTTACTCCTATTAAAGTGCACTTGGTTTTAACAAATTCTAGATGCTAGAAGCCAGGATACCAAGTTGATCCTTGCTCTGTGCTTTTACACTGGCCAGTCTTAGATCTTCCCTGAAGACAGAAAGAGATTGCCCATCTTGCTGGTTCTCTCCCCAAGTGCTCACAATAACCACGCATAGACCAGGTCAAAGCTGAGAGCCGGAAACTCAGTCTGAGTCTCTCTAAATGGGCAGCAGGGATTCAGCAAACACTTGCGCTGTTGCCACCTGCTACCTTGCAGGGTGTGCGTGAACATGAAGCTGGAGCCGGGTAGAGCAAGGGCTCTAATGTAGGCATCCCAGATAGCGTGTGTGACCTGCTGTGCCAAATATCTGCCCAATGCTGCATGCTTTTATCCTTTTTGAGTCCAGGCCATGTGTGTCATGGTGCGTTGTACAGCAGGGGCAGGAAAGGAAGGTCCTATAGGATTTCTGACATGGCAACTTGCTCCAGGACTTTGGCTGACATAGTGTTACTCACACCTGACACACTTCTGTAACCATCACTCCAATTCTCTCCCAGGCACAAGTGACCCCAGACAGCGACAAGAGCAAGACATACTCTGTGGAGTACCTGCCCAAGGTCACTGGGCTGCACAAAGTAAGATGAGCTTCCTGGGGGTGGCTTGGTTGCTTTTTGGGCTTATTTCAGTATGTGCTGAAGGACAACTGGGGGAAGAAGATTGGCTTTCTTGAATTAATGCCTCATTTCTTATTTCTGATGCTGAAAATATCTGTGCTCGTTGTAGAAACTATTGAGTCCCTAACAATCAGACTGTATACTTTAACTGCTAAGCTCTATGGCTTAGATTTTTACAAGCAGATTCTTTGCAATTTTGAAAAATTTTTTTCAACTGTGTACTGGCATTTTCACGATTGCTGCTCTATGCTTGGAGTTTGAATACTACATTATATGAAGTGTGTGAAAGATTTGTTTGTTTAAAAGGCAGACCAATAGCAAGAGAAGGAGAGCATTTCTGCCCTAAGCTTTAGAGTTTGCTCAGTGCTGGCCCTCCAGACCTAGCCGTATGGCTGATGGGACCATGTGTCAGGCCTATTGAGGCTGCTGAACTTGGCCAAGGGTTTCTGGCCCCTTTGCGCACGTCCCTCTGAGGAGGGTTGAAGAGAAGCTGGTCAGCATATATGGCTTGATGGTGGTCTTGCTGGGTGCAGAGAAAGATTGCACATTCCTCTTCTGTCTCTTATAGGTCACAGTCCTTTTTGCAGGACAACATATCTCTAAGAGCCCGTTTGAAGTGAATGTTGACAAAGCCCAGGGTGATGCCAGTAAGGTCACGGCCAAAGGGCCAGGATTGGAAGCCACAGGAAACATCGCCAACAAGCCTACTTACTTTGACATCTACACGGCAGGTAAGGTGCCTTCCCCTCTGGACCAGACCTTCAGGTTTTCATTGAAGCCTACAGCCTGGAGGCTTAGGACACCCCACCTTCTGTCTTTTTAGATCAAAGAACAAAAACAATAGCCTTTCAAATTTGTTCTGATTGTAGATATTTTCAAAATGCACTCAGTGTTGATTAATAAGCAGTATTTGTATTTCTGACCTAAGTATTCCAAAGAAACAGGGTTTTTAGAATTATCTGCTTAACAAGATTCTGTGTGAGATCTATGGACTGCATTAAGCATACTTCTTGAATCATCAGTTTTCTTTTCATTGTAGAAAATTTAGAAGTAGAAAATGTAAAAAAGGGAAAAGTTCAACCATCACTCCACTCCCATCACCGCAAGACAGTGCTTGTTAACTTGGATGTGGACTTTCCCATGCACCTCTCTGTTCCCTGCTGTTTGCGTTTTACACTGCTTAGCACAATTTAAAACCTTTGGTTCATAAACAAAAATTTTTTTCTTCACTTTATTTGAGGGAGATTGCTTGATTTAATTCATTCCCCCAAATATCCACAACAGCCAGCTCTGTGCCAGTGGAAACCAGGGACTGGACACTCAACCTGTCTCTCCCACATGGCTCGTGGACACCCAGATTCTTGAGTCATCATTGTTTCCCCCCATGGAGCACATTAGCTGGAAGCTGGAGTTGGAAGTTGAGCCAGACTTGAACCCAGACACTCCACTGTGGGATTTTTCACTGCACAAACCCCCTGCCCCTGGCAGCAAACTTTCTACGAAGAAACTCTGGCTCATGGTTTGCTCACTGTCTTATAGGAGCTGGCGTGGGTGACATTAATGTTGAGGTGGAAGATCCCCAGGGGAAGCACACTGTGGAGCTGCTTGTGGAAGACAAAGGAAACCAGGTGTATCGATGTGTGTACAAGCCAGTGCAGCCTGGGCCCCACGTGGTCACAGTCTCCTTTGCTGGGGACGCCATCCCCAAGAGTCCCTTCATTGTGCAGGTTGGAGAAGGTGAGTGATGGTACATGGGGACTGACTCTGCCGCTGGGCTCTAATGCCAGGAGAAAATATCGGGGCCAGCACGAGCTTGTACCTGTCCCCATTTTACCAGGTGAATTTCATTGTTAAATGGTCACCTTGTCCTCCAGACATCGGTACCATGTCTCTTAGAAGCCATGCAAGGGAACTTGGTGCTTCACTTGTGTTAACTCATTTCATCCGCTCAAAGCACCTACATGCATGAGTCTTCATCCTCAGAGAGAGAGAGACGGGATTGAGGCAGTGGGAGAGTGGGTGTCTGGAACTGAGGTTAGCAGCTGCAACAGGTGTTCTGTCTGCACTGCAATAGCACTGCTACCTCTGTCACATGGTACAGGTGCCAGCATTGTGTCCATTTTGCGTGTGGGAACATTTAGATAACGTAAGGGGTCGGTCCTGGAGTCATCAGGAGAAGTTGCCCCTGTGGTCTCTGTCTATAACCCTTAATCTCTGCTGAAGCATGAAGTTTTCTCTAATGTAAGACTCTCCTTCTCATTCTGTTGCCCCCTTTTTCATTTGTTTTCCAACTGTACCGCCTTGTCTAACTGATACTTGCCTCCCTGTTCTGTCCTCCGCCTCTGGGTCTGCAGACTTGGCCTGCTCCTCTGAATCCTGCCTCTGGGCCAGCCTGGACCCTGAAGCTGAGCACGGGGCCAGAGGCTCTTGCTTGGTAAGGGCTGGTTGGGTGGGGCGTCTTCGTCAGTTCTTTGTGCTGCGTGTGCGTGTCAGCTGAGCCAGAGCTGTTGTGAGTTCAGGAAGTTCCTGTGTGGGCATTTTTGCAGCTAGTCCAGCCAGACCTTCCGCAGCCCACACTCTAACACCGCTGAAGCCTGGCTCAGGATTTGATGCACAGGACAGCAGAATTAAGATGTTTTTCTGTCAGTCTCTTCAGCTCCCGGTGGTGTCTGTAGGAACTGACCAGTTGCCCTTTGGATGCCCACTTGCAGGCCTCCCCTGTCTCTGTGACTGTGGGAATGCACATGTGAGCCCTCTGAGGAATTCTCGTCATCCTGTTAAGACTTATTTCTGGAGTAGCCAACTTTTCTCCCCTAGACAGAAATCATAAAACAGCACAGAAATGCGCATATGCTCTTAAGCCAAGCTCGTTTGGTGTAAGTCACAGAATTGGGACCAGTTCCTTTTTTCCGTTAGTGTCTCCCAGCCCTTTCTGTCTTGGACAACTTTCTTTATTTCTGGCCTATTTAAAATAGCTCACCTACCACTTGTATTACTAAGTATTTTATTAGTGGATTTATTTTTCTTTCTTTCTTTCTTTTTTTTTTTTAGTCGATTTCTTTTAAATGGTTAGCCTTTTCCCCAATGATTTTATATTACCAGAACACAGAACCCAGGTCACTTGCCATCAAGTGTCATTGTTAACTTAGGCACACCTGGTAATCACTCAGCAGTACCTGTCCTTCCAAGGGGGAGTGTAGAGCTCTTTTGGAAGCAGGTATTTGGAAGCAGATAGGCCACTAAGGGCATGGCAGGCAGCTGGGGTCTCACAGAGGAAAGGCCACCTTTTGGGGAACAGAGGAAAAGCCACTGCATAAACCACATGACATTTTCTCCATGATGTTTATCCTGTTTTCTCCCAAAGGCAAAAGTTGTCCATGCTGGCCAGAGACACCCTAGGGTATAAAGGCATCTTCCTACTCCCCCTCCCCCAACTGCCCTGGGGAGCAGTGGTTCTGTGGCCCTATCCGGTGAGCACAGTAAAAAGGAACCCTCAATCCCAACTTTCATACTTCACAACTTTTTAAAACCAGACCAGGAAGCCCGGCTGGGAGTGGTATTTACTGCTCATGGATGCCCTGGTGGCCGCCCACATTCCAAGGCTTTTGTATCAGAGGTCAGTCGGCCTGCGCCCCAGTGGAGCCAGACTGGGCTGCCTTTGAGACCCTTGTTGTTTCTGCCTGACTGTGCGGAAGACAACAGCCATGTTTCTAGTTCTATATAAGTGTGTCTGGCCCAGGATTTGGAACCTAGACAGACATTTTCAAGCACTGCAGTTTCCAAGTAGAAGTGGGGGAAGAAAAAGTATGGTTTTCCCAAATATGGGCTCTTGAGGTTTGAGTACAGTCCAACATTTGGGCTTCAGAACCTGCACCCCTCCACCTGCCCATGAAAGGGTCAGCCCTGGTACCAGGGGCACAGCATGGATTCACTGCGCTCTCCTAATTTCTATGGTAAAGTAACTCTACCTTCATCCTTCTGTGGTGCCGCTGGACAGTTGTTATGTTGTGTCCTTTCTTGCTGGCCTCATGTGCTCCCCAAACGGGACCTCTGGCTTGGGGAACTGCTACATAATCTCTGTGCAAAGCAAACATTTTCTTGGCGGGTGGCTCCCGGTTACCATGGCTTTCTTGACCAACTAAAGAATGAAAGGTTGAAAGGATGTCAAAACTTTGCTTGCAGCCTGCAGTCCAAATGCCTGCCGGGCCAGTGGCCGGGGTCTGCAGCCCAAAGGCGTCCGAATCCGGGAGACTGCCGACTTCAAGGTTGATACCAAAGCTGCTGGCAGCGGGGAGCTCAGTGTGACAGTGAAGGGGCCTAGTAAGTGTGCTTTCCTTTCTCCATCTCTTGAAGTGATTTTGGTTGACTTTGTAGTTGTGGCATATGAGAGTAGTGATGGATTAATAAGTTCTACCCTGGATGTGGGCTACCACACTGAGTGGGAAGACTTTTGGTAGTGGATAAGCAGGGTACAAAAATTGGGAAAAGGCTGCTGTCAGAACAACCACCCAAAAGAGGCCCCCCTCCCCTGCTTTTTTTTTTTTTTTTAAGTTCAAGGAGATGGAAGTTTGGAGAGGTCAGCTCTTGCCACAGGTCCTCTAGCTTGTAGGCATCTGAGCCAGAATTCAAACTCAACCTCCAAACCCAATGATTTTCTCACTATGGGAAAATTACATTTTATGGACTATGAAATTATGTCAAGTACTTAATTACTACCCATCTGTGCTTATAGAAGGAAAGTAAAATTCTTGAAGCTTAAGTTTTCTTTGTAGTTGAGCGCCCTCCATTCTCACTCCCTCCTACCGGAGGAGGAAAGAGGCAGGGAAAAATGTCTTCCTTATTCCCACATTTGCCCCTGGGAGAAAGAACAGCTCAGCATTTTCAGGCACAGGTGCAGCCGCTGTGGTGGTTTCCTCCTTTATGGAACCTGGAGCTTCCTATACCCCATCCCCTCCTTTCCAGTGGGGCTGAAGCAGGCGGTTCAGAGCTTTACAAAGTTAATATTCAATCTTAGCACCAAGCCTGGGGGCAGGCTGTACCCTGAGGGTGGCCTGGGTTCTAAACAGCACAGACCTGAAGCCAGGCTACTTTAGGACTGCCTTTCCTCCCAGCCTGTTGTGACAGGAGCCAGGCCGGCATTCTGTTCCACCACCACCACCCCAACCTTGGAGATTCGCTTGACTCAACGGCTTTCCCAGCCAAACCTCAGGGATCAGCCTGAAACAAGTTTCTGCCTGATGACTAGGTCTGGAGTTTGTGGTGGAGCATCTAAAACCTACTCTCTCGTGCCTGGCAGATGGCGTACAAGAGCGCTCTCCCGTTATCTGCCGTGAGTTGAGGAAGATGAGTTGGGACACCTAATTTTTGCCACATATTCATAAAGGCTCACTTCCTCCCCAGTTTTTGTAGGTTACTGAGACCAGTAATGACAGTTACTAATATGTAACTGAGATGGCATTTATCTTTTTTTTTTTTTTCCCCAAGATTCATTTATTTTCATTTTACTTGAGAGAGGAAGAGGAGATTGATAAAGGCCTTTTCTTTCTACTCACTGCAAGCTGGGATCACAGAAGCAGGAAGCTGGAATTGGAAGCTGGGACTTGAATCTAGGCGCTTGGATATGGGATCTGAACCCCCATGCAGTGCTGTGCCACTCACTCACTGCTGCATTGATGTTTATCCAAGGGCCCCTGCTAGCTGAGAGAGCTAGGAAACCTCTCATTCCCCCACATCTTGAAGCAGAGATGGAGTTGTCTAGCTTGGGAATCAGCTCCTCCATCTTAGGGGATCCCAGGGTCTCCTTATCCTTTCCTGGGCAGCTTGTGTTGTGGGCACAGAGCCACCTTCCTGTGGACTCTCTCTGAAAGTTGCACACATGTGTGTTTCCCTCCTGCAGAGGGCCTGGAGGAGCTGGTGAAACAGAAAGCCTTTGCAGATGGGGTCTACGCATTCGAGTATTACCCCAGCACCCCCGGGAAGTACAGTGTTGCCATCACATGGGGGGGACACCACATCCCCAAGAGGTAAGTGCAGACAGTACCACATCTTACCTGTAGGCAGCATGCTTCATGGGGGAGCGGGGGTGGGGGGGTGGGGGGCACTCTCTTCCTGAGCAGGCTGTGGCTTCCTGAGCTACAGGAGGGAAAGAGAATCTGCTTTGTTCAAATCTTTGTGTTTTTGGCAGAGCTGCATACAAGCATTTGGCCTGTTCTCCACTGTAGCTTTAAGTCACTGTGGTTTTAGCTGCCTTGCTTGAAATCCAATGCTGGCAGTCAGAGTTGGTGGGTAGCCGGGCAGCCCGAGGAGCGGCTGTGGATAGTAAAAGGGCTATGTGTGTACACCCCCTTGCGTACACCCAGATGCCCTTCTTACAATGAATGCCTCTGTTCACGGATGCCCCAGGGCAAAAGCTGCTGTGGTTTACATGAAAACCATCTACGCGAGTGCTGTCAGAGACCCAGGCATGCGGTGTGCAGCTTTGCCTCGTAGGCGTCACTGTTGATCCCTTCGGTGCACATTTTCTAGCTCTCTTGGGGGCAACTTGAAACTGAGTAAATACAGTTTGCCTTGAAAAAGATCTGTGCATTGCTGCAGTTCCTGCTTACCCACTGGTGTGGGGGATGGTCGGAGAATGCCTGAAACCACAGGGAGAACTCACACAAAGTTTGACTTATAAATGAGGCCCGATAAGAGATGAACAGCAATAACTAATAATAAAGTAGCATAATAATATTTTACCCTAATAAAAGTTAAGTGAATGTGGTCTCTTTATCCCTTAAAATATCATGTTGTAATATACTTACTCTGATGATGATGATACAAGGCCATGCAATGCCTGACTGATGTGATGAAATGAGGTGGATGTTTATAATGTCAGGCTACTATTGACCCTCAGATAACATATATGTTGTTTTGATTTGTTTTAAGCTTATTTGTTGGGTTGGGGGGAAAGCAGGATGAGAGAGAGGAAGAGTCAGAGATGTTCCACAGTGCCCCGGAGTGAGCCAGGCCAAAGCCAGAGGCCAGGAACTCCATGGGGTCTAAGGACTTGGGCCTTTTCCTGAGGTTTCCCCAAGGGCATTAACAGGGAGCTGGGATGGGAAGCAGAACAGCTGAGATTGGGACTGGCTCTTTTAGATGGGATGCTGGTGTTGCACATGGCAGCCTAACTTGCCAGCCCTTCTACATATTTTGGACCAAAGTTGGCCTTGGAGAACTGAAGATAAACGTAGATAAACAGAAACTTCTGTTTAGGGTTCCTAGTATCCAAGCATGCTTTTTTAAAAGTCCTACACAGGGGACAGCGCAATAATTCATGAGTGGAATAGACCCTAATCCCCTGTGTTTTCTTGTGTCTGCTTAAATGGGGTACAGATTCACCTTCCTGGACATATAGTCCAGGGTATATGACTTGAGTGCCAAGCCGGTGGCCACCTGAGCTGCCTGAGGCAGCCATATTGTGGTATATTGTTGAGGTAACAATGGTTGTAAGGGAGCCTACATGGAAGTGCTTGGCAGCTGTTTGGGGCTCTGGGTGAAAGGATCAGGCAAGTGGAAAGAATGTGTGTGAGCAGTTTCTGGCTGTAGGTAGCTGCTTTGCTCCTCATTAGTGCTGCTTCTCTTCCCCTCATTCCAGCCCCTTTGAAGTTCAAGTTGGCCCCGAAGCAGGCATGCAGAAGGTCCGTGCATGGGGCCCTGGCCTCCATGGAGGGATTGTTGGGCGCTCAGCAGACTTTGTGGTGGAGTCGATTGGTTCTGAAGTGGGGTCTCTAGGTAAGTGGAGGCAGCTGACCAGCCGTTCCTGGGATGCACAGGCTTGTAGGGCACTGGGGTCTGGTGTTAGGCTGGTTGAGACTGGGTTTGAGGGGCTCACTCAGTCTCTTTCCTTGGTCTCCTGGCCTCCAGATGTAGGTGGAGAATCCCTCATGCCCCCTGCCTGGCACTAGCCTTCAGTCATCCACTAGAAACAGAGTGCTTAGAACATAGTAGGCACCTAGTAAATATTGTTGATAGATCTTTCCTTTAAGTGAATGGATAAATGAATGTATTTGGCTGATATTTGAACTTTGGAAGGTGAATCTGTTCTCTAAACCATCATTGTATATATTTTAAATTTTACATCAGGAGTCAGCAAACCTTTTCTATAAAGAAACAGATAGCAGATACTTCCAACATGTAGGCCATATGGTCTCTGTCACAATTATTGGTTCTTGCCATTGTAGCCTAGAAGCAGCCGTAGAAAATACAAAAACAAAGGGATGTGGCCATGTTCCAGTGAGACTTTATTTACAAAAATAAAAGCAGACAGAGAGCCAGATGTGGCCATTAGACTGTAGTTCAGTGACCTCTCTTAGAGAATAACAGTAAGCAAAATAGAGAAAAATAAGAGATCACATTAATTTTCCCTTCTTGAAAGATAATGTTACTCACCCTGGCCTGTTGTGGTCTTCTGGTCTAGAAATTTTATTTAGCCTCACATTATGTCCTTCAAGGCTTTCTTCGTGGACATAGAAGTACAAAGGTTGATTTGCTACATAAACTATTTGGGCAAATCTTTTTGTGCATTTGGTAGATCTAAAGTATGCCTTTATTTTCTGCTACTCTCAGGGAATTCCATTTTGTGTGTATAGCCTTTGTTAAATACTCTGATTGTTTCCAGGATTTTGTTATGAAAACAAAGCTGAATACATATCCTTGGTTATTTCCTTCAAGATAAAAACCAGAAGCAGATTCTGTTGTAGAAAGAGTAGATGTTGGTTTAAGGCTTTTGGCACTTGTACTCTGTATTGCCAACAGAAAGGTTAGCTAGCTAACCCTCCCTGTTACATGATGTATTTTTGTTTTAAAAATTATCTGAAACAGATCTTCCATCTGTGGCAGAGTCCAGGAGGCTTGCTTTGTGGTCAGGGCAGAGAGATTTCAACCTTCTAGCTGATAATGTGACTTTTCTCAGGAGGCAGAGAGAATGAGTTGGTAATAACAGAATTGATATGTTATACCATGTAATCAAGGAGGTCTTTTATATCCCTCCTCCCCTTCTCCCAGGGTTTGCCATTGAAGGCCCCTCCCAGGCAAAGATCGAGTATGATGACCAGAATGATGGATCATGTGATGTCAAATACTGGCCCAAGGAGCCTGGTGAATATGCCGTTCACATCATGTGTGATGATGAAGACATCAAAGACAGCCCATACATGGCCTTCATCCAGCCAGCCACTGGAGACTATAACCCTGATCTGGTAAATGAACTTGTGCTGCTGTCCACTCCTTCCTGGCTTTCTAAATGTCTGCACCTACTGGAAGACCTTAAGCTGCATGCTGAGAGATGGCAAGGAGGGAACTGGGGCCTCTGGAGGCAGACAGGCCTGGGTTCATAATCTGCCTCTTTGGCTTCTTCTGTTGTCTTCTGTAAAATGGGCTGTCCAGATGTCTGCTTGCTAGACTTTTTGGATGGTACAAAGAAGGTCTCGTGCAGAAAGCCAGCCATGGTCCTGTCCTGTGTAGAGTCCAGATTGCTGTGTTCTCACATCCCACAGCATTTTCATGCCACCTGGCTATCTTCTGTTTTAAGGGGATCCATAGAAAAAGGTGTTTTTTCCCCAGCTCCCTGCCCCTTGAATTGGAACCAGGTTTTCAAGATGTTCCTCTCAACCCTTCAACGGGTTGATAAGCAACAAGTCTCAGACATCCTGGCAGACCTGCTGTGTGTGGTTCTTAGCCCTCCATGGACAGTTGTTCATTAACTGTAACCAGTCCTGGCTGGTGGTTGCTCCTCTAACCACCTGCTAGTCTTGTGCTCCCTGGGGCTTCAGGCTTTTGGAATGTTGTGTCTGATAAGGGTTCTGTGTACCCACAAGGTGGGCGCGTTGCAACTGGACACAAACATCCAGTTCTTGACAGGCCCTCGGTCAGCTCAGATTTGAGGGCCTGGGTTTGTGTGGCTCTAAATCTACAGGTTTTATCCCCTCCTTGAAAGGACAATGACAGGTACTGTTTATTTCCTAGTTAATGGTAGTCTAGAGCATTTGGCTGTCTCCCATTCTCTCGATGCCGATGTTCATATAGGCATTTAGTTGAGGCATCACAATGATAATACTGTTCTGATCTTTTGCCCTAGGTCCGAGCATATGGGCCAGGTTTGGAGAAATCCGGGTGCATTGTCAACAATCCAGCCGAGTTCACTGTGGATCCAAAGGATGCTGGGAAAGCTCCCTTAAAGATATTTGCTCAGGTAAATGTCTAGGGGTGAGAAAATCTGTCAGTGTAGTGGGAAGTTACTCAGTCTCATCTGCCCATTAGAAATGAGGGTAGTGCCTCTTGGGGATATGTGAGGATTAAGTGAAATGAACAAGCTTATGGTTTGTATTCTATAGAAACAAAACCTAATCTTTACACTATCTGTAGTGTCTTTTGAAGTGGCAGAAGCTACTAGATCACATTGGGAGATTTGTACAGAATTTTTCTTTAAAGATTTATTTGAAAGGCAGATGGAAAGAGAGAAAGATTGATTTTCTGTTTGCTGGTTCACTCTCCAAATAGGCACAACAGCCAGGGTTGAGCCAGACAAAAGCCAGGAGCTAGGACCTTCTTGCAGGTTGCCCATATGGGTACAGGGCCGTCTTCCCACTGTTTTCCCAGATGCACTATCAGGGAGCTGGGTCATAAATGGAGCAGCCAGAGCTCAGATCAATGTCATATGGCATTTACCCACTATGCTACAACACCAGCCCCAAATAGGATTTTTGAATTGTGTTTATCTATTTTAAATTAAATTGAATTTGGCTAAGGATTTAACTGCAAAAATCAAAATTATAAGATATTAATTATCCGCAGCTTTTTTTTTTCTTTGCCATTTGTTTTAATAATTAACAGTAAGGGTAATATTTTGTTGTTGCACCGTGTAGTGGCTCTGTACAGTTTTGTTGTATAATCATGTGGTGACCTCGCTGTGTGGGAGATTGTGGCAGCTGCATTTGATGGAGACAATGTGAGGCTCACATCTGACTCTTTTACAGGATGGGGAAGGCCAACCCATTGATATCCAGATGAAGAGCCGAATGGACGGCACATACGCTTGCTCATATACCCCAGTTAAGGCCATTAAGCACACCATTGCTGTGGTCTGGGGAGGTGTGAACATCCCACAGAGCCCCTTCCGGGTAGGTTAGGAGGCAGAATTGGTCTGTTGCATGAAAATCCCGGTCATGTGCCAGGTCTGGGCTTGATACTCAGTGGTCAAAGTGGTTTTATGGAGAGAACTCACTGTTGGTGGTCCTTGAAGGATGAGGGACACTGACATCTGAGTACTCCAGCCCTCCCCAATGACTATTTATACCAATGTTTTCCGACAGTGTTTTCCTAGCTCCAAGTAGAACAGAGCTTGGTAACTTTTCTCCTATCTTTTCTAGGTCAACATTGGGCAAGGGAGCCATCCCCAGAAGGTCAAGGTGTTTGGGCCGGGTGTGGAGAGAAGTGGCCTGAAGGCTAATGAGCCTACCCACTTCACAGTGGACTGCACTGAGGCTGGTGAAGGTGAGCGGCAGCAGTGATGGTTGCTGTGTGGGGAGGGCTGTGGGTAACAGCCCACCACTGAGCCTTTCTGGTCAGTTCCCCGGGGATTCCTTTGCTAATCCCTTTTTCAAAACCCTCACTTTCCCATTACTCTCATCATGTTCTTCACTGGAAACCTCCCACTTGCTTCCCTGGGGTGGCAGCCTGAGCTAGAAGTGATTGCACAGAACATGCTGTTTCTTGTAACCTATTCCTAATGAACTGGTCTGTTCCAGGTGATGTCAGCGTTGGCATTAAATGTGATGCCCGGGTGTTAAGTGAGGATGAGGAAGATGTGGATTTTGACATTATTCACAATGCCAACGACACATTTACTGTCAAATATGTGCCTCCAGCTGCTGGGCGATACACAATCAAAGTTCTCTTTGCGTCTCAGGTGTGTGTTGGGACCTCGAAGGGGAGGAGGCGGGGGGAATGGGCTGGGTTCCTCCCAGCCACTTGTGTGTATTTCCTTTGTGGTTTTTTTCAGCAGTGGCAACTTAACTGAATAATTTTGTCTCTGGGTCTTTAAAGCCAACTAGGGCAACACTTTCTTAAACAGAAGGCAGGCGGTGGTAGTCAGTGATTTAAAGCACAGTTCTCTAAAGAGACTGGGCTGTTACAAGCACTCGTCGAGTCTGGGCTGAAATGTGATTAACAGCTTGTCTACTTTGACCTGCTTAGTGCAAGGACTTTGGCCTCCACCTTCAAGCTTCTAGAGTGAGAAGTATTTTGAAGTTTCAGGTGTGTGAGAAGCTGAGGTGAAAAGTGCCTTATAGCAGGGAGCTGGTAATTTATTTTAACCTTACATGGACAGAACGACCTCATGGTACATGGAGTGCCGGAGGGTTGTGGTCCTGAATTAATGCCATCCGAGTACCCTCTCCTGCCTTTCTTCCAATAGCATTCTTTCTGAAGAGTTGCAATGATTCTGTTTTGATTACTTCCTTGTATTCCCCGAAGTCTGTCCCTGGAGAATATTCTTTTCCTTTGATCCCATGTATTGTCGCTGTTTTTGGGTTTTATCCTTGCTAGCGCTTTCTTACTGCTAAATACCCAATTTCAGGGTGTCAAAAGCTCCCTGTTTTCTGTTTGACTTGTGAAGATTGGGGGTCCAGAATGTAGCAAGTGGCTGGAGGAAGCCCTTGCCTGTTGTGAGGGAGTACAACCTTGAACTGGAGGTTTGGCATTTGTCCCCAGCCATGTAGACATGCCACAGCTCCCCTGGGGGATGGGGCACAAGGCTGAGCTCTGGCAGTGGCTCCAGGGGGCCTTCTGAGACAGTGTCTCTTCTACAGGAAATCCCTGCCAGCCCTTTCAGGGTCAAAGTTGATCCTTCTCATGATGCCAGCAAAGTGAAGGCAGAAGGCCCAGGGCTCAGCAAAGCAGGTAAGAGGCCGGGGGTGAGGCTGGTTTGGGCCATTTACAAGGCCAGTGGCTCTGGGCGTGTTGGGGCTGAGACCTGGAGGCTACTCACCTCCACCTGTTGTGTGAGCGCCACCTTTTTGCTCCTGTGCTCCCTTCCCTGACTCTGAGGACTGAACCTGCCAGACTGGTTCTAAAAGTGAAACCACTCCGCTGACCTGTCTCCTCACCATGGGTATGTCCTTCCAGGTGTGGAAAATGGGAAACCAACCCACTTCACCGTCTATACCAAGGGTGCTGGGAAGGCCCCACTTGATGTACAGTTCAGCAGCCCCCTCCCTGGCGACGCGGTGAAGGATCTGGATATCATCGACAATTACGATTACTCTCACACTGTCAAGTATACACCCATCCAGCAGGTAGGGTCCCTGGCACCTGTGCTTCTGTAGGTTCCCAGCCAGGCCCCTTGCAGTGCGGTGGCAGCGTGCACTGTATAGCCATGGCTATTGTAACAGGTGCTGTCCCCTCGACCCCCTCCCCTACCCTACTTTCTGACTGAATATCATGGCAAGCCCACTGGATTCTGCCAGCAAGGTTGCAGGATCCTCAGGAACATGCCCGTAGCTAATCTTCCATCTCTATCTCCACTGAGGCTACTTTGAGGGAAATGCCAACTTTCTGAGATTTAGGACCTAACCTCTGCCTTGCTTTTATTTATTTATTTTTTAAAGTTTATTCGAAAGGCAGAGCGATAAAGAGTCTTCCTTCTACTAGTTCGTTCTATAAATAAATGGCCATAGTGGTTGGGGCTGGGCCAGGCAGAAGCCAGGAGCCTGGATCGTCCACCAGGGGTCCCACATGGAAGGCACCTGCATCATCACCTGTTGGTTTTTCAAGAACATTAACAGGGAACTCGATCTGAAGTGGAGCAGTCAGGAATTGAACTGGTGCTCATATTGGATGGCGGTGTCATGGACAGCAGCCTTTAGCTCAACCTTTACCTACCTACCTCTGATACACCTTCTCTCTCTTCCCTCGCTCTTTGCCTCCCATTTCTTCCCTCCCTGCCTTCCTCCCATCCATACCAGCTGCCTCTAAGTCCTTGATTAATTACTCACTGCGCAAGAACTGCTACGCCTGTGTTACTGTGTTTTCCTTGCCTACCCCCACTCCCCCACTCGGTTTCCCTTCTTTACGAGGTGTTACAGCAGGGTCTTTTCTCTCGGAGCCAAGTTTTCCCAGTCCCCAAGGCCCACAGCCCAGTTGATGGCAACAGATCGCTCCTCTTTTTGGAATGCAGGAATGCAGACAGAGCCTGTGGTCCAGGCTGGCTGACTGAGAGTATTTTCGTCAGGCAAGGCCTGAACAATGTACCCTCTCTATCCAAGCCCGTGTTTATTTGGTTAACTTTTTTTCCCCCCAAATTTATTATTGTTTTTATTGTGATGAAATACACATCGGTGCCATGTTGAATTGTGTCCCCAGGCGCAGTCCCTCAGTTCACTCTGTAGCTCTTTTCATCTCATAGAGCTGAAACTCGGCACCCATTATGTTTGTGTAAGATTTTGTTTTCCCTCATGTTCGCACCTCCAGGCTCTGGCGAGCAGACGTGTGCCGGTGTAAAAGGCTGTATTCTCCTTAGCTTTGCTGCTCTCAGCAGCTGTACTGAGCCTCAAAGATGCTTTCAGAGGGCAGCGTACCAGGGAGTGGGAAATGCCCCTTGTGGGACAATTAGGACAATACTTCCCATAGACACACTGGTTAGGATGCTAGCCATGCCTTCTGCACGTGAGGCCAGCTAGCCCATGGCAGGGGTCAGGGAGCATCGTAGAGATGTCTCCTTGGCTTTCAAGCGTCCATATCCTTGGAGGTCAAATCATTTCTTTAAGAACTTTCCTGGCAGCAGACAGGATTCACTGAGTGGGCATCCTGCATGCATCACTGGAAGTATGACTTCTGAATCATCAGACTTGCTTCCTCTTATGCCTTTTTTAGTCCTCAAAGGTTTAAATTGTGAAATAGGTATGACACAGAATGTACAATTGTGCTCCCCCTTTTTAAAGATTTATTTGTTTGTTTATTTAAGATTTATTTTATTTTTATTGGAAAGTCAGATATACAGAGAGGAAGATCTTCCATCTGTTGGTTCACTCCCTAAATGGCTCAGTGGTCGTAACTTCACCAATCGGAAGTCAAAAGCCCAGAGCCTCTTTCCGGTCTCCCTTATTTTGATTGGTCAGGCAGATAAACAGAGAGAAGGAGAGACAGAGAGAAAGATCTTTCATCAGCTGATTCTTTTCCCAAGTGGCTGCAGATGGCAAGAGCTGAGCGGACACAAAGCCAGGAGCCAGGAGCTTCTTCTGGGTCTCCCACGTGGGTGCAGGGTCCCAAGGCTTTGGGCTGTCCTCAACTGCTTTCCCAGGCCACAAGCAGGGAGCTAGATGCGAATCAGGCCTGCCAGGATTAGAACCATTGCCCATATGGGATCTTGGCGCATTCAAGGCAAGGAGTTTAGCCACTAGGATACCACTCCAGGCCCAATTGTGCCCATTTTTTAAAGTATGTTTATAGATTTGGAAGGGGGAGTCAGAGTGTAATTGGTTGGTGACAGAAAAAGAGAGTTCTTCCGTTTGCTGGTTCACACACCAGCTGCGCCCCCCTCCTCCTCCCATGCCAGTCCTGGGCCAGACACAGCCAGGAGCCAGGAAATCCATCTGGGTCTGGCATGTCAATGGCATAGTCCTAGGCACTAGAGCTGTCATCCACTGCTAGTGCACCACTTCCCAGGTATGTAGTAAATAGCTGGATTGGAAGCAGAGCAGCCAGGACTTTAACCAGAGATCTGATGCAAGGTGCTGGTATCACAAGCCAAAGCTGAACCCACTGCACCATAACCCTGTCCCTATCTTATCTGTTTTCAAGTGTTGAGAGCATTCAAATCATTGCACTGTCATCACCACCATCTGCCCTTAAACACTTGGGTCGCTTCCCTCTTTGTTGTGAAGACAGCTGCTCTGACTAGGAATGTGCAAAGTGTATAAGTTTACTGGATCCTTTGCACTTATCAGAGACCTGATGAGAAAATGAATTTGTACACTGTGTGGGTTGCCTTTTCGTTTTGTGGGTGGTTCCTATTTTCTTCTGTTGTGTAAGTGGAGCTTTTAATCCCCAGGCTTGCTTCTTTCTGTGATTTTTTTTTTTTTTTTTTTTGTGCTGACGCAGAATTTCTTATTAGGCTTTTGTAGATACAATTTCCTTTCCTCCTTAGGCTGCTCCCTGGTAAACAGGTAAATATTGTCTTGCTGTTGGTCCCCAGGCAGTTGGGCACCTTGTTACTGGGCTTATATCATCATTGTTGCCAGTTCTCCCCATTCATTGAAGGTATCCAAAAGCCATACTCGTAGTGCATGGCCACAATCCTAGAGTCACACAGATTCTTCCATGAACATTCTGTGACTTTGCTTTCCCTGTTTGTACCCGTTGATGTTCTGGGTGGGCAGTTAAGATGTGAATTGCACACATCACAACAGGCACAGAATTGGGTTCATATCTTGCATGGTTGGCAGTACTTTTGTTTTTCTTCATTGAAAGATTTACTTATTTTTATTGAAAAGTCAGATTTAAAAGAGAAGGAAATATAGAGAGAAAGATATCCATCTTTTGATACACTCCCCAAGTGGCCACAATAGGTGATCCGAAGCCAAGATCCAGGAACCTACTCCAGGTCTTCCACAGGGGTGCAGAGCTCCAAGGCTTTGGGCTGTCCTTGACACTTTCCCAGGCCATAAGCAGGGAGCTATATGGGAAATACAACATCCAGAACACGAACTGGCGTCTATATGGCATTCCAGCACATGTAAGGCGAGGACGTTAGCCACTAGGCTATCAAGCTGGCCCTGGCAGTACTTTTGTTTAGGATGCCCATCAATGTGGAAGTCAGAGTCCGAGCTGGCTTTGTGACGTTGGATGTAATATTAGAGTAGAAACCTCTTCCTGTCAGAATCTCCCCCATAGTCAGGTTCATCCAGTTTGGTGAGAACTGTTGTTGGAAAGTTGTGGGCCAGCTTCATAAGCATTTGGAGTTCTATAACCAAGTGCTGCCAATTGTAGGTCTGAGGAAGAGCCTGGTGAATTCCTGGCAGCAAACACTATTAGCATTAGTGATTCCCTCACGGTGCTTCTTGGGTCCCGGTTTTGGGTTAAGACTGAGGTTTACTAAGGTCACTTTCTCTCTGGCAGAGAAAACTTACAACATCTCTGCTGCTCTTCCGGGGGCTCCGTGGGAATAGGATATCATGTCCTGTATGTCTTTCCCACCTCCAGGCTGAGCACAGGGCCTGCAGCTCCAGGTGCTTGGTGTGGGTTAGTGCCTGGAAGGAGGCCACCAGCACTGTGATAGCAGAGGGAGCCGGCCTAAGAATTTGCAAGGAAGAAAGAGTGGGGCTGGCACCTTCTCCTCCTCCCCTTCCTCCTTCTTTGAACTCTTTCTTGAGGAGCAGCTGTTGAGCTGTGCTCTTGGATGTGGTAAAGAGAGGCCTGGGTCAGCCCCGACAGCTGTATCCTAGTGTAGTAGAGCAGGGAGCACCTTCTCCAGATGGTTTTAGGGAATAACTGGCCAAAAGGTTCCAGAAAGGCAGCTGCTTGGTGTCTGTGTGTAGCACAGAAGTGCCTGGCTTGGTGGGGCACTTCCCCCTTAGAATGCAGACTGTGCCATGTGAGGCTCCACAGCTCCACCTGTCTGGGGACCCAGGACCTGGATGGCCAGCTTTGCTACCTGTAATCTGCAGGACTGCTGCCCTACCTGCAGGGTTGCTGAGTGACAGTGTGCTGGTACTGCCCTGTCTAGAGGGGACAAGTGATGGCAGGACACAGTGGTCATGATCAGAGTTTGCTTCTTTCAAAATTTTTTTCCTTAAGATGTATTTTTATTGGAAAGGCAGATTTACAGAGAAAAGGAGAGACAGAAAGAAAGGTCTTCCATCCATATGGTATGTTGGCATCACAGAAACAGGCTTAACTCATTGCACTGCAATGCCAGCGGAGTGGAGTTGTTTGTCGTTTCTTGAGGGCCCTCCCAGAGATTGGACAAAGCCTTGACGCTTGATAGAAATGGGAGTGTTTCCCCAGGATTTTGCATTTGAGAAGGTAGTAGGTCCAGAGCACTATCATTTGAATGCTGCATAAAGCTACTCTAGCACCTTTGGGACACCTTCACTGGAAGCGGTCTTGATGCCCATGTCCTCGCAGAGCTGAGGCATTGGTGTCTCGACTGTGTGGTTTGAGGAAGGTGACTTGGGCCTCAGTGGAGGTAAAGGAACATGAAATTGTCCTACCGGGGGAATGCTCGGGGGCTCACTGCCACCACACCCCTCCCTCCACCATCCTGTGGGGATATGAACAGTCCTTTCCTTAACTGTGGGTCTCTGGGGAAGTTTAAAATGTAACCAGCATTGGAGGTGTAAATCCTGACATTTTTCCCCCCTCTTTGTTGCGTGTTTTTAAAATGCAGTTAATTTCCTATCTGAGTTCTTGTGTTGTTTTTATAACTGGCAGAGGGAACATTCTTTATTTTATGGGATGAGTGGGTTTAACTGAATGAGAATGTTCCTTCTGTCGTTGAGCACTTCTCAGAAGTGGCCAAGGCACACAGCTGTCAGGCCTACCTCACTGCCCCTCCAGGAGTTGGGAGCTCGAGCACAGATCAGGCAGTTGGCACATTGGGAATGGTACGACTCAGGTCAGCCATCAAAATGACACTGAGGAGAGGACACCTCTCTGCCCCTTGGCCAATGTCCAGCTCTGCTGACTTTGACCTCTGTGCATTTTAGGGCTGGCAAGTTCCAGTTGTCTGTGTGGGCAGTACCAAAACAAAATAGGCCAGGAAAATAGCTCTTTCTCCCTTCATTGATGCAACCAATTTATTTCCTTGGCTTTTTCCTCTTTGTTATTACCAAAAGAATGTGAGAAAATGTACACAGGCCCAGAGATGCACCCTTTTAGCACTTAACCGCCATAGCTCGCTGCAGATTGTGAGTTTGGCGAGCCTGCTGGATTCCTGGGGAAACTCATCCCTCACTCCCTGCTCCCTCCCATGCCCTCTTGTTGTGTGCTTGCCTGAATCATTGATCTTCTGAGACAACCCTGGACAGCCAGGGTGTTCATGGCATCTTGCTTTGGAAGAAGGGGACTTGTCTGCATGAGGAAACCAGCAGCTAGATGACCAGGACCTGTAGGAACACTTCAGTACAAATGGTAATGCTACCTGGGCCACCACAAGGATGCAGCCAACCCCTTGAGCACAGTTGTCCTGCACCTTTTAACTTTTCTTTGCTTTTTTTTTTTTTTTTAATAAGATTTTTAGGACCCAGTGCTTAAGTCCTTGCCTTGCATACCCAGGATCTCATATGGGCACCAGTTCTAATCCTGGCAGCTCCACTTCCCATCCAGCTCCCTGCTTGAGGCCTAGGAAAGCAGCTGAGGACCGCCCAAAGCTTTGGGACCCTGCACCCCATTGGCTCAGCTCTTGCTGTTGTGGCTACTTGGGTAGTGAATCATCGGATGGAAGATCTTCCTCTCTGTCTCTCCTCCTCCCTGTATATCTGACTTTACAATACAAATAAATAAATCTTTTAAAAAGTTTTTTTAATTTGCAAATTAGAATTACAGAAAAGGAGAGAGAGCGAGACAGAGATATCTTCTATCATCTGATTCACTCCCTAAATGACTGCAATTAGAACTGAGCTGTTCCGAAGACAAGAGCTTGGAACTTATTCTTGGTCTCCCACGTGGGTATAGGGTCCCAAGGCCTCTAACCATCCTCTGATGCTTTCCAAGCCCCAAGCAGGGAGCTGGATCAGGTAGTGGATTGCAAGCACTGCAGGAGGAAGATAGCGCACTACACCCCCGTGCCAACCCTGACTTTTCTGCACCTAATAACAGTGGTTCAGATATCGTATAGATTAATCTAGGAACAGCTCCAGGTGAACTGCAAACAGCCCTTGCTGTTCAGTCCCCAGCAAGGGATTCCTAGGATGTAGAAATGACTGTTTGATTAGAAGACCAGGATCCAGGGGCTGCAGCCAAGGCTGCGCTGCACATGGGTTTCAAGGAAGAGCATCAAGGAGCCTGTTTCTCACTTCAGGTGTTTGACTGTTCTGGGGGTTTGCATAGGCATATTTTCTGCTTCTCTGAAACATTTCTTGGAAGAAATGGCCGTAACAATAGGAACTGTAACTTGGGACTCTTGAAGCTGATTGGAGGACGTATGTAAAAAGCAGATAACATACTACTGGTGTGAAGCAAAATGTGTTGTGTTGTCAGCTCTAAGCTGCTGTCAGTTTTATTTCAAACTGTTCTTGCCATTTGGCCAAAAGCTCATATGAAGAAGCAGACCTGACATGCTTTCTAAAGGCATTAGAGTTGCATCCCCTGTGTCTCTTGGGAACACAAAGAGGGTGGGATGTGACTGTACACATCTAACGAGTATGCTGGTACCCAAGCTCCACTCAGTTTCCTGTCTTGTTTGTTGCAGGGAAGCATGCAGGTGCTGGTGACTTACGGTGGCGATCCCATTCCGAAGAGTCCCTTCACTGTGGGTGTTGCTGCCCCACTGGATCTGAGCAAGATCAAAATTCACGGGCTGGAAAATAGTAAGTGTCAGTATGCTGGGAGGGTGGGTCTTTGATGACCTGCAGACTGCCTGCCAGTGACATTTTCTTCCAGAGGCGGAATTCATGGAGAAGCCAATTTAACTTGAGGCTTTGCAGCTGGCCAGGCTGTGAAATAGATCTTTGACCTTGCTGTCCACTGAATTCCATCAATCCTCAGTTTTCTCATTTGTACAGTGAAGGGGGAAGTGGTTGTCAAGAATTTGAGTGCATAGAACAACTGCGAAAATTCAGTGAGCTAAGAAGTCAGAGGATAGCACTTAGGAATTATATGTGCCAGCGAAAGGGTTCTGCCATTGTTTACTGTGTGTTAAGGTTACTCTGCAGTGCCTACTGGCCTTTGAAATCTGCTATGTCTCAGGGCAGTCATTTTCATCTACATGTCCCTCATTAGTGTTAACTCCTAGGTGATTCCATCCTGATTGACCCTTAGTGGTATATGTTCATCTGGTTTTAGGGCTACCAACTTATCATGACAAGGGCCCACTCCATCCAGGGAAGGCCTGTGAGTTCGTGTTTCCCCAGGTCTTAGCTGTGCCTTAGACTTGTCACTTCCTTTGCCAGTGACCATAGTCCCCAAGTTGAGAGTGAGGACAGCTCCCAGCGCGAGAGGTTACAAAGCAAGTGGCTGGTGGTGGCAGCTGTCAAACAAATGGTCATGTCCTGGCTCTCATGTGTGCCCTTTCGTGCACCTACCTGGAGGTATTCACCTCCAGAACAGGAAGAACCCAGTGCCAATTAAGAAAAACCTTTTTGCCTTAGTGACATGTGAATCTAAGGCCCTCTGTACCTGTAGTTTGGCAGTGTTGATCTTGGCAGGTCCTGGAATGCCCCAGAGACAAGATTTCTCTGGGTTGTTTAGAGGACCCTGAGTTCTTGGGCCTTTTGTGTCTGTGAAAGTCACATATAGCACTTGAGCTGCCTATGGCACGGCTTGGCAAAGATCTTCACAAACTATCACACTACAACCGGTTCTTAGGACTGACCACAGTGTCCTGACTTTGTCCTTCTTGGGAGTGGAGTTCAGAGGATGCATGGCTGTGGAAATTAGTTCTTGCAAAGAATTAGTAAATGCAGTGCTGACTTAGGTACATATTTTGATGCATGATGAATATCTAAAGTATGGAAAAGAGGTCAGTTAGGTTGTAACTGCTGGTCAGCCACATGGATCATTGAAGTCTCTTTAGGCTTGAATCCCAGTTCCTTGTTTGCTGGACATGTTTCTCTGGGCAGTTCACTAACCCTCGCTGAGTCTCATTTGTGCCACCATTGGTGGAGGATATCACAGGAGGCAATGTGCTGTGTGTGTTTGGCATGCAAAGAAGTCAGCCATCTTATTGCAGTCATCATTGTGTGTTCATGACTGTGCCTGCACCTCCATTACTGAGATGCAAGAGCTGTGCATCTTGGTTCAGTTTTGCTTCTTTTCTTCTGTACCTGCTTTGTAGTGATGTAGTGGTATTTCTTGAGAGGCTAAGTCCCAAAATCTAAGGACCCACCTTGCCCTACTCACAGTCATTCTTGCAACTGAACCTGGTATGCTCCTCACTCTGGCTTGTTTCCCTTTTCTAGGGGTCGAAGTTGGACAGGATCAGGAGTTTACCATTGATACCAGGGGTGCAGGAGGCCAGGGAAAGCTGGATGTTACCATCCTGAGCCCCTCACGTAAGGTTGTACAGTGCCTTGTGGCACCTGTGGCTGGCCGGGAAAGCAACACTGCCAAGTTTATCCCTCGGGAGGAGGGCTTGTATGCCATCGATGTGACCTACGATGGACACCCTGTGCCTGGGAGCCCATACACGATGGAAGCCTCACTGCCGCCTGATCCAACCAAGGTCAGCTTGTGTTTTTGTTCAAGAATGAGACTGATTGTTGTGAAAATGTACACTGTCATCTCTCTCTCTGGCTTTTTGTCTGTTGAGAGCCTTTGGAAAATCCCTTTGTATGGATGCCAGGCAGTGGATGATGATCATCCTTCTACAGTAGTGGGTCAGGAGCCCCTGGGCAGACGGGACCTGTCCCTGCCCTTATCTGTGCTCTTCCTGCAAGACTTCGGTGTGGGACCTCCTACCTCCATGTCTTAGAGTCCTTTTCCTTCATTTGTTCCTGTAGTAATGGTGTTCACTACAAAGCCAGCTGCAGGTTAGTGTCTGGAGCCCCGGCTAAGCTTACCCTACTGAAATAACATGAACAACATATCTGCTCTTGTTAAAGTTTCTTCATAACTCAAAGGATTTGATTTGTTTCTGGTGGACTGGATGCCATGGATGTTAGACAGTTGCTCTAATTATTGAAATAGAGCTGAAAATCTCATCCCTCCCTCTTGTTGGTTACTTATTTAAAAGGATGGTGTTAAAGAGTCAGAGTAATCTTCCATCCAAGGATGGTGTTAAAGACTCAGAGTAATCTTCCATCTGCAGCTTCATTTCCCAGGTATCTACAGTAGTTATGGCTCTGCTAGGCAAAAGTCAGGAACATCCCAGGTGAATGACAGGAACTAAATACTTGGACCATAGTCCATTGCCTCCCAGTGCCTCAGCAGGAAGCTGGATCAGAAGTGGAGACAGAAGTTGATTCCAGGCTCTCTAATGTGGAATGCAGGTGTCCTTAACAAAATTTCAATACCATGGCCAGACCTTCCCTGTTTTGTCTGTTTAATTAATCACTTTTACTTTTGTTTGAAAGGCAGAGAGAGAGACAGACACACATTGCCCATCTACTGGTTCATTTCCCCGATGCCTGCAACAACCAGGCCTAGTACAGGCTGATGCCAAGTGGGTTTCTGTGGGAGGTATGAACCCCAATAATTTAGCCAACACCTGCTGCCACCCAGGGTGCACATTAGCAGGAAGCTGGATCAGAAGTGGCAGAGCAAAGGCATGAGCTGGATGTGTCAATATGGAACGTGGGTGTCACTAGCAGCATCTTAACAATGAAATGGTGCCAAATGCCCTTCCCCAGTTCAGTTTTTCATTACACAGAATTTGTTGAATGACGTTTAGCAGCCAAAGCCCAAGCAAAGTCTATGGAATCCCTTCCATGAGACTCTAGGCTAGGAAAAACCCACATGTGCTTATTGGCTGGATGTTCAAATTCAGGCTCTTTCGGAGGACAGCACGTGACTGGAGAGAGGAGCATCTGGGGTTTCTGTCTTGTTTCCTGCTGCTGAACCCTACGCCTGTCTCTGCCTTCTGGTTTGTAACTGGGTTCTTAGCTATTTGTACTATTCAGTGTATGCAGGTAAGTCAAAAACAGTTCTTGAACATTGGAATGAAAAGTGTATTTTCATTCAGAAATCTTACTTGCCATCCATGCTTTGTTTTTCCATAATATGTGTTTTCCACATATTGGCTCTAATATACGTAGGCAGGTAGATGCAGGTATATGTTCCAGGTTGGGTCCCCAGGTAGAAGGAACTGTTCTTGCTGATGGCCTTAGCAACATGACATGGAACCTTAATTTTTATTCTTTGTCCCAAAAGGTAAAGGCCCATGGTCCTGGCCTTAAAGGTGGTCTGGTGGGCAGACCTGCTGAGTTCACCATTGACACCAAAGGAGCTGGCACTGGCGGTTTGGGCCTAACTGTGGAAGGTCCGTGTGAGGCCAAAATTGAATGCTCAAACAATGGTGATGGAACCTGCTCCGTGTCATACCTTCCCACAAAACCTGGAGAATACTTTGTCAACATTCTCTTTGAAGAAGTCCACATTCCTGGTTCACCCTTCAAAGCTGACATTGAGATGCCATTTGACCCCTCTAAGGTTGTGGCATCAGGACCGGGTCTCGAGCATGGGAAAGTGGGTGAAGCTGCGCTCCTTAGCGTTGACTGTTCAGAAGCGGGACCCGGAAACCTGGGCCTGGAAGCTGTCTCAGACTCAGGATCCAGAGCTGAAGTCTCTATTCAGAACAATAAAGATGGCACCTACGTGGTAACCTACATGCCCCTGACTGCTGGCATGTACACACTGACCATGAAGTACGGCGGTGAGCTGGTGCCGCATTTCCCAGCCCGGGTCAAAGTGGAGCCCACTGTGGACACCAGCAGGGTCAAAGTCTTTGGGCCTGGAATAGAAGGAAACGGTAGGTTTCATTAAAGAGAGAATAAATGAGAATGGAACTTCTGGGTGGAGAAGTTGGGGCACAACTGCAGACTTGGCCACCAATGGCCTCTTGAGGTCTAAGCTCCAGAGAGTGGGGGCCAGCGCTGTGCATATATAGCGGCTTTGTTCCCATTGCTCAGTCAGCATTATTTGTGGATCTCCTGGTTTTTATTGCAAAGGCGAGCATATCAACTTGTGTGGGCAAACTCAATATCCTTCACGACCCTTGTACCAAAAGGACTTCAGATATGTTGCTGGCTAGCTCCATGCATACTACAGAGCAAAAGCAAATTTCTTCTCTCTCTCTCTCTCTCTTTTTTTAATAAGATGTGTTTATTTTTATTGGAAAGGCAGATCTACAGAGAGAAGGAGAGACAGAGAGAAAGGTCTTACATTTGCTGGTTCGCTCCCCAAGTGGCCACAGCAGCTGGAGCTGAACTGATCTGAAGCCAGGATCTAAGAGCTTATATCAGGTCTCCCATGTGGGTGCAACATCCCAAGGCTCTGGGCCGTCCTCAACTGCTTCCCCAGGCCACAAGCGGGGAGCTGAATGGGAAGTGGAACAGCTAGGACACAAACCAGCAGCTACATGGGATCCCAGGCATTGCAAGGCGAGGATTTTAACTGCTAGGCTGTCGTCCTGGGCCCTTTCCTCATTGTTTAGCCTGTCATGGGTGTCACTGGATGTGAAGTCATTTGGCCAAGACAGCTTGATAGGGACTATTTAGGCAGTAAAGTGAATATTTCTGGATTGTGAGTGTCAGACCAGTTGTTCACTGTCACTGAAATTGGCCTTGCTATGTTCTGAAGTGGGCAGGAATTTGGTTCTGGGTACCAGGTATTGGCAACATTCTGAACCTTTTGTGGTCAATCTGCAGATGTATTTCGAGAAGCCACCACTGACTTCACTGTGGACTCACGGCCACTGACCCAAGTTGGTGGTGACCACATCAAGGCCCACATTGTCAACCCCTCTGGGGCCTCTACTGAGTGCTTCGTCACTGATAATGCTGACGGGACCTACCAGGTGGAGTATACACCTTTTGAGAAAGGTGAGTCACCCAGTGCTGGCCGAGCTATACTTGGCCAGTTGGCCAGTTCTTCTAGGTGGCTGCTGTTGACCCCTGCCCCAGGTGCACTGTTAAAGGGAAATATGACAGCTTTTTGTCCAGTAGTTCGCCTTCCTATTGAACCCTGGGCTTGCCTGTCTCATTGTGTGATTGGTAGGCAGGAGTTTGGCCTCTGCGTCACCTGGACGAGTTGTGAGGTCATGGCATGGAGCTCACGTGTGGAATGTGTTTATGTGTTATTTTATTCAGTGTTAAGGATTAAGAAGAAATTTAAGATCAGATAAGCACAAAGAAATAACGAAAGCATTTAATATCCTTAGAAACTAGATATAATATGACCACTGTGACTATTCACATACTCTATCTTTCCGCCTTTGTGCTGCTTTCTGTTTGTCTTTTGACTATTGCCTGGATGAAGTTTTCCCAAATTAAGGGTTTTTTGAGAAGGACTAACTTGAAATAGAGACTCTGTGGGTATAGAGTTGCTTATGTGACTGTTAAATGAATGGCAAGCACAAGTAATTTGCTCTTCAAAAAAAATTAAAATTATTGTTTTTTTTAAGATGTATTTTAAAATTTATTTTGAAAGTCTTGCATAGTTTACAGACTTGAATGCTAGGTAAAGCCTTGAAGAAGTGCATCACTTCCAGCAGTAGGTAACTGTTATGTAAACTTGGCATTTCTGTACTTTGCTCTGAATAGGCCTCCATGTAGTTGAGGTGACATATGATGATGTGCCTGTCCCGAACAGTCCCTTCAAAGTGGCTGTAACCGAAGGCTGCCAACCATCTCGAGTTCAGGCCCAAGGTCCTGGGCTAAAAGAGGCCTTCACCAACAAACCTAACGTCTTCACTGTGGTTACCAGGTAGGTAAAGGGCCTGAATTCAAAGGTTCAGTCTTGTAAAGGAATAACCCTAGATACCATAAGTGTTTTTAGATAAGTGTTCTATTTTACAAAGCAAAAACTGATTTAAAAACAGTCTCCCAATTTTTTAAAAGGTTTATTTTCATTGTATGTGATATCAATAGAGATCTGTGTTATAGAGAGGCACCAAGTCTCCTTATAAATATATCCCTGAACCCTCCAGTAATACTCTTATACAACTGGTGAAGCCAAAGATCTTCAGTTGATGAAGCAGAAATTTATAATGATTTTACTATGTAAAAGAAATATTGAAGCATTTCTATTTAAACTGGTCATAAAGGATATGACTGAATCAGATTCGCAGTTTTATGCAATGAAATGAAATATGAGAAAAATATTAAACACTAGGAATGTTATACTATCTAGAAGTTGTCTGGGTAGGAGGTGTTGTCCTAATACTCAACTATGTCTGCTAATTGGGATACTTTACGGAGGGATTTTAAGTGAATTTTGGTAGTGAGCAGAAAAATGTGAACTATGTACATTCTACTTGTTTTTTTCATTCTTCCAGAGGAGCAGGAATTGGTGGACTTGGCATAACTGTTGAGGGACCATCGGAATCTAAGATAAACTGCAGGGACAACAAAGATGGCAGCTGCAGTGCCGAGTACATCCCATTCGCTCCAGGGGATTATGATGTGAACATCACCTATGGAGGCGCACACATCCCTGGTACGTAAGCTATGCCATGGAAGGCAGCCTGTGGGTAATTGATTTTGTGTGAAAACCGATTTGATTCGCTTATCTCTCCAAGTGGGAAAATTGGTTTTGTATTTATAGCAGCTGCAAAGGGAAAAATTTCCATAGGGCTCTGTCTCCAGGAATACTCCCAACTTCCAGTAAACTAGCAGCATGGCAGAGGGCCATGGCTCAGAGTTTTTGACTGGAAGTGGTTGTGTGTGTGTTGGAAACCCTACTTCTCGATTTCAGGGAAAGTTGGTTTTCTACACAGTTGAAAGTCTTGATTTTGTGCTCAGTTTTCACCCCATATATATGTCTTGTTTTCTTTTTCCACTAACAGCTTTAGTTGCTGATAAAGACACCTGCATTTAGCTTTAACTTGTTTCTTTATGCTTCATGATGCGTAGTGTATCCCAACATCTTGGCCAGGATAATTCTCTCTTGGGGACAGCAATGTACTGTAGAGTGCTAGTTGGCAGCCCCAATCCCCAGTATGTGGCAACCAAAATTGTCTCTAGATACTGCCATATGTTCTCAGGAAAGCGCCACCCATAAGTGAAAACTTTTGCTATGAAGATTCAGTCAAGAAATATATGGCTGAAGGATCCTGCCCATTTTATTCCAGGGATGAAATCTCTCGTTTAGTTTTGTTATCTTGCGGGAAGGGTGATCACCAAGACCCTTGTACCTCTTCAGTAACCCTTGCATGTACCCGCACCCATACACGTAATGTGTTTGAAAGGGCATGTGGACTGTGGAGTGGGCACAGGTCCAAGGACACCAAGGCTGTTCCTGAGCCGGCTTCATCTCAGAGTAGGACAAACCTCAGTGGGTTGAGTTGTCCTTATCCTGAAGGCTGATAAGTTGGGATAATGCTAAGAGGGCAAGGGATTTTAGCTGCTTACTGTGTATAAATGTGTGTCATTCACTCTCTTCTTTCCCAGCTATCATTAAAGTCTCCCCAGCCATTGTGTAAAGCAGGTGCAGGGTGCATTTGTCATATAGGGCCTAAAACGCTTGCAAAAAGATCTGGTCCTATCCTGTAAGGTCAGCAACAGGTGGGACTTAAAATTCAGCAACTCCGTTTTTTAAAAAGACTTTTAAAAAAATTATTATTGAAAAGGCAGATTTACAGAGAGAAGGAGAGACAGAGAAAAAGATCTTCTTCTGCTGGTTCACTCCCCACATAGTTGTGCAATGACTAGAGCTGAACCAATCCAAAGCCAGGAGCTAGGAACTTATCCGAGTCTCCCACGTGGGTGCAGGGCAGTCCTCTACTGCTTTCCCAAGCCACAAGCAGGGAGCTGAAGGGAAGGGGAGCAGCCAGGATAGGAAGCAGTGAGCATTTGGGATCCCGACAGATGCAAGGCAAGGATTTTAGCCACTAGACTATTGTCCCAAGTCCATTTTTATGTAGATAATTTTGATTGGGGAATGATGTTATAAATACACATATGCCCCTCGACAAAGAACAAGATTTGTTGTACATGCTTTGAAGTAGTAAGTTTGCCCTCAAATTTGTAAATTTGTATTTACAATTCATTCAGTATATGGATAAAGGAGAAGAAAGAGAATATTACCTCCTCCCCTCAGAGTAGATTCTCTGAAGTTCATGTACTTACGCTCAAAACTACTCCAAGGAACATCAGCAGGGCTCAGTGTCAGATTCCAGGAACACACGTTCTGTCTGAAGTTTTACAGCATGGCTGTATTTGTTTTAAGAATGGATGGAAGGCTGACCCCAGGAGAGATGACTGGTTGCTCCAACCAACAGACCACTATGGAAGTGAGCACATGCTGGTAGCAGCAAGGCTGTTTTGACTTTTGCAAAGGTCTAATGGGTACCTCTGGCTTTGGGATTCTCTGTACAGGAAAGGGTTGAACACTTGGGGCTCTGTGGTTGAGCTGTGACTTAGAAGCAAGTATTTGGGTTTTGTTTTGTTTTTTTTAAAGGCTTATTTATTTTTATTGGAAAGTCAAATATACAGATAGGAGGAGAGACAGAGAGGAAGATCTTCCGTCCAATGATTCACTCCCCAAGCGGCCACAACGGCTGGAGCTGAGCCAATCTGAAGCCAGGAGCTTCTTCCAGGTCTCCCACATGGGTGCAGGGTCCCAAGGCTTTGAGCTGCTTTCCCAGGCCACAAGCAGGGAGCTGGATGGGAAGCAGGGCTGCTGGGGTTAGAACCAGCGCCCATGTGGGATCCCAGGCATACAAGGCAAGGACCTTAACCACTACGCTGTTGTGCCGGGCCCCAAGTATTCGTTTTTGAGGATAACAACAGAAAGTGACCTCTTTGGGGGTTCCTCTCTCAGATGTGGATAGTGTTCCTTCCTTCCTTAAACCTAGAATGTTCTTAAGGGAGAGCCAGTTAGCAAAGTGTCAAGCCATTTAACCAGGGTCACTCGACAGCCATGAGACTCTCAGGCACCTGCTAGCCTCTAATTTTCTTTCATGGGAATTTTGGCTGCTACCCAGGAATGCAGGTTGTGACATAGCAGTTAAATAACACTCCCATGGAATGCCCATATGCCATGTTGGAATATCTGGGCTGAAATGCCACCTCTGTTTTTGATCCAGTTTGCTACTAATGTGCCTAGAAGAAAGCAGATGATGGCCCCAGTACGTGTATTCCTGCCATGTGTGGGAAACTTGCATGGAGCCTCAGCCTTTTCTCTTGCAGACATTTGGAGACTGAACCAGTGGGTAGATGATACCTCTTGGTCCTGTTCTTGCTGTCTCTCCCACTCTCTCTGTTACTCTACCTTTTATATAAATAAAGGAATTAAAAATAAGGAAATAGATATTAGCCTAGTTTTCTCTGGCCTTGTTCAGACCTGCAGTGGGGTTGTTTTTAAAACTGTCCTGTGTTGCCTTTAGTGGCATTTTGGAGTCATGTAGTAACTGACTGAGGGCTGCTGCTGGTAGCTGCCTAGACTGCTGGGCTAACTAGGATCCCATACATGATAGGATAAAGGGTTCTTGAGACTAATTAGTGATGTCTCCCTTGGGCCCTGTCATGGGCGTGGGTGGTGGGCGTGCTTAGGTCTGCCATCCCAAGGCTTTGCTTGTTGGTTCTGGGTTGCTGTCATGTTGCAGTCAGAGAACTTCCAATGGAGTTAATTCACTGCTGGCATTTGTTGATACTGAAATCCTCCACTGTCATCCTGCAAGCCAAAGCTTCATTTTGTCCGTAAACCCTAGCAGGAGGGAGAGGGGTCTGGGGACTCCAGGAGCATTTCGTGGCAGAAGAGGTTGGGTCTGGGTCCCAGGCTGTGTGCCCACTGCACTGCTTCCTCCTTCTGTTCCTCCAACAACCATCCCATCTCTGGGCTTCTGTAGGTGCTGCTCCCTCTGCCTAAAGTATCTTTCCCTGTGCTCCTATTGAGCAGTGTCTGTGCCCTCTCCTGGCTCAGCTCAATTGTCCCCACCAAACTTTCTCTCATCTCTTGTGTACCTCCAACCTGTAGGACTTTAGAGTGAAAAGCTCACATGTCCGTCCTCTGCACTGTGAGTTCCTGATTGACTGTTTACCACTTAGGCTCAGCTGTTGTCTTGTATTTGGTGGTCTGGGCTGTTAACTTACCTAATAGTGAGCCCGAGGGGTGGGATGGGGACGGGTGGGGGCTGATGCTGCCAAAGGCCCTTATCATCAAAGGTAAGATCCCAGGTGGAACTGCATTGTCGTTCTCAGTGTACGTGGATGAGTCTCCTGGTAGCTGTGCTCAGAATCCTCCTGTTACCTCTTTTTCAGGCAGCCCCTTCAGGGTTCCTGTGAAGGATGTCGTGGACCCCAGCAAGGTCAAGATTGCTGGCCCAGGGTTGGGCTCAGGTGTTCGAGCTCGCATCCTGCAGTCTTTCACGGTAGACAGCAGCAAGGCTGGCCTGGCCCCATTGGAAGTGAGAGTCATGGGCCCACGAGGTGAGTACATCCTGCTCATGTTACCTTCCTTGGAGAGGGAGAGCCATGACCCAGGACTATACCTTTGATTTTAAATCTCCTGTTACTTTTATTGCTTCTTGTTCTAGCTAAACAGTAGAGATATTCCTTAAAAGGTGTCAAATCTATTGCTTTTAGGGATCTTTCTTTTCCTCAGTTTAATAATGTGGCCCTTAATTTTTTTAAATTTAATTTTTTAAAGCAGCTCAGTAGAAAAAGTCATCTTTGAAAGCTCTGGTGTAATTTTATTGTGATTAATTGCATGGATAATCAATTACATGCTGTAGCATTTGTGAGAAGCCTGGGTTTGTCTGGATGTTCATGGTGTATAGTTAGGAGGTGTTCTCTTGAAACTCCTGTGGAGCCTACCAGAATCTCTGGGAATGCCAGACATGTAGCCCATGTGACCCTTGGCTTGTCAATATCTAAATTCCCTGGAGAGAGAGAGGATCTCTTGGGGAATGGGTTTTGGTGGCAGTCTGTTGTGTAAGATTTGGTTAGGTTAGTAGCAGTTCATTTGGGGATAAAGGCCTGAAGTGCATTGAAGCATGCCTGTTTTGGTAAACAATCACTTTCCACTTTCAGAATTTAAAATGTGTCTCTCTCCCTCATATATAAGAACTGTGCCCAATTTCTTAAATAATCTGAAGTTTTCCCCAGTGACGTGTCCTGGCTTCACAGAAGTAGCAAAAACGGGCTTCCTTCTTTGAAGAGGAACCTCCTTAATGGGGTTCAGCAGGAGGTTATGCACTTTTGAAGCTCAGGACAGAAGTGGTTTGGGAGAAATGAGATCACGGAGCTGGAATCTGAACTTATAAAGTTACTATGCTCCTGGAGTTGCACTGGGGTTGAGGAGGTGAAGGACAAGGGCATGAGAATTAGGTGCATTTATTATAGGGGACTCTCAAGTGAGAGCCTTATAGTTGTAACTGCTGAAGTGGAGTCATGGACAACTTCTTGAAAATCATTTCAGAGTTCTTTAAAGGTGACCTCAAGGGTGACTCTATGGAGACTGTTCTGTATTTTCCCATTGGTTGCTGCTCTCAATTATGTAACTTGAATGCCACTCATTGGCCCTGCTTCTACAACTGGCTTGTGCCTGCCCTGTCTGCTTTGCTTAATTAACACACCGAACTTTGATGAACCTGCCCTGTCATTGACCTATCCTTAACACTGCCAGACAGAGCTGGCATCTGGAATCTATCAGCCCAGTGCATGTCTTGATGATGATGCTTCCGTGCAATCTCAGCTATAACTCACAGGCAGAGATGAGCATCCTTCCCCAGCCTTCCCCAGCATCCCAATAGGCTTAATGCCACAGTGTTTTTTGCTCAAAGGTGACCACAAATCTTGGACTTGCCAGCTTCTTAGTTAATTTTTGCTGTTCAGAGTTCTGTACTCCTGGGACATTTTCTCAGCCAAAGGGTAAAATTGCCACATCCCAAGCGTGTCTGACCAGTTTGAAAGGAGATTGTTATGTCTGCAAGCTGTATCTTCACCATTTGCCCTCCAGCAGCAAACATAGACGGTCTCCTTAATTAAACTCTAGGGCCAACTGGGTGTCCCTTAGCCAACCGAAAGCAAAGGTGTCTTTTGAGGTAATTTCTGTAGCCATGAATTCGGGTTCCTGTGATTATAACCTGCTTGTCTCCATGTGACTTGTCAGTGAAAACCAATTGCTTCAGGAATGGATGCACTACTATCGCAAACCCAACTAAGAGCTGAGTGAATAGGAGGCCAGGCAGAGTTCCTCAGAGCTCCCATGTCTGTCTTTAGGTCTGGTGGAGCCTGTGAATGTGGTGGACAATGGAGATGGCACACATACAGTGACCTACACCCCATCTCAGGAGGGGCCTTATATGGTCTCTGTTAAATATGCCGATGAAGAGATCCCTCGCAGGTAAGCTCCTGACACTGGAGGAATGACTTCTAAGCCAACTTTGAGCCCTGCCTCCTGCGGGATTGGCAAGAGATATACACAAGTTTATCTGGCTATGCAATTTGGGCATATTTTTGGTTTAGCCATTAAGATGCCCATATTGGAGCATTTGACCCAGGGAGGTTGATCAAATAACTGGTGCTCCTGCCACCCATGTGGGAGACCTAGATCTGCTTCCTGGTCCTTTGGGGTGCGAATTAGCAGATAGGAGTGTTCTCTCTTTTTCTTATTATATAAAACATGCTGAATATATAAGGAGAATAATAGTTAATGTAGAAGGTAGAATGAGCTGGAATACTAAAGGCCAAGTTCCAGCATTCTCTTTCTGTTTTGATGACTGTTGTGGTCATACTAAAAGTGGGTTCCCTGTGTTAACCTTATGTCTCTTTAACTAATTTTGAAACACTTTTACCTAAATTAATGGAGCATAATCAGGGCAGAGACTTGGAAATGGCCAGTGCCTCAAAGACTTGAAGTTCTGTTGATCCTATAGCATTTAAAATGAGATCATTGACTTCATTTGAAATTGTTTGCTGTTGAAATTGTCTTTTTTTGGAAAGATTTATTTATCTTTTTATTGGAAAGGCAGATTTACAGAGAGAAAGATCTTCCATCTGCTGGTTCATTCCCCAAGTGGCTACAAAAGCTACAGCTGAGCCAGTCTGAAGCCAGGAGTTCTGTAGGTCTCCCACGTAGATGCAGAGTCTCAAAGCTTTGGACTATCCTCCACTGGATTCCCAAACTACAAGCAGTGAAGCATCCAGAACATGAACTAGTGCCCATATCGCATGCTGGCACTTGAAATGGGAGGATCAGCCAATTGAATCATTGTGCTGGGTCCTAAAATTGCCTTTCTAATCCCAGTTTATCTGAGAGGTCAGGTGTAATTGGGCTGACATGTACTTACTGACAAGGATGTGTGTGTCTGTCTGTGCAGTCCCTTTAAGGTCAAGGTCCTTCCTACGTACGATGCCAGTAAAGTGACTGCCAGTGGTCCTGGCCTCAATTCCTATGGTGTGCCTGCCAGTCTCCCCGTGGAGTTTGCAATTGATGCCAGAGATGCTGGGGAGGGCCTGCTTGCTGTTCAGATCACGGTAACTTTATTTTTTGCAGTCAACCCTTTTCTAATAAGACCCAACTTCCTGGCCAGGCATAAAAGCTAGGTTTTAATCCCTGGGTTCTAACCCGATGCAAGTGTTTGTTAAGATTTTTCCCATCAAAGAGTAGGTATTGGCACAGGAAATCAAACACGTTCCCTGAGAGGTCTGAGAATTTTAATTCTAAGTGCCACTTTGGTGAATCACAAGTATTTTAGTTATTACATTTCTTTCTTTTTACTTTAAAATGTCTTAAATTACTTTATGGATCAGTTAGGACAAAGTTCTGCCCCCAGCCACAATAAACCCCTAAGTAAGAGTAGTTAAAACATGGGATTTCTCTCTTTACAAGTCCAGATTGAAGCTGTATGGGTTGTTTCGCAGATCACTCAGAACCGCGGGCTCCATCTCTACTCCTATACCCCGACAGGTGGCTTTTGTCCTCAAGGTGTCCTTATGGACCATGAGGCTCTAGCTGTTGCATCCATGGGTCAAACCAAAAGGCATAAGGGAACGAGCGGGGCCTCCCAGATTCCCAGTTCAGTCAGCTGTCTTCTGCGGCCTTATGGTCATCAGAGACTTCTGTATCCACTTTATTGGTCAGGAGTTAGACACAAGTCCTATGGCTGCAGCTCATGGCACAGCTGCTGGGAAGAATGGGGGCAGTACACCTGGCTGGGTGGTCTGTAAGTAGGAGCCTCCAATCCTTACCTCCCATGCCACAGTGGATCTGGAGCTAAAACACTTGGAATTATTTTGGCACCATCCATGTCTGTCATTGTGTTAAAGTCCTCTCCCATTAAAACAATACCAGATTGTATTACACGACTGAATCTGTCTCCTCTCATTCGGGACCCAAATAGATGGACAGAAGATGTGAATGAATGGTTTGTCAGTCTGACAGCAGCATCCTAAAAGCATGTCTTTCTGATCTGCAGGACCAAGAAGGAAAACCCAAAAGGGCTGTTGTCCATGACAACAAAGATGGCACATATGCTGTCACCTACATCCCAGACAAGACTGGACGCTACACAATTGGAGTCACCTATGGAGGGGATAACATCCCATATTCGCCTTACCGCATCCGGGCCACTCAGACAGGCGATGCTAGCAAGTGCCTGGCCACAGGTGAGTAAGGCACCTTCAGGGCAGGAATGTGGGCTTGGAAGTTTGTAGGCTGGCTCTGGCCCTGTCTGCCACTGTGTGATCTAAGGAGGTTACTCAACTTCTGCGCTTCAGTGAGATGTAGATTGAAAAGGAGTGTGTGTGGGCTGGAACCTGGAAAAAAGAGTGTCTTTCTCAAACAGTGGAGAGAGGATGGAGCAGCGGGGCTGTTACTGGCCTGATTTGATGAAGTCATGGCTTGTGCCTTTATTTAAATTTTTCACTGCTCCATGCCAACATGTGTAAATTTCAGATGTTAATCAAAACATTGTAAAAGTGAACTTGGAAAGTCAAGTAGGTATGCCTTGTGCTCTTTCCTGTGTCAGCAACTTGTGTGAAAAGCAGTAGAGGGTTTACTTCATCCAGATATCCACGAGCTTTTTCAGATCAACACTGGAGAGATGCATACAGAATCCAGGGTCCTCCTAGGCACCTGTGCTTGAGCCTCTCTGGAAGTCTCCACAGCTATTTGCACACTCTACTTCCCTTAGTTACTAAGCCAGGACTTGCTGACTAACATAGCTCTTGGCTTTCCAAGCTCTCATCTAATTTTTTGAGGATCAAGCGGGCATTAAAACTCCATCTTCAAAGTGAAGCTTGCTTGCCTTTCTTGAAATCGGAAGACCAAATTGCGATGTGCACCCCTGTATACTCTAGCTCCCATATACCTCGCTGTGCTCCATATAGAGAGAATCTTCTGGCTTCCACAGCAAGTTTGTGAGTTGCGTGGTTTGACGCTTTTTGAGTCACCCAGGTCCATAGCAAACATAGAAATTTGAAATATTAGGCATTGTGCCACCTCCCGGAGTGGTGCAGCTGCCCCTGAGAACTGAGCTGGTTTTGCTCACCTGTGAGCATGTTCCTGTTGCTTGGGGTCTTGTTGCTTGCATTTCAAGCCCTATTTCCTGAGCAGAATACTCTCTTGGCTGGAGACCCCTACTGGCATCATCACTTGGTCTGTCATTCATGATTTCTCATGGACTGGCTCTAGCCCCCTACCTGAACAAAGTCTTACTCCCTGCTGCTCCTACACTTTGCCCACTTTTTTACCAATATTCCTTTAGCTGATGCTTTTCTGCACTAAGTACCACTGTGAGAGAGAAGTCATTGTTTGGGAAAAGAGTGTAAGTCTTCCCCCAGTCATGAACACCCACACTTCAGAGAGCAGCCATTTTTTCTTTTGTGTGAGGAAGCCCACTCTCGGCATGGCAGCCCTGAGATAGGAATGCTTGGTGTCTGAACATTGTCTTACAGGATACATCTTGGGAGTATATTTGTTTTTTCTTTAGAATGTAGAAAGTGAATGTGGAAAGTCAAGTGGGTATGCTTTGTGCTCTCTGCTGTGTCAGCTACTCGTGTGAAAAGCACCATGGCAATGTGAGCCATCATTCTTGGTTCTCGGCCTGTGTCTATTAGACCATGAACATCATGAGAGTCGGAACTGTGTTTTCTTCTCTTTTTTTTATATGGGACTAGCACTTAAGCAAATGCCCAATACATGTTTGCTGATAGGCAGTTGACCCTCACTTCTCTATGCCTGATTGACACTTGGACCTAGATGCTCTGTATTTATTCTGACCAAGGTGACAAACACCATTGAGCCACTCCTGTCCCTGCTGAGGTTAGAGATCCAACTGTGTGTGGAGGCGGTGGACAGGCAGCACAGTGGGTACGATTTGTTCTCGGGCCTCCTGCATGAGATTCCATGGCTTCCATTCGCCCCTCCCATTGTTTCTCCAGGTCCTGGCATCGCTCCCACTGTGAAAACGGGCGAGGAAGTTGGCTTTGTGGTTGATGCAAAGACTGCTGGGAAGGGGAAAGTGACCTGCACGATTCTGACTCCAGATGGCACTGAGGCAGAAGCCGATGTCATTGAAAACGAGGATGGTACCTATGACATTTTCTACACTGCTGCCAAGCCCGGCACCTACGTCATCTATGTGCGCTTTGGTGGTGTTGACATTCCCAACAGCCCCTTCACTGTCATGGTAAGCAAGAGCCCCTCTCAGGAACTTCCAAGCAGCAGCAGGCAGATGTCCTTGGCAGAACCCTAGCTAGGTCATTCCCTTTTGCGGTCTCCTTGAAACATTTGTTACACAGCTGTGACCTTGTTGGGGTTTTTAGGGAACTTCCCTGCCTGCATGGTCCTACTTGGAAGCTTGAGCAACAATTTCTGCTCAGAAAGATTCACTTTTGGGAGAGCTTACACTTTTGCAGAAAAGTTGATAGAACATGATGGTTTTTGAGCCTGCGGTGGCTGGAGGAGTGAGGATCTTGAGGTTGTTTTGTCTGCAGATCTGACCCTGATACCTTAGTACTCGGATGACGCCCAGTCGGGTTTTAGGAAAGAGTGATACCTTAGGTCTGAGCAGGCAGTGCTTTATCTTTTGAAGTGAGCATGGCGGGAAACCTTATGCAGACAGCCAGGCCAGTGACTGACTTTGGGCCTTTAATTTTCAACCCCGACTGACTTTCAGATCTTCAACAAGGTAAGAGGGAAGAAAACCATAGGAGTATGACCTCACTTAACCCTCAAAGCAAGCGTTGCTGGCCCTTTTACAGATGAGGCGTGTCCACTCATCACCCCACCCCACCCCCTAAGCGCCTAGTCCAGTGCCGTCTCCCTCCCCACTGTCCTTTGATGCCACAGACCCTTAATGACCTGGCCCTGCCTGCAACCTACAAAACACCTTCTAATTATTTCACTTTGTGCATCCATGGAAAGGGGAGGGAGCCTTCATTCCCCACCAAAGCCTGAGGTCTTCCTTGCAGTCTGTGCTCTGCTGTGGTTTTTCCCTTTCCCCCATTGACATATGTTTATCAGTAAACATTGTGCTGGAGCCTGGAGGTCCTCTGGTGCCTCTAGTACATAAACACTTGTCAGCTGTTGAAGGCCTTCATCTGGGATTGTCTTCCTCCAGCACAGGAGAAGGAACTGCAGCAAGAAACTTATTATTCTTATTAACAGAGAGGGCTGGGGTTGTCATTTTCCACATCTCTTTTTGTCCACTCCTGGGTTATATCCAGTTGGAGCTGGGCAGGATGGAAGCACAGCTACTGGACGGGGGTCCTGGGCCTGCTGTTGCGTTGGGCTGAGGAGTTAAGGGGTCATGATGCAGGAGTCTTCAGGACATTGTAGCAGGAAGGTGAAAAGTTCCCATGAAGCCTCCCGAAGCCATTAGGGATGAATGTCCCTTAGGCCCAGATACACACAAAGCAAGGTACTTGATGTGTGCATGTTGCTCTCTGACCGCTGCTGATGGCAGACAGGTTTGGGTCTTCTCCCACTCAAGGCCTTCCCTGCCCTTCCTAGGTTGGTGGTCTTTGGCTTTAGTGGATAGAATCCCTGCCTGCCTGCCTTCCTGGGTACGTGTGTCCAAACACACACTCTTCTCTCATACACATTACGCCACCACACCCTAAGGATGGACAGCTGTCTTGCCCAGCCCCTTTGAGAAAACTGCTGGTTCAGAGATCATAGCTTAGCCATTGAATGAACCTCCTTTTCCCTGGGGTGTTCCCAGATAGCCTTGCTCTAAGCAGACCCAAACTGCACACTTAGAGGAATCCATCTAGGCAGTCCCCTTGGGGGACAGCCAGACAGTTGCCTGAGCATTCTCCAGTCCCAGCTGCAGTAAGTCTCACAGTTCACTTCCTCATGCACTCTCCTGCCAACAGAGGCCTGCTTGCTAGAAGTAGTTCAAAGGCCATACCACCTTGCCCTCCACCTGGGTAGGAAGGAAGTGTCCGCTGTGAGAATGAACGTCCAAAGTAGGAGCAGGAGGCAGCTCTCAGGTTATAGAGTCCACTGCGATGCCCAACTAATCTCCCTTTGCCACCAACCAGGCCACAGACGGGGAAGTCGCAACCATGGAACAGGCACCGGTAAATGCATGTCCCCTTGGATTCAGGCCCTGGGTACACTTTTTTGTTCCCCCCTCCAATCCCTGTTTGCATTTCTGTGTTCACTCAGCCTTCATTCCAGAAAACTGCTTCCTGCTTCTGGGGATGGCTTGAGCCCTCTGGGTGTTGGGGTCATTGGCGTGTCCCCACTGATCAGCCAGCCCATCATGATGATCCCGCTTTGTAATAAGACCCACTCTCCTGCGTCACCGCCTGCACTCCACAAATCGCCAGCCATCCTGTCTGTGATCACGCTCAGCACAGTTTGTCCCGGTGTTTAAAGAGCCAGCTGGATGTTCGGGGCCTTCACTGTTTGCACATCAGTTTCTATTCAGGGGAAAAAGCCACCCACTGCTCCTCTCTGCCACTTAAAACGCACCTTCTTTTCCAGGCCACAAGCAACTAAACCTTTCCAGATGGAGCCTCTTGGGACTTAAAGACATTGCTGTCTCTCACTTTCCTCATCCCATTGGGCACTGCTGGGAGTTTTACAAGCAGTACGCTGAGTGATTTCTAGTGATTGGTCCGCATGACTTGGCCTGGTGCTTCTGGTTCTACTCTGGGCCTGGGCCCTGTTAGGTGAAGCCCATTCCACATGGGCAACCTCATCTGCAAATCCCGGCCTGACTGGTTTGCAGAATTCCCAGTGGCTCTGCCCCCAGTAGCTTCTCCAGCCCCTGCTATAGTCTTCTTAGCCACTGACTGCCACTTTCTGATTCTAGGTGACTGAAGAGGCCTATGTCCCCGTGGGTGAAATTAATGGCCTGGGGTTCAAACCTTTTGACTTGGTCATTCCGTTTGCAGTCAGGAAAGGAGAAATCACAGGTAAGCACTTGTCATGGCAACCTTCTCGTTCTCCCTCACTCTCACATGAGCCATGTACAACAGTTCCCAGGGAGCTGGTGTCACTGCCACGGGAAAGCTAGGCTCCTGTGTCCCTGGTTCCCTGGCTCAGGGGCCTCTTAGATTGCACTAAATGCATGTGTTTGTGTTGACTGAAGGGTGGTTCATCTGCTACTTGCCTTGCATTCTGGAGAAAGTCAGGGTGCTTTCTGAAGAACTATTGTGTTTAGGTTGCTCTCCACTGCTACATCCTGTTCATTCTGTCTTCTGCCTTCTCTTAGTCTCTGGTTTTTCCAAATGCCTGGTGGCCTTGACATTCTGTTACATTCTGGGGCCAGTGTTGTAGCACAGCAGGTTTGGCTATTTCCTATGATGCCCACATCCCATATTGGATTATTGGTTCAAGTCCTGGACATTTTGTGCTCCCTCCAGCCTCCTGTTAGCATCGCAGAAGATCGCCCAGGTGCTGGTGTTCCTGACTTTGGCCTGACCCAACCCTTTGTGAGCATATGGGGAGTGAACCAATAGGTAGACAACCCTCCCCACCCTGCCCATTCTGTGTATCACTCTGCCTTTCAAATAATTACATTTTTTAAAAAGAAAGATTTTTCTCTCCTTAGCTTCCTTTTAATGCCTTTTTCTGTTTGAGTTGATTCCTTTCTAGCCCTGTTGATTTTGTGATCTCCTCAATCCTGTTTGAGTTTCTCACTGTAGAAAATTCTACACTTACAAGTTGTCTGCTGTATTTTCTGAGAGCCAAAGAAAATGCATTTCCCCCCTCCAAAAGAAAAAAAGGTAGCCTAGTGGTTGAAGTCCTCGCCTTATACACCCCAGGATCCCATATGGGTGCCAGTTCTAATACTGGCAGCCTTGGGACCTTGCACCCACGTGTGGAGGACCCAGAAGAGTCTCCAGGCTCCTGGCTTCATATGGGCGTGGCTCCAGTTGTTGTGGCCACTTGGGGAGTAAAGGAGTGAATCATTGGAGGGAAGATCTTCCCCTCTGTCTCTCCTCCTCTCTATATACCTGACTTTACAAAAAAAAAAGGAAAGGAAAGAAAAAAGAAAGGCTGAGATTCTTTTTTTTTTTTTTTTTCCCCTGATATGAGCTTTGGATGTAGCCATGAGTGTTTTGGGTTCTGAAATCCGTCTTCAAGACTCATGCTTGGGACAGTCACCGTGGACTCATTGCTCTGTCTGCCTCCACAGGAGAAGTCCACATGCCTTCTGGGAAGACGGCCACCCCCGAGATCGTGGACAACAAGGATGGCACGGTCACAGTCAGATACGCCCCCACTGAGGTCGGGCTCCATGAGATGCACATCAAATACATGGGTAGCCACATCCCTGGTAAGCACTCCACGGTCGAGGGGTGGGGAGGGGCTGGGAAATGCCAGTGGTGGAGAGGTGTTGGAACAGCTGCAGGCTGGGAAGTGGTTCTTCCAGGGAGTGCTCAGGGTCCTTGAACTCAGGGGTCCATCACAACATTTATCTCTCCCGCTCAGTAGAGTGTGACCAAAAGTCGGGTCTAGGTAATAATGTGAGGCTCAGTGAGGGGCTTTCAAGCCCCACCTGCAGATCCCCCTGAGGTTTGGTGGCTCGGGGCAGGGGCAGGATTGGGGTGGAAGAAGAGGGCAGACACCTCCTGACAGGGCAAGTGGCTTCTGTTTTATGGCCATCAGCCAACATACTATTAGTTTTGCTCTGTTTCCCTCTCTGTATTATGTAAGCTTTTATTTTTCACTTTCATATTTTGAGTTTGTAACACTTGGTTTAGAAATAAAAATAATGAGAGAAATATTTCCTGCCTATCCCCCAATTTCTCCTGCCCTGCTCTTGAACCTGGCTGTTGATTTTTAAAATGCCACATGCTCTACGAATATGGCAGTGTGACCAGGGCAGTTTGGCAGGTCCTATGGAGAGAACACCTTGCTAGGCCTGCCCCATGGAAAACCAGTTGTCTGTTAGAGGACCTTTCAGTTCTACCCACCTTGTGCTGGCCCCAGGCTTGTTGCAACAAGTGACCTTTCATGCCTGTCATTTCACACTTGCAAAACTGTCTGTGTTTGAGCTCCCAAAACGGACTTGGCTGGGAGTGACTTGGGTTAATGCTGCCAAATCACCCCACACAGGGGCTGGTCCAGTCACATGCCCACCAGCAGTGCAGGAGGGGCCCTGGCAGTGGAACCTGCTATCAATGTTCTGGGTCTTTGCCAATCTGATAGTAAGAAGAAACCAGTTATGTTAGTGTTGCTTCATTTACACATCTCTCGTAAATGAGATTAAGCAGTTTTCCGCTATGTATAAGTGCCACTTGCATTCTTTTTCATGTAAACTGAAACTTGGTATCCTTGACATGTTTTTCTTTTTCTTGCTGCTTTTCTTCCTTCCCTTCCTCCTCCGTTTAAAATTTGAGAAACAGAAAATTCCCTGTGTGTTACTGATTCACTCCCCAAATGCTGGCATTCGCCAGAAGCCAGGGAAGCACCCAGCTCTCCTGCCTCTGGGAATCAAACCATGTGGGGCATGGGTGTCTTAACTGCTAAGGCAATTTTTGCCTTCTTGAGGCCATTTTTCAATTTGACTGTTCGGCTTTGTTTTGCCAATGGCCAGGAGCCATTTAAAATGGAAGAGATTTGCTTTCTGTGATAGAGATAGAAAGATTCATTTGGATTAAACATTTGCTTTCAATTTTGTGTGTCCTGTGCACTTTTCAAAGCAATGGCACAGTGGTAGTGAGGTTACATAGCAGCTTGCTGCTTCTGCTTCACATGCAGTACATGATGGATAATCTCTCCAGTTGGTATACACTGCTCTCACTCAGTCTTCATGGCCCACCAGAATAGCATTTATTTAAGTAATTCCCTTCCTCGGGCACTAAGGGCTGGTCCTGATTTGCATGTGAAAGGTACAGAAATGCAAGTGTTTGCCTAGGCTGGGAGTGGGCTGAGCAGGTAGACACATGGGAGGGTTCTTAGAATCAAATCTTCTAGGTCAGAGAGTGTGACCACTTTGATTAAGTGTGCCCTGACATTGTTGGTACAGACAATGTCAGACAGTCTATCATCCCATTGTCTAGATATTTCCAACAGTTTCATTGGGAGTCTGTCTTTGATTTGGAAGTAGGGATGGGTGTTGCACTATGTCTTCACATCTGGATATGGTAATCTCTATTACTCCATCACTGTACATTTCAATTTGTATGATGGTTTCTAGAGTGTTACCACTTTGAACAAACTGGGCACATGACCTTCCCTTCAGTTTGAAACTTTGCTTTATGGTTATCAGCCACTTGTTTAAGGGTCCCAATTTCATTTATGTCCTTTGCAAATGCAGAGAGCCCACTCCAGTTCTACGTGAACTACCCCAACAGTGGCAGTGTGTCTGCATACGGCCCTGGCCTGGTGTACGGAGTGGCCAACAAAACCGCCACCTTCACCATCGTCACTGAGGATGCAGGAGAAGGTATTGTGTGTTTGTATGTTCTTACACGTCCAACCTCCCATTTGTATGAATTCCGTGAATGCAGTTCCAGGACAGCTGTTAAAAAATAAGACATTGCATAACATCTGTCTTTTCTTTTTGGTAGAGCTACTCTGTTTTTTACCAAAAGTAGAAGATTCTGAAGTCTTTTTTTGTTTTGTTTTGATTCCATCAGATTGATGCTAGGAAATATTGTATGTGCCTCCCTGGGAATTAAGTTTGCTTTGACTAATGCGTGTTTGTTTATTTCATTGCACATGCATCCCAGAACCATGAGAGTTGTTTAATAAGTCATTCTGGATAAAGCTTTGTTCTTGTCTGTTGTATCCTTGGAGATTCCTAAATCTCTGGCTATAAAGGGATTTTTTGTCATCCTAGGCAAAGAGGACAGTCCCTTGGGGCTGTGGCTCTGATATGGGATTGACATTCTGGCCTCCATCTTTTTCCCACCCCACGCATCCTGAATAGTATAGTGAATCTCAGGATTATTTGTGGTGAAGACTTGAGTCAGAGGGCATGCTCCCAATGAGCATTCTTAGCACATGAACTACTATGTTCCCATGGATACTCTTTACCTGTGACCTACATGGACTGCAGCCATCTGTTATACCATAGAAACAAGGAAAGTCTGCCTTAATTTCTCTTCCTCTTTTACCCTCCTCCTGCTCCCATTCACAGGTGGACTGGACTTGGCTATTGAGGGACCTTCAAAGGCAGAAATCAGCTGCATTGACAACAAAGACGGAACATGCACAGTGACCTATCTGCCCACATTGCCCGGTGATTACAGCATTCTGGTCAAGTACAATGACAAGCACATCCCCGGGAGCCCCTTCACAGCCAAGATCACAGGTAGGGTCACCTAACTTGCCAGGGGCTTCCCATGGGAGTTTGTGGCTGCCCTGTCAACTGCTGTCATCAGACCCGGAATGACAAGTGAGCTCTCTCTTTGAGTGCAAGTGACAGAGTTTCATTGAGGAATTCTCAGAGTGATAACTCAGTCTGGCGTGGGACTTGCTGAGTTGCTGCTAAGCCAATAATCACAGGAAAAGCAAGGAATTTACAAAAGGAGGACACTTACTTTGAGCCAAGGTTGCTGCCTCAGAGGGGTCACAAACTCATAGGGGTCCCACAACTTCTCTCCTAGTCAAGAGTTTTGACTCCCATGTAACTGATGGGAAAATTGAGGTTAAATTTTATGGTTAGCTGTTCTGGTTATCTAGTACTCCAGCCATGCTCCCCACCTGTGTTCTGCTTGGGGTGTTTGTATCAGCTGTACAAGGCAAGTTTCTTGCCTATTCAAGGTGCTTTGGCCAGCAGCATCAAGTGGAACATGATCAGATGAATCATGTAAGGTGATCAAGAACATTGTTCAGATGGGAGGGACCTTCAAGGTCAAGCATCTCTGTGACAGGTGGTCTGTGGGGAATTGTGCCTCTAGATCCTGTAAGCTCCATCTGCCCTTTGCCCAGGCATAGATGCCAGTCCTTCTATGTTGCTCAGATCTGTTTATAGTCTGAGGCATGATTCATCACTTAACTTTGGATCCTTAATGCTTGGGTTGGAGTCCCTAGAAGGCCAGGTGACACATGTAACAGGAGATGTATTGGGGCTTCTTTCCCAGATGACAGCAGACGGTGCTCGCAGGTGAAGCTGGGCTCAGCCGCAGACTTCCTGCTCGACATCAGCGAGACTGACCTCAGCACACTGACAGCCAGCATTCAGGCTCCATCTGGCCGTGATGAACCCTGTCTCCTGAAGAGACTGCCCAACAACCACATTGGTGAGCTCAGGACCACCTCCCTTACTGGAGCCCAGATGTTTGGGAGTTGGGGGCTCCTGTCATTGGGAAACTGGTGACCCATTGGAGTGGCCTGTGATCCACCTGCTGGGTCTCACACATGAGAAAAAGTCGAGTGCATTCCTGCATTGCAATGTGGATCTCCTTAGATTCTCTGAGTTGTTACAAAGTCTGGAGAGAAGTCACTGTCCCATCCTTGAGAGTCTATTTCCCTCCCACTTCTCTCCTCACCTAAAAAAAACACTACTCTGTGCTTGGCTCCAGGCATCTCTTTCATCCCCCGGGAAGTGGGAGAGCACCTGGTCAGCATCAAGAAGAATGGCAACCACGTGGCCAACAGCCCCGTGTCCATCATGGTGGTCCAGTCCGAGATTGGTGACGCCCGCCGAGCTAAAGTCTATGGCCGTGGCCTCTCAGAAGGCCGGACCTTCGAGATGTCTGACTTCATCGTGGATACAAGGGACGCAGGTCTGTATTTGGCCCCAGAAAATTTTTAGAAAATGGGGGAATGTGCTTTTTTTTTTTTTTTTTTCTCTGGCTGCTTCCTCATTCCCACTACTAACCTACTACACTTGCTTTTTCTGAGTAGGCTTCAAGTTGTAGACCTACCTGCACCATCACTCAAGACTCATGGCCATCAGTAGAATAGGTGTTGTAACCTTATAGATGTTGAAAGTTCTTAATCCCTGTCTGTTTTTGGGATTTGAACTTACAGTCACAACAATTCTTAGACCTCTGCTTTAGTATCTGTTTTCAAACCATTGTTCCCAGCTGCCCAGGGTTTCTCATCATCCCAAGCAGAGGACATTTGTCCCCCAAGGGCATGGCATGTTCCACTGAGCAGGATTTTTATGGAAGTGAGGCATCTCTGCCTGTCCTTTTTTAGGTTGGCTTAGGCTTCTCCCAGGATGCTCTATCCCCATGTTGTCATCTTCTGCCTTCTTGAGTAACAGCCTCATTACTGAGTTTTGGAGAGAGACAGAGAAAGCTGGAGAGGTTTTGTCCCTGTGGGAAGATGCTGGCTGTTGACTCCTCTGTTATCCAACCCTCAGGCCTGCTGACCTAACCAAGGCAGCTGATAATGTTTAAATATTCATATTCTCAGGCCTGTAGCTGCTGACAAATGGAGACAGTGCACGTGTGTCTTGGAAGCATGGCAGAGTTCTGTCCCCAGCTAATTGTATAGATCACACACTTCGTGGGACATCAGTAGGGAAGGCTTCTCTGGTCAGAACCACATGCAACAGGCTGTTCCCCTGCAGGACTCCTCAGAGTCCTTCATTTCCTCTTCTGCCTTGCATTCTCCTTGTCTGCAAAAAAGTTAGAATTTAAAAGGGTCAGGTGTCCTTCATACATTTGTTCCCTTTCCCCCTTCCTGACAAGTCACCACCAGAACAACCTGGGGCTTCTGTGTTTACAGGTTATGGCGGCATTTCCTTGGCAGTGGAAGGCCCCAGCAAGGTGGACATCCAGACAGAGGACCTGGAAGACGGCACCTGTAAAGTCTCCTACTTCCCCACTGTGCCCGGGGTATACATTGTCTCCACCAAGTTTGCTGATGAGCATGTACCTGGTAAGGTGTCCCCTCTACCCTTGCTGCGTGAGGCTTGGCGTTTGCTTTAAGTGCAGTGGCCTGGCCTCGGGACAGTTCACAAAGACCTTCTTGGTCTCTCTAGGGAGCCCTTTTACTGTGAAGATTAGCGGGGAGGGACGAGTCAAGGAGAGCATCACCCGGACCAGCCGGGCCCCATCTGTGGCTACCGTCGGGAGCATCTGTGACCTGAACTTGAAAATCCCAGGTGAGCACCATAGTGCCCAGGGCTGGGGAACAGGCCCCATTGGGAAGTAAGTTCAATGCTAGCCAGAGCATACGGTCCAGGTTGGCCATGCTGACCTTGGCTTTTTTTTTTTCTTTTTTAAACATTTATTTTCATACAGCCCTATCCCCTCTGCAACAAATTATGATTATGTGCTAGCTTTTCCTTTTCTTTTTGTAAGGTTGTGTTATTTATTTGGAAGGCAGAATTACAGGAATAGGGGAAGACAGGGAAAGATGAATCTCCCATCTGTAGGTTCAGTCACCAAATGGCTGTGATGGCCAGTGCCTGGTTAGGCTGGAGCCAGGAGCCTAGAACTCCATCTGAGACCCCTACATGTGTGGCAGGGACCCAAGTACTTGGACCCTATCTGTTGCTTTCCTAGGTGCGTTAGCAGGGAAATGGATCAGAAGTGGAGTTGCTAGGACATAAGCCAGAACCCAAATGGGATGCCAGCATTACATGCAGCAGCTTAACAAGATGTGCCACAACACCGGCTCCTACTACCTTTTTCATCTTCTAAATAAAAATGACTTACTAGTGTCACAAGGGGAGAACATAATTAAGCCTTTTAGGTTTATAGATTTGCTCTCTTGAGTGGTATAATGTCAGTGAGGGAACTGCCCATGCCAATGCCATATCTGGAAGTATTTAGGAGGTGGCAACCCAGTAGCATCTTTCTGATATTTTGACATGTCTCTTCCATTTGTACAATGAGAAAGAGGGCTGTGCTGCACACTTGGGTGGGCAACGCTGCATCCTTTGGTGGTGACTTGCTCCTCCCAGGGCTTATGAAGCAGCAAACAGGCCATGCCATGTATCTGAAACATGGCCCAGGTTCTTCCCACAGAGAATCCTCCCTGAGGGAAATCACTGTGTGGAGTTGGCCATCTCCTCTGCCCACCAGCTGGCCATGCTGTGCAGGTATACAAACTATAGAGCAGTGTAATGCAGAGTGCAGATGAAGGTCGTGTGGTCCACTAACGAGAGAGCTGCTGATCCTGTGATGTCTGTTGACTCTGTGAGAGTTAGTGGGCTTCCTCCTGTGTAGAAACATCCATGTTGGGCCACGTGCCAGTGTGATCAAAGCCTCTGTAACATGAGATCCAGACGGGATCACTTAGCCAGAGCTGTCTTGGTTGTTTGAGATCATAAAATGTTCACCAAGGGCAGATATTTTACCCAATCCCCATTACAGGGTATCTAGGTTCAGTACCCACCTCTGGCTCCTGACTCCAGCTTCCTGTTCCCCTGGGAGATAAAGCGGATGACTCAAGTAATTAGGTCCCTGCCTACCCTTGTGGGAGACCCAGATTACGTTTCTGGCTCCTGATTTCAGCTCGGCTCCAACTAGGCTCAGTCCTACCTGGATGTTTGACAAGTAGTGTTTTCTATGTCTGTCTGTCTGTCTCTGTCTCAAATAAATAAATAAAATGCTCATGCTAAAAAGGGCCTTGGGCCCAGCCCAGTAGCCTAGTGGCTAAAGTTCTCACCTTGCACAAGCCAGGATCCCATATGGGTGCCGTTTTGTGTCCCGGCAGCCCCACTTCCCATCCAGCTCTCTGGGGAAGCAGTTGAGAGCAGTCTAAAACCTTTGGACCTTGCACCCACATGGGAGATCCAAAGATTCTGAGCTCCTGGCTTTGGATTGGCTCACCTCCAGCCATAGCAGCCACTCAGGGAGTAAATCAATGGATGAAATATCTTCCTTTCTGTTTATCTGACTTTCCAATATAAAAAAAAATCTTTAGAAAAAAATGGGGGGGGGGGAGTTTTGATGGGATGCCCAGGAGGCCATTGCTAGCCAGTGCCTCTCAGGGCTAGCCATGTCCTGGCAGCCCACTTGTCACACTGAGCCTGTCTCTGGTTTTGTGCCCTCATCTGATGAGGAAAGACCACCTTAACTGTGCAACTGGGGATGAGATATCTGTGCTTTCTGTTTCTTAGCACCTGACCAGCTAGCTCCTGGAAGAGCTGGTGCGTGCCTATCTAGCGTCACCTGTCCTGTCTCTAACAACTGCCCTACCTCTTGACTCTTTCTCCTTTCCGTTGCCTGGAAACAGACAATTGGCAAATACTTATCTCCTCATTACGTACATGCTCTCATTGGGTGCCAAGGTGAACAGCTCCCCAGCTTCCACACATCCTCGGGATCCTGGCCATGGAGGGGTTGCAGGCTGCTAGAGTGCAGTAATGAGAACTGGGTGCCAGCCAACAACAGGGACTTGTTTCTCAGTTGTGCAAGCCTGGGAGTCCAAGCCCAGGGTGCTAGCAGTGGCCTTGTTCTTGGTTGCAAGGCAACAGCTCTTTGTGTCTTCTCATGGAGTCTGCAAAGAAAGAAAGTGCTGCCAGGGTCTAGCAAGGGCGCTGATCCCATCACTAGGGGCTTCATGTTCATGATTTCATGTGCTCTAACAAACTCCTGAAAGCCCCATCTCACCACCACCACCTTGGGGAGTTGGGTTTCCACACAGGACTTTGGGGAGGGTTGTGGACTGTGGATCTATCACATGGGGTGACCCTTTGCCCACTTCCTGTCCTCTCTCTGCCCTCAGGACTCACGGTCATGAAGTGCTCAGCCCCAAACCCATAGGGCTGAGGGTGCAGGTTTGCACTGGCTCCAGGTGATGGCCTGGTTGCTGCCTGTCTGCACCATTACAGTGTGGGCACAGTCCTTAGCATGATGCAAACTGCCTTGGTGGAGTGGACACACTCTGTGTGCCCTGCTGGCAGTGACCTGGGACTGTTGTCCGTCTGAGATCCTGCCTCGGGCTCCTTGGTGTGCTCCCTCCTTGCACCTGCATGGTTTCCTTGTGCCATCGGGACTGATCTGTGATTGTTCACCTTGTTCTCTAAATGCATTCGCTTTGTGGCCTAACTGTAAGAAAGAACATGCTATACCCATTGGCTCTGGCCCTGGTCGAAGCGCTGTGTGAGATCCATTTGACTCCAGACTGGAAGGCTGTACAAGTGCTCTGTGTGCAAGAAGCATCCATGCCCCTCAAATGTTGTCTGCACCAGGTGGCATGGGAGGGGCGGCGGGGGCCTGAGCACTCCCCAGGGACCAAGCTGCACCTGCCTCACCGGCTACTGCTTGTCCTGCATGCCATACAATGCCTTGAGCCCTCACCCTAACCCTCTTCTTTGTCCCCCATCTCCCTGCCTCTTTCAGAAATAGACAGCAGTGACATGTCAGCCCATGTCACCAGCCCCTCTGGCCACGTGACCGAGGCAGAAATTGTGCCCGTGGGGAAGAACTCGCACTGCGTCCGCTTTGTGCCCCAGGAGATGGGTGTTCACACGGTCAGCGTTAAGTACCGTGGGCAGCATGTGACCGGCAGCCCCTTCCAGTTCACTGTGGGGCCACTCGGCGAAGGGGGCGCACATAAGGTCCGGGCAGGAGGCCCTGGCCTGGAGAGAGGAGAAGCAGGAGTTCCAGGTGAGGATCCTGGCAGGTATACTATGGCAAGAGAAAAAGAGTAGAGTCTGGGCCATGTGAGTGTCTACACCCTTGGGTGTGGTCCTAGAGAGGAAAATCTGCTGAATATTTTGGGGGTGTGTTCTGCTCACAGCTCCTGTAGCTAACTAAGTCTGGCCATGCTGTACTTACGTGTAGCTAAACAAGTGTCTGCAAGAGGGGCTTCTGGGGCCTAGAACTAACGGTGTGCCTCTGCGTCTCTGAGAGGGAAGTAGAGTCCTGGTGCTGTCACCAGAGACCTTGCTGGGCATTTTATGGATCAGTTTGTGCAGTGCTATAAACTGATTGCAACGGGCCCTGGTCATGGTGGCTGTGGGTGGGAGGATCTATAGGGAGTAGATAGAACTTGCTCCTCTTCTCCTGAGTTGGTTTGGGTATTCTCAGAAGGTGTTGGCTTGCCCTTGAACTTGCTGATAACCATCAGTGGTGCTTGGGAGGCCTCAGGATCAGGCTTCACTTGGGTTCTGCTTGGGATAAGGGCCAGCAACCAACTAAACTCAGTGCTGTGGACTGGAACACAGAGTGGGGCAGGGGCTATTCTGGGCTCTATCACTAACCAGCCATTTCTTTGCTCTCAGCCGAGTTCAGCATCTGGACACGGGAAGCGGGTGCTGGGGGCCTCTCCATCGCCGTTGAGGGCCCCAGTAAGGCTGAGATTACATTTGATGACCATAAAAACGGGTCATGCGGCGTGTCCTATATTGCCCAAGAGCCTGGTATGTACCCAAGGGTTGACTGAGGACATTTGCCTAGTCCAGAGATGGTGAGCTTGTAAGGAACAGTCAAGGAGTTGATGTATTAGAACACAGGAGAGAATCTTGTGAAAAATCCAAGTGCAGGGCTACAGCCTGATCGCAAAGGCAGGGGATTCCTGATCTTGGTGTCTTTGTTGAGCTCTTGGCTGGGTCTTTCCCTCAAGTGCTACGTTCTTTCCACCAACCAGCCTCTCTATTTGCCCACTAGCCAGGGGTCCCTGGCCAGTGTGGCTGCTCCAGCCAAGGGGCCTGGGCGCCTAAGCCCCCAAGAACTGACCTGCTTCACCTTTGTGTCTGTAAGTGCCTGGAACCCCTAGGCATCTGGTGAATCTTAAGGAAACCATCCTCAGGCTCATGGTTTGCAGTCAAATCAAAGGTATCACATGATAATATAAAATAGTGATTGATTGAAAGTTTGTAAGGAATAAGATGTGGTTCAGCAGCACATGTATGTCTTCATGAATGCAATAGACCCTAAGATTTAGTCACAATGTATTAACTGCCTTCGTTTCAAAGGAGTGCTGACAGGTTGATGAAAATAGAGACCTAGTGTTTCTCCTTCAATGCCATGAGTCTCCTGAATTCTCTACCGTACCACAGCCCAGTAGTTCTGGGTGGTTATAGGTTAAGAATCCCTAACCTTGTCCAACTAGAAAATTGTATTGGCACAGCCACAGCCGGGTGACAATCAGCAAAAAGCCATCGATGAGAGCCAGAAGTCCCTGAAGGCATCTTAGCCCTAGGTTTCCCAAGCCATGTTTCCAGAATCTGTGAAATAACCAGAGGTTCCTGTTCCCCTAGGTAACTACGAGGTGTCTATCAAGTTCAACGATGAGCACATTCCGGACAGCCCCTACCTGGTGCCCATCATCGCGCCCTCCGACGACGCCCGCCGCCTTACTGTTATGAGCCTTCAGGTGAGACGCAAGGAAACATCCACCTCCTTGGCCACAGGCCCACCAGTGAGACCCTTGAACTCCTGAGGCCGTTTCAATCCCATTCCCACCTGATCCTGGTGTTGCCGATCCCAGACGAGCTTTCCCCAGGCACAGTCGATTCCCAGTCACCAGCACATTCCCAAATGTGTTTGGGAATACATTTGCTTTCCCATGTTTATTTAAGAGGAACAAACGAAGCTTATTAATGATTGGGTTAAGGGTACTTTCTGAGCCCGTAAGTATGCAAGGAAACTACAGGAAGAACACGAGCAGCACCCTGGCAAGGAGGTTCACTGGCTCTTGTTTTGCAGGAGGTTGTGGCCCTCAGAGTCCAGCAGGTATGAGGCAGAGTGATGTCCTTGTGTCTCTAGAATCTGCCTCTTCACCTGTAGCTGGTCCCCACCTTGACAATTTTATGGCAAGTGGCATGCCAGGACATGCGACTTTTCTCGTCTTTAATAGATGCATGGTTGCATGTGTGCCTATGAGCCGTTGGGGTTGCCTCTGGCTGTTTGTTCAGAACACTGAAAAATAAGAACTCTGAACCAGGAGAACCAGTTAGGTTGGCAAATAACACCAGAATGCCAAAGTATGATTTCTGGCTTGTGGACATTCTAAAGAGCCTTCAGCTGCCCCCAGTGCTTTTGAAAAATATTCAATGTATTTGTCTGAAAGAGATAATTCACTCCTTAAGTACCTGCAACAGCCAGGGCTGGCCTGGGCCAAAGCAAAGAGCCTGGAACTTCAGCTGGGTCTCCCACACAGGTACCAGTTACCAAGTACTTCAGCTATCACTTCCTACCTCCCAGAATGCATGTTAACAGGCAGCTGGAATCAAAAATAGAGCCAGGACTGAAACCCAGGTGCTACTTATCCGTTGCACCAATTTTTTTTCATCCTTCCTCCCCAGCTCTTAAAAAGTAGATTCTTCTCATATCTCAGATATCATAGATCCACCTGTGAGACTCCAGGTGGCTCACTCCAAGGAGACCTGGGGAATGGCTGGTGATCCTTAATATCTGCCATTGATTTAGGGCCCCAGATTGAAACGGCCTCTTCTGGAGGACACCAAGAGCACTCACTAACTGGTTGCCGTGGCATTGATGTGTTTCTTGTGTTTCATGTAAAGGCTTCTTAACAGACCTTTCTTTTGTGGTCAATGCACCTCAAGCCTATAGAGGGAGATCAACCTAGCATTTATGGAAGGCACAGAGCTGCCTTCTTGCTTCTCGAAGGTTCCCTTCGGATCTTCTGAGGTGTTTATCTCCCTCTTGAGGCTTTGGCAGTGCATGGATTCAGGTAATGTATGTGATTCTGTCCGGGAAGGGCTGGCGTGGAGAGAAGCTTCTCCAGAGGTTTTATCTTAGGGTTGTGTCATTGTGCTGGGGGCGTGAATGTTGCAGAAGCACATGGCAGGCTGCGGCAAGCAGTGACCCCAACTGAGCAGAGGCGTTTGTTGGCGTTGTCATTGTTATCCTTGGGTCTCCGTGCCCAGTATATAGGTGAATTATTTATCAGACACTCGACATGAGCCTACGCAGTAGTAGCATCTGGGGCTGCCTAGGAAAGAGGGGCTCACGTTGCTCTGCCTTGCTCCTGACACTCTATAGGAAATTGAAGTTGTCTGGCCTTCAGTGGGTGATGGCCCTGCTGCGTGTGTCTGCAGGCTCTTCAGAAGCCTGGCTCATAGAGCACCCTGTTCCACTTTCCCACTCACAACACTGAAATATTGAATTGTTAGTTGTGATAGCACTTTCAGTGCTTTTAAATTTATTTTTAAATTTAAAAAAGTTATTTATTTGAAAGGTGGAGCTACAGAGAGAGAAGAGATAGAAAATTTCCATCCACTGGTTGGTTCACTCCCTACATGGCCACAAAAGCTGGGGCTGGGCTGGTCCAAGGCCAAGAGCCAGGAGTGTCTTCTTGGTCTCCCATGTGGATGCAGGATTCCAAACACATGGACCATCTTCTACTGCTCTCCCAGGTGCATTAGCAGGGAGTTGCAACAGAAATGGAGCAGCTGGGACTCAAACCAGTGCCCAAATAGGATGTTATAGGTGACAGCTTTTCCCATTACACCACAGCACCAGCCCCTGGTTCTTTTTTTGTTTATTTGTTTGTTTGGTTGTTTGTTTGTTTGTTTGTTTTAAAGATTTAATTTAAAGGAGATTTTTAAAAGAGGGAGAGCTCTTCCATCTGCAGATTCCTTCCCCAAATTGCCAGCAACAGTTGGGGCAGGGCCAAGCCATGCCAAATCCAAAAGCCCAGAACTCCCATCTGAGTCTCCCAGATGTGTGGCAGGAGCCCAAGTTTTTGGGCCATCTTCTCTTGCCTTTGTGTTAGCGAGGATCTGGATCAGAAGCAGAATAGCCAAGGCTGAACCTACACTTTAGTAAGGTATGCAGTTTAACTTGATAGGCTACAACACAGGCCTGAGGTGCTGCAAATGTAGTATATATGATCATGTGCCACTAGTGATGCTCAAATTAGGCAGCTAAGATGCAACCCTCACACCAATCTTGTCATCACCGTTACGATAGTCCTTGTCATCACCTGTGGAAGTTTCTAGAAGCATGGAACCCAAGTTCCAGCATAGGTGTACAGTATCTAAATCTGCATTGTAGCAAGATCCCCAGCAGATTCACTTGCACTGAATTGTGAATCCTGCTGCTTGGGAGTTATGGCTGTCTCTGGCCAGAACTCAGTCTAAACTCAGTCCATTACAGCTTGGTGGTGACCCATTCCAGGGTGATGTTGCTCAGCCTTGCAGCCAAACTTCTTAAGTTCTAGTTCCCTCCTCCAGAAGGGTGCCATTTCTCAGAGCACAAGGAGTGAGATAGACCCAACACAAAGCCAGAACTACCCCCTCACTGCTGCTCTGCAGGAAGGGCAGGTGACTTTGAAATGTATGTTAATACTAACAACCAGCTGGCGTTTTTGAATCAGACCCTATGCTGAGAGCTTTGCATACCTAATGTCTTCTCAGCAGCTCTCTGAGATACCGTTAAGTTTTATAGATGTGAAAAACTAAGCCTCAAAGAAATTAAAATAATAAACTCAGACCCAACTGATTCTCGGACATTGTCCAGGATTTTCTCCTTTGTGCATAGCCATTGACAACTATAGTAAAAGTTCCTCACTCCGACTGCTGGGAGAAAAAGGAGCAGACAGAGAATGATTCATGCCAGTGAGCGTGTGGCCTGTGATCTGCCAGCCTTCTCCTGAAAACAGGTTCTTGTTTTGGGGGGATTGGAAGACACTAGGTTTTCTGAAACTGAAACCACTGCATGATTGACTGGGCAATCAAGTCTGCAAACCCAGGAGCTGTGTTTTCCAACCTGCACCATGGTGATTCTGTGGGTACAAGCCCATGCATGCAGCTAAATGTCTGTGTGTCCTGCTTGCTTTTTTTTTTTTTTAACTCGAAGTTAATAGTGACCCATCCATTGTGTTGTCAGCTATTCTGTGGAGAAGCTTTCTGTGCCCATCTACTTGGGAATTGTCACTCAGCACCCCAAGTTGGCTCAGTGTGCACTCCTTCTTCTCAGGAAATGCTGAGGGCCATAACTTGTCTAATATATTAAATTCTCAGGAATCGGGATTAAAAGTTAACCAGCCAGCATCCTTTGCTATAAGGTTGAATGGTGCAAAAGGCAAGATTGATGCCAAGGTGCATAGCCCCTCAGGAGCTGTGGAGGAATGCCATGTGTCTGAGCTGGAGCCAGGTAAGCAGGTGGTTTGGGGTGGAGGTCCCCATACCAGCACTTTCCGACAGATATTCTTGCACGCGTTCAGCCCAGCAGATGACCCACCAGGCGAGCTTTTGAGAGCTCTGCCCCAGACCTTGTTTATAAACTCAGGTGTCAGTGTCTGCCAGACTCTGCTTTGCCCTGATGTTCCTCATTTAGCCTTTGCTTCTCCATTTGGTGTACCAAATCCTGCTTTATTTCCTGAGATTTCATTGTGATGTTAAAGTCTTACAGACTTTTATGATGCTATGGACCTTTGGATGTGAATTAAGTATGGGAGAAGAGAGATAGGTTATACTCATCTGTGATTCTGTAAAAGAGGGGCTGGCTCTCTAAGGCCTAATATCCAGAGGTTTTCCAGACCACTGCCTTAGTATTTGGCATTTACCCCAACTGCAACAAGTTTCAATGAGACCACAGCCAGTGAGGGTTTATCTTATTATCTATCAGACCAGCAGGAAGGGGAAGAGTTTTGTGTAAGATTCCTTCCCTCTGAGAGCTGCTTAGCATCCCATGAGGATGGGCCAGCTGCAGCCAGCTCAGTGGAGACAACATCTACCCGCTTACACCCAAGTCAGCACTGCTTACTCACGGGAGCACTGAGAAGCAAATGGCAAAGTGGCCTGGCCTGCTCAATAGGACTTCTCGGGAGAGGACACCTGCCCCTTCTGGGCCTTTGGTGTGTTCCCCGTTAGTGTATGAGAGTAGAAAATCAAGAACCTCAGCTAACATGGGGGTGTCTTTTTTTCCCCCTGGGCAGAAAGAGCAGTGGGGAGCCTTGGGAAGAGCCAGTGTAGAAGACAGCCCATGTCGGGTTGGGTGTTTGGTCACATCAGGGAATGTGCTGGTGCTTTCTGAAAGGCAAAAAGAAGTGCTGCAGAGAATGGTGCCCAGAGATTGAGGTGGGGGGGGGGGATTCAGAAAGGTGGTACCTAGTTCCATGACTGGGTAGGACGGGGATAATTCGGGTAGCAGGACTAAGAGCTAGCCAGAAGCAAACAAGGGTAGGTGAGGGTTTTAAAGAGTTGACTGTGTATTAGGGGTTTGAATGAGGGCTTTAAGGAGCATGAATTCAGAAGGCAGTCAAGGGTGCAAGGATTGGCCATGAGCCTGGGCAGGGAGCAGAACAGACTCTCTGCATCCCAGGGTGGGCAGGTCATGTGGTAGTGCAGGGTGGCTGGATATTGCAGGTACCCATTCTGGTGGTCATTCAGTGATCTAACGTAGGCCAGCTTGGGTGCACCTGCAGCTCTTTGCCCTCCCTAGAGTCAGGGGAGTGGGGCGTCTGTGTCCTTGGTGTGATCCCCATGTGCCTGTGCTTCTCTTCCTAGATAAGTATGCCGTCCGTTTCATCCCCCATGAGAATGGTATCCACACAATCGACGTCAAGTTCAATGGAAGCCATGTGGTCGGAAGCCCCTTCAAAGTGCGTGTTGGGGAGCCGGGACAGGCGGGGAACCCTGCCCTGGTGTCTGCCTATGGCGCAGGCCTGGAAGGGGGCACCACAGGTAACACAATACCCCATGTATTATCTCTGCTGCAGATTTAGCTGTGCTATCTGCTGGGATGGAGGGCAGTGGAGCTGGGACAGAACTTCACAGTTGCATTGGCACATGGGGTTTGAGCCAAGTGCAATGAGGCCTATTTGCTATGTTCATTGCACTTCATCAATGTCTCCCTTTGCTGGTCTTTAGGCCTCAGTGCCAGCATGCTGAGATGAGAGTCAAGGAATGTAGCACAGTGCTGTTTGTTAGGGATTTTTTTTTTCATTGTATCAGTTTGTTTTTTGAGAGAAATCAAGGTAGGCTGGTCCACTCTCTCTCATGCACAGGTCCACTTCCCTGCACAAACCTGCAGTAACCTGTGGGTCAAAGCTGGAAGCCAGGAGCTCAGTCTTGGGCTCCCATGTGGTAGGTGGCAGGGACCCAATTGCTCAGGCCACAACTGCTGCCTCCTAGAGTCTGGTATGGGAAAGCTGGCATCAGGAGCTGGAGCTGGATATCAAACACTGGCACTGTGATGTGGGTAGCACAAAGGTCCCTTGAGCCAGCAGCTATTGAAGAGGATCCCAGGGATGGGCACGAGTCATATCCAGAGCATTGCTGCCTGGCCCTGGCTTTCGGCAGTATGGCTGCTCTAGGCATTGCTCTGAACCCTCCGGGGAAGGCCCCTGCTTTCCCAGTGCCGTGTATGTGCACCCCTCATAAGCTCCCCACCCTGAGAGTGAAGTGAGCAGACTCACCCAGCTGGAGGCCAGCCATCCTGCCCTGATGAGCAAGTGTCCTGAGGCATGGAGGGGCCCTGCCTAAGGCCAGGAGTTCGGAGAAGACTCTAGCCACACAGTAGTGCCAGCCGAGTGACCCCCTGGGGTGTGGGGTTGCTGCCAAATTCCCCAGGTGCACCCAGCATGGCTCCGGCCTGGAAAGAATCAGGAATTGGTTCATGTCCAGGACTCGGAGACAGAGGCTTTTACCCCTGACTTCTATGGCTCCTCCCCTAGAGGCACTCACTGTGCCCCAGCCCTCTTTGTGGAGTGCCCAAGAGTGGTTTCCAGGCCATAGTTAGGGCATTGTAGTGACCCACTATCAAAGGGCCAGCTGAGGTTCTACTGGCATTTGAAGGGCACAGCCAGCCTTAGTCCACCCCACAGTGGCCACTGGTGTCCCCCACACAGGCAGGGGCCAACTGCACCCAGGGACTCTCCCACTGCCTCTTGGCAGTTAGCACACCTTCTCAGGTGCTCAGCTTTCAGTCTGTGCCTTGTCAGTGCCAGGACATGCCTCTGAGATAGTAGTGGCTGGGGTTACTAGGAGGCTCAAGCCATGAGGGGTGAGAAACAGATTAGCACTGTTCCGAACCCTGGGTCAATACCGCCCTTGTCCAGGGGAAGGTGTCTGTTTTTCTAGGCCTCAGACTCCCCAGCCCTTGTGCACATGTCCATGTGGAGGTTCCACAGCTATGGGAGGGAGACACGTGGAAGGTTCCATGAGTTCTGGCTGCACCCTACCCTCTAGAACAAAGCAAGCACCCTGCGTCTGCATGGGTGCCTGGCTGTGTCTCTTAGCCAAAGCTGTAAAGAGTGCATTCTGTAAGTCTAGGGGCAGAGTAGTGGAAGAATGATGGAGGGGAAGCTCTGCCAGTGAGGGCAAGCTCACAGGTCCTGAGTTAGGCCTGGGAATACTGGACCCTGTGGAGTAGTTTTTCCCAGTGAGGAGTCCAGGAGCCCCAGATTGCAGCAGGTGTAGCACACAAACCTTCTCGTGGAACTCGTGGGGCCTTGGCTGGATGCACTGGGGGATGGACATGAGACTGCCATGCCCTGAGAGAAACATCTTGGGCACCAGCTACTTTCTCGAGCTAGAAGCAGTGGAGACCCTTGTGTACATGTGCGTTATTTCCCCTGTCCCTTCTCAGACAAGTGCTTTACCTCTAGGTTAGATTAGACCCAGCGATCAAAAATCTGCTGGTCCCCAGCCGTGTGACTGGGCACACTATTGGGCCTCTCTGTGACTCTACTTCCTTTTTCTGTAAAGTGGGTATAAAAACAGATCTCACTTAATAGATTTCTCAGCCTTAAAGGAGATTGTGGCTAAGTAGCCCTTGTCCTGTGATTCTTTATTTGAAAGGCAGAGACAGAATCTTCAATCTGATGGTTTACTCCCCAGATATGTGCAAAGCTGGAACCAGGAGTCGGGAACTCCCTCCTGGTTCCCCATATAGTTGACAGAGGCCTGAGCGATTGGGCCATCTTCTACTGGCTTCCCAAGCACATTAGCAGGAAGCTGGATCAGAAGTAAAGCACCCAGGACTCTGGCACTCCGGCATCACAAGCCTTGGCTGAATGCCAGCTCTGGCCACATTTTCAGTTTTGCTTAAAAATAACTTTCCTTATCGGCACCTTACAGATATTTCCTGGACGTATATGTTTCCCTCACTCCCCAACATCCACCTCCCCTACATGCATGCCCACTGCTGCCCAGGGGCCTTCTCAGCAACCCAGATCAGATGCTAGGACGTGGCTGAGATTGCAAGGGCCACCTTGGAGGAGCCTCAGGAGCCTCCAGGAACAGCTGAGTTGTATCTGCACAATAGCAGCTGCTTTGTTTTTCTGATGGCCAGAACAATCGGCCTTTCTCTGGCCTAGGAGCTATAATTAAATCAGAATATTTCCTAGCTGGGGTGGCATCTAGGCCTCTGGCATTTAAAAAAAAAAAAGCACAGCCCTGCCTGGGTACTGTACAGGGATGTTCCACAGAAGACACTGCGGCTGGGGTCTATAAACCCAACTAGTCCCCACTGAGCCCCTTTCTCCCTCTGACCTGAAAATGGGTAGGGGCTTTTAGTGGAGCAGTGGGCCTGGGTGGGAGCACCTCTGTGGTCTTCAGTAGGTGCTGCTTGGGCCTCTCCTTTTGTCATGAGGCTGTACGACTGGGCAGGAATGACTGTGGGCCAGCCAAGAGGTCACATGACTTACGGCTTTCGTGAGAACATCCAAGGCAGCCCCACTGTCCATCTGGTGGCCAAGAGACACACCTGGGCAGACATGGTTCAGACCCAGCTCACCAAGAGTCATTTCTGGAATCGGGGGGCACTGAGAAAGGATTCCACGCACAGAGCCTGCAGTGTGGACACAGTTGGCTAGTGCTGCTAGCTGGCACCTGTCCCTCTGTGTCTGCAGATCACAGCATTGGCCCAGGCCTTAGCATGGTCTCTATGAGAAGCAAGGCAAGAGATACTAGATTCTGGCCCTCCCACCCCCACCAAAGTCCACTCAGAGCAGCAGGGAAAGGTCAGAAGGGCCCACGCCTCCCCTCCTCCCTGTTGGCCATGGCCCATGCTCAGAGGACAGTGCATGGTGCCCAGGCAGTGGGTGCTTGTGGGCAAAATGTCAGCCCTGCTCACATTGCTTTGGCCTGGACAGGGTCTTTCATGCTGGGACAGGTAAGTGGGTTCCTGAGCCACTGAAGCTAGCTTTCTGTGAGGGGACTGAGTGCTCCCTTCCCACAGCAAAGCCCCCAAAGCACACCTGCTTTCCCCTTCTCCACCCCAGATCATCATTACACCACCCTCTCTCCTTCTTCCCAGGTATCCAGTCTGAGTTCTATATCAACACCACTCGCGCGGGCCCAGGGACATTGTCTGTCACCATCGAAGGCCCGTCCAAGGTGAAAATGGATTGCCAGGAAACCCCGGAAGGCTACAAAGTCATGTACACGCCCATGGCCCCTGGAAACTACCTGATCGGCATCAAATACGGCGGGCCCAACCACATCATGGGCAGTCCCTTCAAGGCCAAGGTGACAGGTAAGCACTGACCCACTTCGTGCAGGGTTCCTCCTCACTGTGGAGTGAACTGTTCTCGGGAAACAAACCCTGGTAGAACCAAGGGTGACTACGGATCTTGAGTTGCTTTGAATCGTCACCATAAGCAGGTGGCATGAGGTACCAGGCACTGTGTGTGCAAAGCATCTTCCATCCACTGGTTCACTCCCCAGATGGCTGCAGTGGCTGGAGCTCTGTCAATCCAAAACCAGGAGTAAAATGATCAAATATTTTATTAAGTCGTAGAAAAACATATCTCCTCCAGAACACTGGGGGAAAATAGCAAACTGCGGAAACTGTCTGACATCTTACGATAGATACCAACTGTAAATAAAGTGGTAAATGTTGTCCAGACAGCACACATCACTGTGATATGAGTAGTGTAGGTTCCTTGATGAAAACTGAGAAAACCCAAATAGAAAAAGCATTCTCTCTTTTGTAGAGAATCATAGGTGATATCTTCTGAGATCTCCCAGGTTTTAAAAGTTTCATTGGGAGTCCATCTTTAATCTGGAAGTAGAGATGAATATGCATTGTATCCTCACATCTGGATGTGTTAGTCTCCATTACACAGTTACTATACATCCCTTTAAATGGAAAGCCACAATACAAAATCAACAACAGGAAGAAAAATAGAAATTTACAATGCCATGAAGTTAAATAACATGCTACTGAATATGATAGTCTTCATTACGCAGTTACTGTACATCCATTTAAATGAAAAGCCACAATACAAAATCAACAACAGGAAAAAAAAAAAAAGAAGTTGCCATGAAGTTAAATAACATGCTACTGAATGACTAACGTGTCACTGAAGAAATGAAAAAGAAAATCAAGAATCTCCCAGGCTTTCATACTGCCTTTCTTCTTGGGTTCCAGGGACCCTACCCCACCTCTACCCAGGGATACCATGATCCATAGTGCTCAAGTCCCGTAAAAACCTCATGTGATATTTGCATATCAGCTGCACTAGTCTACGTACTAGTTACGTTGACTGCCTAACCCTGTGTAAATGCTATGTCAGTGGTTGTTAACCCTGTATTATTTGAGGAAGAAGGACAAGGAACATGACCTATGCACATTTTTTTTCTTCTTGGTGACCCACAATTGGTTACATGCCCAGCTGTACATCTGCAGATGTGGAGGGCCTGCTGAACCTGGAGTTTTTGAATAAAATGGCAATTGTAGATTTTCCAGTAGCACATCTTTTCTGTGGGAGAGATTTCTAGGTCAGCCAAGGCCAGACCTGCCCATTGGCTGGTCAGGAAGCCAGATCCTCATTGGATGCTATGTGTATGGAAGACATCGTGGGTGGATGTGAGATGGGGGAGATCCTGGCTTTTGTATGCAAGTGTTGGGGTGCAGGGGTTCTCCTGTGGATTCTGACTGAAACACCCGCTTGATCCGGCTACTCATCCTCCACCTCCCTCCTTCCTGTGTCCTAGGTCAGCGTCTCGTGGGTGCTGGTTCAGCCAATGAGACCTCATCCATTCTAGTGGAGTCGGTGACCAGGTCCTCAACAGAGACCTGCTATAGTGCCATTCCCAAAGCATCCTCGGACGCCAGCAAGGTGACCTCCAAGGGGGCAGGGCTGTCGAAGGCCTTTGTGGGCCAGAAGAGCTCCTTCCTGGTGGACTGCAGCAAAGCCGGTAGGTAGCACTTGCCTGCTCGAGCAGTAGGCAGACGGGAAGCAGGGGCAGGCTGAGTCCCTTCAGTCCACTCTGGCATGCTCTGCTGAGGTTTTTGGTTGTGCTCACAAGCAAAGCTGAAATGGGGAGGCCAATGGGGAAAGGGAAAGTTGTATATCCTAGTGGCTAGGGTACAAGTGGCAGGGCAGGGACGGGAGCCCACACCATCAGCCTCTGGGGGTCTCTGCTTACCTTCCCATCTCTCACCCCTTCGAGGACACCCGCAGCAGTGTGAATGCCCAACAGAAAGGCCCTGGTCCCTTGAGTTCCTCTGCTCCTGCCCAACCCTTCATACCCGGTGGAGTGACCATAGTCTTTGCCTGCAGGTTCCAACATGCTGCTGATTGGGGTCCACGGACCCACCACACCCTGTGAAGAGGTGGCCATGAAGCACGTGGGCAACCAGCAGTACAACGTCACATACGTCGTCAAAGAGCGGGGCGAGTACGTGCTGGCCGTCAAGTGGGGGGAGGAGCACATCCCCGGAAGCCCCTTCCACGTGACCGTGCCTTAAACCGGCTTCCGTCTGGGACAAGCTTCTTGCAGTTACTTGTGTCGCTTGTTTGTAATTCACTTGACATCGAGTCCTCTGCCCTGTTGGTGAGTCTGCAGCCTCGTCCCGCCAACCTCACCGTACCTTGCTGTTCGCAAGTGCCTTCCAAGCCTCGTGCCTGCCCTCTCTGCCTCCCTGGAGTAACCCAGGAAATGCAGTCTCGTTGCCAGGGTCAGATTGCGGACAAGAAAGGTGGTTTTAAAAAGGAAAAAGAAAAAAAAAATGAAATTGGCTAGCCTGGGCTCCAGCTCCTAGCTCCACATTTAAGAAACTAGACCAGAGGTTTTGGGTGGGGGGCAGGGAAGGGATTATTTGGCAAGGTCTTCCCAGGGGGTTCATACTGCATCCCTAAAGGCTGCCACAGCTACTTGGCTGCAGCGCCCTGCGCTCTGTGGTGGTCTCCCATTGCTCCAAGGTGGTGGCAAACTGATGGGCCCCCCTGGGCTCATGCCCTTCTTGCCTTCATTACCTTGCAGTCACAATGTGTAACCAACATGACAACCGCATCTCTGCTTCTGTTGGTTAAGTCCCCTCGGTTGGTTAGCCTGAGGAAATTCTACAGCGGCCAGAGTCCCCAACCCTCACCACTTGCCAAAGACCTCCTTAACCCGCCTAAGTCCTTGTTTGTAACACACGCTGCAGACAGGGGTCAGCCTGGTGAGTCCTGGCATGCATCCTTGGCACAGAAGCCTGGCACGTGATGCCACATTCTGTATCTGCCTCCAGTCAGCCTCCTGCATCCCTCAGTATAGACAGCAAGGGATGAAACGCCTGCCAAACAGCCTCGGCGGTGGTAGATGTGTCTTTCACCATGACACATGTTACTCTCTGAAGCTGTTTGCAGAGGGTGGAATCCCAGACACGAAGTGTGGGGCATCTGCTGTGCCTTCCTGCAGACCAGAGTCAGCTCTGGGATCGGGATGGTGTGTGATGGCAGAGCCCAGCTCTGATTTGCTGCACGACCCTGAGAAGTAGCGGGGGGCGTATGCGGATACCTGGAAGCTGGAGTAGCCCGAAGCCTAATGTGAAAGGACCACAGGCCTTGTGAATGGGGACGTGGAACCCAAACTGGAATCAAATGGCGACTGTAAATTGTATCTTATAACTTATTAAATAAAATGTTCGCTCTGTTCAAATGACCCTGGGTGTTCTTGGAATGAATGGCTGGAATCCAGGCACTGTGCTCCTAGGAACCCTAGCAGAAGAGCAGTAGGCTCTCCTATGGGGAGTGCGGCCTCCTGTGCAGGGGGCTCTCCTGGGGCTCCAAGAGGCCAGGATGAGCAGACATTGAAGGTTGGACCTGCCCTTCTGCCAGCACCACTTATTGGCATGTCCCGCCTGGGAAAACCACCCAGGCAGACCCTGCAGCTTTAGAGGATTGAGAGAGAGAGAAAGAGAGAAAACTGGGTCCCAGGCCAGTGTAATAGCCTAGTGGGTAAATCCTCCCTTTGCATGCAGTGGGATCCCATTTGGGCACCAATTCGTGTCCCGACTGCTCCACTTCTCATCCAGCTCCCTGCATGTAGCCTGGGAAAGCAATAGAGGACGGCCCAAAGCCTTGGGACCCTCCTGCACATGTGTGGGAGACCTGGAGGAAGCTCCTGGCTCCTGGCTTTGGATCAGCTCAGCTCCAGCTGATGCAGCTATTTCAGGAGTGAATCATCAGACAGAAGATCTTTCTGTCTCCTTCTCTCTGTAAATCTGCCCTTCCAATTAAAAATAAAACAAATCTTAAAACACACACACACACACAAAGCCTGGGTCCTGGCTTCCTGATAAATGCTTTTTTTAGGGAGTTAAATCCCACAAGCAAGTGCCCTATCATCCAGCCTCTCCACCCCGCACTCCCTCCTTGTCTTCAGCTTAGCTGCTGCACCATCAACTGCTTATAGGAAAACACACACACACACACACACACACATACTTCTGCCTCTGGCCAGAGATAAGCCCTTTTCTGTGTCCTCTGACCCTGGCTGTGGGAGGAAGCAGGGTAGAGGATTCGCAGTGGGGTTTCTGGTGCCCCTCCTAGAGCACCTGTATCAGTCAGAACCATGTCTTGGGCTCCTAATCCCAGCATGTCTGGGGGAGTTCACATGGTCTACAGTCTGCCCTGTGTGGAACTCCAAGCCTCCACATGACGTTGGCTTTGACCACAGGAATGGAACCTGGTTGGTTTTTGTTTGTAGGAAGTGGCAGTTGTGAGTTAACAGCAGGGCCTTTGGCATCAGGTAGTCCGGAGTTTAAATGCTAGCTCCACCCTTCACTCACTGGGTGGCCTCACCTCTCAGTGTGGGGGAATCACGTGAAATCCCACAGCAGGCTCTAGAGAGCCATTCCAACCTGAGTTAACCAGCACCTGCAGAAGGTGGTGAGAGCCCCCCGCTTGTCAGCACCAGGGGCTGCGCTCAGTGGTCCCTGTGGCGCATTTTCTCCCTCTAAGCCTCTTCCCACCTGATCCTTCTAAAAACCTCTCAGAGTGGAAATGTGCACCTGTTTGCCGGTCAGTGACTAGGGCAGAGGACAGCCCTTGGCTGCACTTAGGCTTGGCTGCTATGGAAACTGGCTGTTGTTTGTGCAAACACCTTAAAATGTTTGAAACTTGACCCTGGACAGCCTTGGTGCCAAGTCCTTTCCAACTTTCGTTGTTTGACTTTGACCCTTTCCTAGTAGGAGCTTGTGGAGCCTTCACTCTTTGGTAACCAGGCAGGTCATCAGATGGCAACTGGCTGTCACCCTGCAGGAACCCTCAATGGGAAGAGACACTGTTCCCTCTCAGTGCACCTGCCCAAGGCATGTTCCTGTGCAGCCAGGGCAGCACGCCCCAGCTGCTGTCCAAGAAGGAAGTGGGTTGTTAACAGAGCCCTATTTCCAGTGCACTTAGCAACAAGAGGGCCCTTGGCCCACGTGTCTGTTTTGAGAATATCAAAAAGGCTTGAAAGCTACACTTGGAGGACTTCAGGGTAAAAGAAGTTGGGTGCGTAGGGACTGAACTCCCCTTGAAAATCAGTCTTAAAAATTGGTGGAATAAATGTGAGTGATCCTTGAATGCTTGGTAGTCCCTCAAGTTTGCCTTGTTAATTTTTAAAGATTTTTTATTTTTTTTTAATTGCAAAGTCAGATATACAGAGAGGAGGAGAGACAGAGATCTTCCGTCCAATGATTCATTCCCCAACTGGCTGTGATGACTGGAGCTGAGCCAATCCGAAGCCAGGAGCCAGGAAGTTCCTCCAGGTCTCCCATGCGGGTGCAGGGTCCCAAGGCTCTGGACTGTCCTTGACTTTCTCAGGCCACAAGCAGGCATCTGGATGAGAAGTGGAGCAGCCGGGATTGGAACCGGCGCACATATGGGATCCCGGCACGTTCAAGGGAAGGACTAGCCTCTAGGCCATTGCGCCGGGCCATTATTATTATTATTATTATTATTATTTATTTATTTATTTTCATCTGTTTGAAAGAGCAGCAGAGAGACTGCTGCTTCACTCCACAAATGCCCATAATAGCCAGTGCGGAGCCAGGCCGGAGCCAGACATTGGGAACTCCATCCAGGCCTCACTGGGGTGGCAGGGGCTCAAGTACTAGATCACGCTTTTAGCAGTAAACTCAACTTGAAGCAGAACAACTGGGACTTGAACCAACATTGTGATGTGAGATGTGAACAGCCCAAAGGGAGGCTTATCCTGCAATGACACACATATGCACACACACACAACCCCCTCAGTTTGTGTTTTATAGTAGGGGACCACGATCATTCCTTGGGGGCAGGTATTTCATCCTAATTGTTAAGTCACGGGTTAAGTTGTCCCACACCAGAACATCCAGGTTTGATACCTGCCTCTGTCTCCTGACTCCAACTTCCTGCTGATGTGCATCCTGGCAGGCAGCAGACAATGGGTCCTGGTCAGCCAGCTGGGAGACCTGGATTGAGTTCTTATTTCCCAGCTTTGGCCCAACCCTTGACTATTGTGGACGATGGGGAATGAACCAATGGAATGGAGTGCTTCTGTTCTCCTATAAATAAGTATGAATTAAACAAGAAGGATCAAGAACTGGACACTTGAGTTGCAGTCCTCAGTGTGCAGGATGGGTTCCCGGATGGGATGGAGTATTTCCAAGTCTCCGGTAACTCAGGGAGGAGCTTGCTACAAATGAAAATCACCCTCTAAAATCTATCTGATTTAAGTATTTTTGTTGTTGCTGTTGTGTTTTCACATCAGCAAGTCAGAACTCAAAAGAGTCAGTGAGAATGTCCGATTTTAGAGAGCCGAGGGCCCAAAGCAAGCCTGGGTTTCCCCCCTCTGCTTTGTCCTAAAGGAGTGAGAGGAAGCTTTCCAAACAAAGGGAGTCTTCTCAGCTTTGTGCTGGCTTTGTCCAGGGGACCAGCTCATGGGTATGGAATTTAAGGGGATCCCCTTCCCACAACACACACACCCTTGTTCCCTCTTCCTTGTGAGTTCTCAGGACTGGGAGAGGGATTAACAAGCTGGCCCGTGGCTTACGGCCAGGAGGCTTTTGAGCTGTGGACTTGCTCATGCTCAGGACAAAGCTCAAAGACGAAGGCTCAGCCAGCCTTTATGGCCCCTGTCATTCCCTTTGCCCTGTCCACACACCCTTCACAGGCACCATCAGGGCACCTCTCCCTATCGGAAGCTAGGCACCCTCCTCGCCCAAGCCAGGTGAGCTCCAAGAACAGAGAGGGTCTTGGCAAAGGAGCCAAGCCCAGGAATGCCATGCTACAGGCCCAGCTCCAGGCTGCAGAGCTACCTGGGCTGCGAGAAGGACCCAGAAGGTTGCAGGTGCCATAGGTACAAGTCCAGCCCAGAGCTGCAGCTTCGTGCTCTCTGTGCCCTCACCTGTGAAAACTTCCAGTCTAGGATCAGACGGAATCTAGCTGCTCACTCCCAGTCCTGTCATCCCCTCACTGGCCTGAGGAAACCCTCCTCCACTCAGAGCTGTGAGTGTGAGGGAGACTCTGCCCCATCCCAGGGTAGAGCAGAAGGGGTTCCCCAGTAAGGGCAGGGGCTCAGCATGGCGGTTGTAAACAGGGCCAGAAGACTCAGATCCTGTTACTGTCCAGTAGTCACTTGACCCTCAGAGAAGATTGTGCCTCAGTTTTCTCTCCAATGAAATGGGGTTAATAGGACCCTGAGTATCCTGAAAGTTCACTGACACGGGTACGGGTGTCAGGAGCATCTCCTGGCATGGGGAGGGTCCTTGGGGTTTCAGGATCACTGGGGTGAGGTGATGGAGATAATTCCTCTGCAGGAAGAGCTGCCAGCCCAGGAACAGGGAGGTACCTGAAGGACACAAGTCCGGAGGCCCAGGAGGGGGGGAGTGTGTTGCTATGGGGACTCCAGCCCATGCCCCAGGGTGTCCTTGTCCCTGTTCAGAGCCGCTGCCACTCCTCTGCCTTAATGCAGGCCCAGGTACGAGGCAGGCCTGAGGTTGCTCCCACCCCTTCATAGGGATATGACAGTGGGCTTACAGGAGCTGACCCACCTGCATCACACCATGTTAGACTCTGGGTTTTTAGTCCCACCTGTCGCAGGCACAGAGAGGGCAGATGGTAATTACAGTTACTGGGCTGAGTTTAGGGACATGTCTGCACTTGGGCACTGCTTGCAGAGCAGGGGCCTGAGTCCCTCTGTAGACGGGGTCCCCTGCCAGGCAGGTGGGGTTGAGTTCCAGCCTGGATCTATCCCTCTGCCTGTGGGTAGCCCCAATCCCTTTGGCACCAGGCCTTCATTACCTGGGAGACAAACAGTAGCCGCATAAACACAGAACGAGTTCCCTTTTCCCCTCGCTGCTCATCTCCCTTATCTAAAAGCACACCCAGAAGCAGGAGCCACCCTAGAGGTAAGCTATGGCGTGAGCACCTCAGGGAGGGGGGCCGGGACCAGGAAGCAGCTCCTGGGTGCCCTCTTAAGGTCAGCCTCAGCAACTGAGCAAGGATAGCTTGAAGCCCAAAGGGGTCCAGAACCAGCTGTGCAGGGGCATGGATGTCCAGTGCCCCTACCCAGTGGAGCCAGAGTCTGGGAAGTTGGGAGAAGTCTCTCCAGGGCCAGAAATCCAGATATGGCCTCTATCCTCAGGGCTGCAACCGGGCCCTGACCTTCCAAGAGCTGCATCCACAGGTGCCCAAAGGAGAGATTCCAACATCCGGTCCTGCTGTCCTGGGAATATGGCTGGCAGGTGCATCAAAGCCATTCCAGACTATTAGGCAGGTCCAGCTTCCCTCCTCAGCCTCAACCATCATTGTCCCTCTCTCCCGGCACGTAGAGGCGGCTCACTATCTTCCAAGCAGGCTGGGCACCTTCTCATTTCCAGTCCCTGTCTCTGCTACTGAAATGTTCCTCCTGCTCCTTCCTCTGCTTGACCACATTGCATGTGTCACCTCCTTTGGGGAGTCCATCAGGACTCTTCCAGAAACATCCACTGAGCCCATCTTTGGGTTTAAAGAAGCACTGGGCCCACTGCCTGTCCATTGCTTGAGGACACCTATCTAACCCTAGGGAAAGCCCTTTGAGTTCCAGGACTCATTAACTTTCTGGCTGCCCTCCAAACTCCCGGAGAGAGGATGGTCCTCAGTGACTGTGGAAGGAAGGTACACATGAACAGATGAGTGGACGAGGAACAAGGACACTCTTCATGGAAGGAAATCTGGAGGTCTGTGACTTCAGCTGGACCCAAGATGGGCTGGTGAGAAGCCAGTGTGAGGATGAGCCGCCAGGAGCCTCGGGGTGGAATTCTGGCTCGCTTCTAGACCGGCCACTAGATGGTACTGTGAGACCATCCACTTGCTGGCGGGCTTTGGGCCTCCATTTCCTCACCTGTGAAAGGGAATTATACTACCTAGCAAGAACATTTTGAGGCCCAGAGCCTGGGATCGAATTCTGACCCCGTGACTCTGATTTTCCTGGTGCCTACGTACACTGGCGTTCACCAGTCCCTCTCTCCGTAAAAATACTATGCATATTTTTCATTGATGTATGAGGTCTGTTTTTCCGGCTCAGGGTCTCCCGGCTCAGGGTCACCTGGCTCAGGGTCACCCGGCTCAGGGGTCACCCGGCTCAGGGGTCACCCGGCAGGGCCGGCTCAGGGGTCACCCAGCTCAGGGTCACCTGGCAGGGCCGAGGCAGCGCAGGTGAGGCCCGTACTCGCGCGGCTGTGGAACTCTCGCGTGAAGACACGGGACCTCCCACGGGCCGGCAGGAGAAATCCCAGTGCCCCAGGACCCGGCCTCCCGGGTGCCGCTCGCCCGCCCTGGGTCCTCAGCCGTTCCCACCAGGTCCTCTGAGCGCGTCCCCAGGCTCATCTCCAAGCCATAGCAGCTACTCTCAGGACACACACGAATATTCCACAGTCGTTTTCCTCTCAGCCTTTCCCGCCTGCCTCAGAGACCCCGCGCAGGCCTGGGCGCCATGATGGCTGCGCCTGACGAGAGAACTGGCGCTGGCCCCAGCGCTCCTCCGGATCCGGCCGCTTTGTTAACGTCTCTGTCTCCATGGCTCAAGGACGCCGGCGGCGTCCGACCCCATGGCCCATCGCTGTGGCCCGGTATCCTTCAAATGGAAGCCCTGCCCAGCACAGAGCAGGCCCCAGCCGGCATCAGCTGCACTTGTTGCCGTCCGCGGGGAATTTTTTCTGCTCTGTCCTCTACAGAGCCAAGAGGAGACCTCGACACCAGCGGGAATCGGAAGGAAAGGACAGAAAAATAGGGTGACGCTCCCTGTGGTGTTTGAGGCCTGAAAGAGTTTCCCGCTCAGCAGAGGCACAGGCAGGGAGGCGCACATCCTCACTCCTGCCGCCAGGGGGCTCCCGCGACTGGAGCCCGAACGGAGCCGAGCCTGCTGAGGGATCCTTGGAAAAAAGGTGGGTGTGTGCATCATTCCATTTTTAATTGGAGAGATTTGAAAACCAGAAGTCCCCCATCTGCCGGTTCACTTCCCCCAATACCGGCAACAGTGGGAACCGAACCAGGCTGAAGCCTGGAGTCAGAAAATCAATCCAAGTCTTCCATGTGGGGGCCAGGGACCCAAATACTTGAGCCATCCCTGCTGTCTCCTAAGGGTGCGTGTTAAGAAGTTGGAATCAGAACTGAAGCCAGCTAGGACTTGAACCCAGGCACTCCAAGGTAGGGTGTAGTTCCAACTGGCTGCTGACCCCTATGTGCCAAACACACAGCCCTCATTTTCTTTCCTTTTTGTTTTTTTGTAAAGATTTAATTTTTTTTTTTTATTGCAAAGTCAGATATACAAAGATATACAGATGTACAAAAAGGAGGAGAAACAGAGAGGAAGATCTGAAGATCTTCCCTCCCCAAGTGACCACAACTGCCGGAGCTGAACAAATCTGAAGCCAGGAACCAGGAGCGTCTTCCAGGTCTCCTATGCTGGTGCAGAGTGCCAAGGCTAGGCTGTCCTCAACTGCTTTCCCAGGCCACAAGCAGGGAGCTGGATGGGACGGGGAGCTGCTGGGACATGAATTGGCACCTGGGATCCTGGGACCCTGGTGTATTCAAGGCTAGAGCTTTAGCCACTAGGCCACTGTGCTGGGTCCAGCCCTCATTTTATTTTACAAAAATGTTTGTTTAGTGGTCAGAGCTGCACTGGCTAATCCACTACCAGCAAACACCAGCATCTCCCATATGGGTGACAGTTTATGTCCCAATTGCTCCACATCTCTCCAGCTCCCAGCTTGTGGCCTGGGAAAGCAGCTGAGGATGGCCCAGGGTCTTGGGACCCTGCATCCGCATGGGAGACCAGGAGGAAATTCCTGGCTGCTGGCTTTGGATCAGCTCAGCTCTGGCTGTTGTGGCCGTTTGCAGAGTGAATCATTGGACAGAAGATCTCTATCTGTCCCTCCTCTCTGTAAATTTGCCTCTCCAATGAAAATGAGTGTTTTTTAAAATGTTTGATTATTTCAAATGCAGAGAGTACAAGAAAAATCTTCCATGTCCCACTCCCTAGTTGCCAACAACAGCCAAGGCCGTGCCTGGTGGAAACCAGGAGCCTGAACTCCGTTCACGTGGGTAGCAGTTACCCATCTGCTTGGGCCATCACATGCTGCTTTCCAGGGTGCAGCTAGCTGGAAGCTGGGATTTGAACCCAGCATTCCTGCTGGATATAGACCTGCCAGGCTGGATCGAGCTGTTACACCAAACACCACTGCTTGTTTCCTTTTTAAGGTCCTTTAGTTTGACCTAGTGACTTCCCTAAACCCTAAAGCTTGATGCCACTGGTGCCAGAGTCCAGGGCACCACGGTGACTGTGGGTAAGGTACATGGGAGCACAAGTGTCTGAGATCATTCGGGGAAGCTGGGTAGCTGGAGCAAGGGTGAGGGTTTCTCTGGTTCTGCCTCCCACCCATGTACCACCCTCTCCTTCCAGGAGGCACAAGGACCATGGCCTCCAATTTGTTACCTTTTCCTAGCGTGGTATCTCATTACTTTGCAACCTGCCTTCTCCAACCCACAGAATAGATACAAATCAGGTTGCTGAATTGGAGAAGCAGCCACCCCCAGCCTGGGCAAGGTGAAGGTCACTGGGGGGCAGGGTCTCTGTGTTCAAGGCAAGAAACTAATGTTGGTAAGGAAGAGAGTGTAACATGGACTGGGAGTGGTGGAAGTAGTGACTTCTCCATTCTCAAGGTTCATTGGCCAAAACACTGCTGTAGTGAATGACAAAGAAATGGGACAGTAGCATGATTGCCCATGTGGTTAAAATTCATTCTAAATAACAGAGCTGTATGTGTTTCCAGGGGCTTAAACCTACACTCTGATGGAGCCAGGTCTGCTTATAAAAAAAGCATATCTTCCATGTATGGGGGCTTACCAGGGGTGAGGCCTGTGCTCAGGGTCACATACCAGCCCTCTCATGGAAGCTTTACCTGTGAGTTCAAGTCTCCTTTTCCCATATAAGGACGTTGAAGCTGGCACTGGTCTCTGGGCAGCAGTAGGGACAGAGCTGGCCATTTGCACCCACACTCCTCCTCTTCAGCTAAAGGAGGACAAATGTGAGCCCTCAGACCACCTGCCAGGGAGGGATGGCTTTGCTAGAATGCTGGTTCCTGGGCTCTGGCCCAGCTCTCCTGAGACAGACCCTGGGAGGCTGGGGCCTGGGAATCAGCATAGTAGCTGGCTCCCTGGGATTTTGGTGCACACCAAGGTCAGACACTCTGGACAAAGCCGAGGCTGAAAGGGTGTGTGCCACGGGGATGTATTCCCCTTCTCAAGACACCCCAGTATCCTTACCCTGGTCAGGCCCGGGGACTCAGGGAGAGGAGGAGGTTGCTGGTCCTGTGGGTTCTGTGGGCTGTGAGGGCAAGGTGTTCTGTGCGCGCTCCTGCCTGCAGGCAGCTGGCAGATAGCTGTGCTTTCAGGAAGCTGCCTTAGATGAGGGACGGGGGCAGCTGTGGCTTGGGAGGGAGCCGCAGCCAGTCGGGACTTGTCTGCCTCAAGTCAAGGCCACAAACAGGCTCATTTGGTTCCTAGGGGCACGGGACCCATCCACATGGGCTGGAGAAGCTGCCGTTGCATGGGGCAGAGGCTCCTCGCTGGAGCAAGGTCATTTGTGGATTGCTTGCCTGACCCTTGTGGACCTTGGCAATCAAGGGTTTCTTGGTTGGGGGGTCCTGATTCAGGAGAAGAGTGGTAGGTAGCCCCCCACTCCCGGCCCTGCCTGGCCCTGCCCCGCCCAGCCAGATCGCTGAGGCATTTGGGGAAGGTGATTCCCCTCCTTCATCAAGCCCTGTTGGTTTTGCTCTCAGTCATGTCAAATAGGGTGAAACACCAGGCTAAGGGTTTCTCTCTCTTTTACATCCGATGTCACGTTGTGCTGATACACCAAGGGAAATGAATGAAGAACTGATGTGTAGGCACAGTTTAAGTGATGCTTTGTATTTTCCAAGGTTACATATAGTGCTCATTCATGCACAGACTTGCTCTGGAAGGAAACACACAAGCTGGGGTGGGAGCTGGGTTGGGGGGGGGGGCTCTGTGATGGGACACTAGGGGAGGAGTCCGGGGGCACCACACCTCTTTTTCATTGCTTATGCCATGGTGCCTTTAGCCATGTTCACAGCAATAAAGCAAAACAAGCCAAAGGGTACTGAGTGGCTAGACCTTCCTGAGCTGCTTCAAAAAGATAAAAAGATAAAAATCCTTGAGCCCCGGCTGGCCAATGGGACCTGTGTTAGAGCCCCTGAGTGTCACTGCTGGCCCTAGTGACACACAGGGAATTTAAGTTGCCTGGCATCCATAGGGACTGGGGACACTGAACCCAGGCTCTGGGGTGGCACAGATTGTTATAGGTAGGAGAGGACAAGTTCTTAAAACAGGTCATTGCCCTGTTCAGTATGCAGATGGAGCCTTGGTGTTCCTGGTCGTTTCCATTGAATCCATTTTCCCACAGCGGGCTGAAAGCCATTGCTCTTCCTTTTCCTGTAGCCGCTTATGGGATAGGGGGAGCAGGGCCAATGGGCAGGGCAGAAGCTCAGAGGGTGAAGGCTGGTCTTGCAGACCTCAGCAGCCACCAGTTTCCTTTGGGATAATTCGGCATGGAAACAGAAGACGTCCCCAGCTCCACAAATGGCTCAGATCAGAGTAAATTCAAGTTGAAAAGTGAAAGTTGTCACATCAGTCCTGCCGCCTGAAAGTGCTGGGATCAGGTCACCCTGGTTAGAGCTGTTTATTTAGAAAGACAAGAAGCAATTCAAAAGAGATGGTGCTGTTATATCTAGGAAAGCTTGGGTTTCACTTTCTTCCTTGACTGGATAGATTTTTTGCTGTTGGTGACGGCTCTTGAAAACTGAAGTGTAAATTCAACTGGAAAGTGGTCGCTGACGTCCAGGGCCTGTGAGGAGGAAAAGGAAGCAGGTTTGAGGAATAGGTTGTGCCCAGCAGGTGTACTTATTGTAGTGATGAGCAAGATCAGGACCACGAAGGGAAAGATGAAGTCCCTGACGTCACTGAACAGAGCATCCTGTGGTGAGCACCTTCCCCACGCCAGCTTAATCAGAAATTCTGGCAGGTCCTCAAATCACAGAACCACAGACCCTGAGCCTCAAGTCAAGTCACCCAACATTGTGTCTCCAGGGTGACCATGAAGGGTGACTGCAGCCCATCATTCCAGAGGGGCCGTGCTGAAAGACAAGACAGCAGCCTTACCTCTGCCTCTGTCAGCTTGTAAGCTTTCTGGAAGTCAAAGACGCCACTTGACTTGGGCACCACAGAATTGACGATGTCTTGTCCTCGGAGCACGATCCTGGAACAGGGAGAGAGAAGAATCGTGTTTATACCTTGCCCTGCCCCCTCCCTGTTGTTGGCCAGAAATGGAACCAAGGACTATGTCCAACACCTAGAAGTGACCGAGCAGCCTGGTGACTTCATGTGGTGCTTCCAGCTGGTAGATGACCCTAGAGGACAGTGCCCACAATTTCAAACTAGAATCAGTCTCAGCCAAGGCCCCATGGGCACTAGGATAGTATGGGCAGGTACCTGGTGATGCGAGAGACGGGTTTTCATGAATCATGGGCACCACCCCACATGGCCACAACTTACATAATGACGGGGTGGCTACTCCCTTTTCCATTCTTTGTCCCTGCCTGCTTCTGATTTGATGATGGAGGAAGTCCCTGTAGGTGTTCACTTGTCTTTAACAGCTTCTCTGAGAGAGTCAGTGCCTTCTCAAGCAGTTTGCAGGCCTGAGCTAAGTCACAGTTTAGCCTTGCATAGTGCACACCACACTGGGTTGCCTTTTACAAATATCTTTGACTTTTGGCAAATGATACTGTGTCCTTACTTTAACTTCATGACATTTCCTTTAAAATTTACTTATCTTGGTAGGAAATTAAGGGATTTGAAGAAAAATGTAGAGGAAAAATCATAGGCCAAGTGCTTGCAGCAGTGACGTAGAGACTAGAAGTGAGATGTTCTGGTAGATTTTGTAAATGTAATCTAGCACACCTGGAGTGGTCAATGCAGTCAGGTTGGCCTGGTCCCAACTCCTGAGCAGGGCTGCAAGGTGCAGAAGCGGGGGCTGTGGCACAGCAAATTAAGCTACCACCTGTGGCATCATATCCCACATTGCAGCACCATTCTGAGTCTGGGCTGTTCTATCTTCCATCCAGCTTCCTGCCAAGGCACATGGAAAAGCAATGGAAGATAGCCCAGGTACTTGGGCCCCTGCCAACCATGTGGGAGACCAGAATGGAATTCCAAGCTGTTGGCTTTAGCTTTGCCCAACCCTTTGAGGGATGAGCCAGTGGATGGAAGTCCTCTCTCTTATTTCTTGCTCTATCTCTCTGTACCTTTGCCTTACAAATAAATAAAATAAATCTTTAGAGCCAGTGCTGTTGCATGGTAGCAAAGCCTCCTCCTGCAGCTCTGGCTTTCCATATGAGTGCTGGTTCAAGTCCTGGCTACTCAATTTCCTATCCGGCTTCCTACTTGTGGTCTGGGAAAGCAATGAAGGATAATTCAAGTCTTTGGGCCCCTGAGCCCACATGTTCTTGGCTCCCAGGTTTGGATCAGCTGAGTTCCAGTTGTTGCAGTCATTTGGGAAGTGAACTAGTGGGTAGAAGATCTGTGTGTCTCGTTCTCTGTAACTCTGCCTTTCAAATAAATCTTTTTTTAAAAAAAGAAAAACAAAAAACAAAATCTTTTTTTTAAAAAGAGAGCATGCAAGATGCAGCCCTGGGTGCTCCTCTTCTGCCACTTCCCTCTGTGGGTTTCCCCTTTGGAGAGCTGGAGTGAGGACTTCTGCATGGGACACAACAGTCCCGAAAGCTCCAGAAGGAACCATGGAAGTCACGGGTTGGAAACGAAAGTCAGACTTCTAACCCAAGAAGTGAGAACTGCCAGCTCCTTTCCTGCAGATGGCCCATCTCATGCTTCCTCCGCCTTGGTTCCGTCGAGCTCTGGGTGCCACGGCCTCCCTCCCGTGGGACCAGTCCCAGGGGTTTCCCTGCTGCGGTCTGACTCCTGACAGTCCCTGACGTTCACATGCTTCAACTGCAGAGCCTGCATTTCTGTGGAAGGAGCAAGGAGCAAGCTGCTTGCAGATCTTCCGAGACTTTCCCGTGACTGGGGAATGCGTATCTTTCAGTGCCTGCGTTTGCACGTAGGAACATGTAGCAGAAGCATTGGAGGTGTGAATGTTCTTGCACTTCTGGTCTCCTTTGTAAGTTTGTTGTCTGAGGAAATCATGAATATTTACACAAACTGCATACAGAGGATATTCATTTCAGCAGTGTTTATAATAGCAAACCCTTGGCAGTAAGCTACTTTGCCATGATGGGGATGGTGTAAATGAATTGGAGTCTCCTTGGAGATGGACTGATTAACAGCCCACGATTGTATTGCCTCTGCCACACACTGGGTGTGGAACTCACAGCATTATATGTGTTAGTTACTCTACTTAGCCTCATCACATTTCCACAAAGGAAGTAGAACAACTGGCTTCATTTTACCCACGAGGAAAGGAAGACTTAGACAGCTTTCAAATTAAGTTATAGAGTCAGGGTTTGAATCCAGGCCTATCCGACACCCAAGCCAGTCCTTGCCCTTGCTAAACTCTAGCGTCCAGAACAGTGTGTTTCTCCCCATACAAGGCACTGATCAGAGGGGCCCGAAAGCCTCATGATTGGGCTGCTTCTCTAAGCCTTGTGTTGCTTGCTGCCTTACTTCTTATTCACCAAGGCCTGGGCAGGGCCCAGCAGTCCGCAGGCACCCCTTACCTGTCGTATGCACAGCTGGTACTCTTCTTGACTGTGGTGTCCTCTCCGTCCCCAATCAGCCAAACGAACTTGGGGTCGGTCCTCAAGCGGATGTTTTTCCAGGCTTTCTTGGGGACATAGCTACAGCCTGCATTGAAGTCGCCCATGAAAATGAAGTTCTGAAAGACACCATTTTGAGTCATCACCTGATGGGCATTCTGGCAGAATACATTCACCTGGGACTGCTGGCAGTGACTGCATCCACTACTCTTAGTAGGCAGGGGAGTCTGTATTGACAGAGCTGTGTCTCTTACTCCATTCATAGGTTGAAGCTCTGACCCCCAGTATCTTAGAATGTGATTGTATTTGGGACTGGCATTATGGCACAATGGTTAAGCCACTACTTGCAACATGAGTTCAAACAGAGTATCAGTTCAAGTCCTGCTGTTTGCCTTTTGAGCTGGCTTCCTCCTAAGGTGCCTTGGAAAGCAGCAGAGGATAGTTCATGTGTTTGGACCTCTACAACCCATGGAGAGAGACCTGGGCAGAATTCTGGACTTCTAGCTTTGGCCTGGCCCTGTCCTGTTTGTTGTAGCCATTTGGGGAGTCAAACAGTGAATAGAAGATCTTGCTACCCCCCTCTCTGCCTTTCCTTCTTCTTCTTTATAATTTTGCCTCTCATATAAATAAATCAATCCTTAAATATCCTTAAGATACTGTGACTATATTTGGATGTAGGGTCTTTAAAAACGTAAATAAAGTAAAATGAGGTTCTATAGGAAGGCCCTAATTCAACATAACTGGTGTACTTAATAAAAAGAGAATATAGGGTGGTTGTTCAGTCTGGAAGTTAAGGATACCTGCATTCCATAACAGAGGACCTGGGTTTGATTCCCAGCTCCAGATCCTGATTCCAGCTTGCTGCTGAGGCAGATCCTGGGAGGCAGAGTTTATAGCAGGGCGCTAGGACCATCATTCAGACTCTAGTGTGGGCAGCAGGGACCAGTACACAGGCATGGAAGGAGGACCCAGGTGAAGACACTAGAAAAAGACAACTTTGTGCAGGCCAATGAAAGAGGCTCCTGGTGGGGAAGAGCCCTGCTGGACACATCTCACTCTTGAACTTGTGGCCTACCAGATTGTGAGCACGTCACTGTGTATTGTTTTAAAGCACACAGTCTCCGTTCGCACACTAGTACAGGGTCTTCCTGAAGCTCTTTTTGCTTTCTGGAAGAAGAGCCCCAAGTTCCGGGTGGTGTCTCAGCTTTGACACCTGAGTGACAGGTGAGTACCAGGAGGGGCTATCCATGGGAGGGAGGGTGTTTGTGGAGACTGCTGGCCTGCCTGTGCTTGCTTGGTCTTGGAGTACCTGTAATTCAGCATGCACAGTTAGGGAGTAAAAGAACCTAGCCAGTAGATCCCCTTACAGCCTCCCTCTCTGGCTCAAATGCCTGCAGGCTACATGCATGGGAAGGAATTGATGCCTTTCCTTCTTGCTTCTGGCTTCCAAGCAGGAAAATCAGCTTGGGCGGTTCCACACTGACAGCTTTGGCACCATTCTTTTTCTCCCATTGTTTTGAAGTTGGAAACTATTTTCCTGTGGAAATTTAGCCCTTGGAGGAAGTGCGAGGAGTTTTGGGGGCAGGGGACCACAGTGTGAGCTGTCCATCACTCCTCCCCTCTCCTCTGCCGCTGCAGGCCACCCACAGAAGCTTTTTATCTTGGAAGTATTGTTCCCTGTGCAGGACTCTTGGAACAGAGTCTTGACATCCCACAAAACACAGGAAGTGTCAGATTTCCTCATTCGTGTCATTGTTAGGAGTGGTGCTGACTTGGGAGGTTTTTTTTTTCCAGAATATTTCATGATTGTGGTTTCTCCTGAGATTACTGGGTGTAGTTGAGGTCAAATGGGAACCCTTAACCTGCAAGTCACCAGCTTCTGCTCCCATGGGCAGGATTTACTGAGCCTTTACTATGGCCAGGTCCAACATCAAGTGTTTGTAATATTTAATTTGTGTCTCACAACAATATGTATCACTGGGGAGTAGACGTCATAACTGGCCTTTATAGAAGAAGAGGAGGATTAAGTGACCTACTCTAGGCTATGTTCAAGTGATGAAATCAAGAATGGGGTCCTAATGGTCCCTTCTGAGGGCCCTCATCACAAGAGTCTTGCCACTTGGGCCACTGGTGCCTCCTCAGAGCCCAACACTCAATAGGTAGGTGCTTATCACATTCTTGTTGAAAGAACGGTTTCATAATTTTTGGAGTGAATGAGTGGGCTTTCCTCATGTGCTGCTATTTATCTGTATGCCAGGAGATGTACTTTGTCCTGTCCGTCCGTGGTCACACTTCCTGACTCACGTTGTGCTTGGTGCATGGCACTGTGGAGGAGGAAGGGGAGCAGAGCCCTGGGGAGCACTTCTTGGCCAGCCACGGCTGGCAAGGTCTCCTTCTACCAGACTAGAATAATCAAGGCCAAGAGGAATAACATGTGTGTCCCCTCCTGGGAAACTAGCACCCAAATTTCTTTGGGAAGTCACCTCTCCTTCCTCCACCTCAGCTATGAGTTTGGGGCAATAGGTTTAGCCTATCAGAATATCTAAACTACTGCCCCTTCCCACCTATCATAGTTATTGGTTCAGGATAGACATGTGACCTAGATGGAGCCAACAGGGCTCAATTCTACTATTGGTGGCATTGTAGGAAAGAAAATCAGTCAGTTCTGGACATTGCTGGTGGCCATTGTGCCATCTCAAGGGTGGAACTCACTCAAAATGAAAGGAGGCTGAGAGATGGGAAGCCCTGAGTACCTTGTCTGACCCCTTGATCCGGCTATGCCTGAACTACTGGGCCCTTCAATTAGACCAAAAAAACTGCACTGTCTTTTCAGGAGCCAGTTTGACATCCTGTTGCCTGATCTCTCTCAATGCAAAGCAGGAGTGATTAAAAGTAGCTACATCATATAGGAAGGATTAAATTCAGTTGTTCTGGTCAAGCCTCAGCACAGTACCTGGCCCTAGCTAGTCCCTTAATGAACGTCAGTATTCTTTACTAACGATGCATGAGTTCCCAGGGCCCGCATGCGCAGGCAGATTTTGCAGGATATTTAGGGCTGAGCAAAGGCTATGAAGTGGCCGTGGCTTATACACACCCTGGCCCATGCCCTGGGCCCGAGGCACAGATCTGCCCTCTTAGACAGGAATCAGGCAAACACAGGGGTCCTCACCTCCACGTTCCAGAGGTGTTTCACATCCGTGTAGACATCAACCAGCTCATCAATCTCTTTCACAGATGCCTCGGGGGTGGTATGCAAGGGCACAATCACAAAGTCCTTGACAACTGAGGAACAAGCAAGAGGCCCAGGTCATACTCTGGCCCTGTCAGGTTCCCACAGATTCCACCCAGGAGAAATAGGCTGTCCTTTCTGGAAGAGCCTCCAGAGGCAGGCTTGTCTGTCTCGGCTCTAGAACCCCAGCTCTGTACCCAGCACGTCAGAGGTGCTCAGAAGTGTTTGCTGACTGAGTACATGATTGAACCACTAATGAATGAAAGAGAATGTGGTGAGCAGCTGACTCTTTTACATGGAATCTCAAATCAGGGGACATAGGAAACTTCTTTGACCAAGAAAGCAGCTCTGGATAGGCAGTGGTGTCCCAGGGGAGAGGGATGATGGGGGAAGGATGGAGGCTCAGGCTGAACAGGTTTGTTAGCCATTTGTAGGGATCCAGATTGGTCTTTTACAAGAGATGATCTTTGTGGGGAGGCAAAGGGGCTGTCAGGACACTCACTGGCCAGCCAAATGCAGTGCACCCTGAAGAGTATTTTCTCTTTTTCTTCTGGAAGATCCCACACATCTCTCCTGAATTTGTTTTCCTAAAGCCTTCCTCCCCTGAGTAATTAACTGGGGCAGAAATGGTTCACTTCATAGGTCAGGATGTTTATGTTGGTGTTGTGCAGCTGTAGGTGGCCCTGCCTGTGACTCTACATGTGTTTATCTGGCCAGCAGAAAGACCTTGTCTGGCATGTCCGGTGCCTTCATGTAGTAGGAACTGAAAACATGTTTGATGTTTTATGATCTGTAATCTGAAAGCCAAAGTTAATTCTTGGTTTTTCCCTCGAGTATTGTGTAGTGATTAAGAGCAAGTTATAAACCTGGCTCATTGTCTTCAATAACGGGGTGAGTTGTGCAACGACCCCACTTGTTTGAACCTCCAGTGTAAAGTCAGTCCTGGCCCCTGCCGTGCAATGGTATTGCAGGGATTCTGCAGCTAGGAGGCCAGCATTTAATCAGGGATCAATGCAAGTAGATAGGATTTTTAGTGTCTGGGGTGCCATCCCTTTGAAATCTTCCCTCCCTGAAGTCTACAGACGAGATTGCTCTGTAATTACTATAGGAAAGGTGGCTGTCACTTGGGACTTTTCAAAATGAAGGACTAGTTAGACTTGGCAGGGACCAAAGAATCTTGGTAATTTCCCCAAACCCAAGTGCTTCGAAGACAGCAGTGCTGTTCTCAGAAGGTGGATTGTAAGCAGGGGAGGTGAAGAGTCTTGATATTCTGAGAAGCAAGTCTAGTGCCATCAAGCTGAGCTGCAGTACTCTACATCTGGATGGGAGAAAACATTGTTGCCTGAAGCTGAATGCCCCCCTAAAAAAGCTGCTTTGTCTCAGGGATTGTAGCTCACTCTCAGGACAGCCAGCTCCCAGACGAGAGGGGCCTGTGGGCCTCACCAGTGAAAGGCGACTGGAACCAGACAACGAAAGGCTCCCTGGAAAACACATCTGCGTCTCCAGCCTGATAGTCATGGTACAGATAGCGTTTCTTCACAGACACCAGCTTTTCCCTAGAGAGACAAGGAAGCCATCCCGTTGAGTCAGTTGTTTTCATCTTTCAAGGCACAGAGCAGTTCTCACAGCTTCTTTGTTTGTCCTCCAGAGCAGACTCAAGTACTAGGAGGATCTTTTCTCTCATTTGAATAAGGCCAAGTCAACACTTCTCAGTGGCCAGAGCCTCTAGAAGCTCAAGATCTGAGCCACCCTGGTCACCTGGGGCCCCTACAAGTCAATGCGCAAATGACAGGTACTAGTAGGGAGAGAACAAGGATGTGATGTTTAAAAGTCAGTCATGCTGGACTTTTTACTTCCCAGCCGTGGGCTGGAACATGGCTATGAAAAATGGAAAATGAACCCAGGCAGGCCAACAAGTTAGTGTTAGGAAGCTGCTCAGCTTCTCTAGTTGAATAAGTGAATCACTTGCATCAGTCCCAATTTTGACAGCAATTATATTGATTGATATTGAGCCCTGTTTAGATATAGGAATTGGGTTTTGAACAAAAGATGCTTATTTTCTCAGTTCGCAGTCAAAATATGCAAGTGAACCTTGTTCGGGGGCATTGGGTCATACTCACTTGTAGAGAAAGGCATACTGTTCTTTATAAACATTTCTTCCGAGCCGAGAGCTAATCACATAGTTGTATGTTGTGCCTCTTGAATTTCTAGAAAATAAAGACTTCACAAGGCATCTTAGAGAATGAACATCCCTCTCCTACCTATGAATCTGCCTCCATATTTCTAATGACATCACAGGAAAAACAACTGTCCCTCACTTTGGTTCCAGTAAGAGTGGCTTCTATTGACTGGGGCTAAGACACCTGCTAAGATCTTTGCAGCTTCCCCCCCCCCTTATGTATTGGATAATATTGTTGCCCCTTGTTGCAGTTTAAAAGCATGAAGTTGGGATTTGAACTTGTATGTGACACATTCCTCACCCCTCATGTATTGGCTTGCCTATGAATGACTTGGTAGGGAGTTTATCCTGGAAGCAGAAACCCACTCTGGCCCACAGTAGAGTATGCCTTATTGGGTCATCTTATCTGTGCACTATTCCTGAACATGTGTCAAATACAAGGACATTCTATCCTTTGTCTCCACAAAGCATTTTCTCACAAGTCCTGGAACTACAATTTCAAATCACTCTTGTTTATTTATACCCCAGGGGCTGGAGATGCAGCTCTAAAGACCTTTGGTCCCAACCCTCACCTACAGCAGGGCAATTTGATTCTGTGCATCTGCCAGATCTGCTGTTGACTCCACCTGGGGCAGCATCGGACACAGTTTCTCTCCATCTGCTCACAAAAAGATCTAGGTCATGTATAAAACTAGGCTACAGTGTCAGGTTCACTTGGAAAAAAGCAAAGGAACTATTTAGGGACCAATGCAGACTGTACAGAAATTTCTGGGACTCCAGATTTGTGTGCTATGCTAGGCTGGACTGCTGGAGTCTGAGAAATGAGTGTGATGGGCACAGTTTTGGGATGGGGGAGTGGGTTGGCCCTTTTTAGTTGACAAATTGCTTGCAATGACTCAGCTGCAAGGTGTCTGGGACCCCTTCTGGATTGAGGGGGACAAAGAGATAAGCAGACCTGGCTCTGCCTAGAGTTCATTCAGGTTGGGGAACACTGAAAGCATGGGTGAAACAAAGGCTGACTGCAGATTGACTGTGTAATCCACCTGCCCCCACAATACTCCACACTCATGGAAAGTCACAGGACCACTTTGCAGGGATGTCTGAGGAGGCACGCAGTAGAGCACTGGCATTGGAGTTAGACATGATCCACCTGATTGTGAGCCCTAGAAGAGCCTGCCAGCCCCCACTTACCCATTGAGCTTCTCCATCAGCATGGGGCAAATCATGTTGTTGCTGTCCTTGATCTCCATCAAGAGTATGATGTCACAGCGTTTAATGACCTGCAGAGAGAGAATTTGCAAGCAGTCAAGACTTTTACCACATGCAACAAGAACTCTTGTTGGGAGATTGTGTTTTACGTTGGGTACTTGCTAAAATAACTTCGCTTCTTTCCTAAACTAAATTCAGAAGTCTCTGAGGTAGGTGCTTACATTACATTTACATATATTACATTACATTTCATTACATAAATTTCAAAGATGAGGTACCTGAGGTGTCTGGAAAGCTGACCAATAGGTCACCTACCTAGAAAGTGGCCAAGACAAGCACAGGTGTTTGGCACAGAGGGTATGATGTGCTTCACATACCCATATCCTGTATTAGAGAACTTCCTCTTGAGTCTGTTCCCACTCCTGATTACAGCTTCCTACTAATAGTGCACACCCTGGGAGGCGGCAGGTGATGGCTCAAGTGCTTTGGTTCCTGCCACCCACATGGAAGACTGGGATGGAATTCCAAGCTTCTGATTTTAGCCCGGCCCTTGTAGGCCCTGTCTCCTATAGGCATTTGGGGAGTGGCCAACAGATGGGTCATTTCTATCTGTCTTTCCTTCTATCCATTTGCTTCTCAAAGAAGTCAACAGTTTAAGAAAGGCAGCATTTGAATCTAAGAAATCCAACCCCAGATCCCATGATCATGCCCCTAAGTGCATATTTAATGTGCTCATAAAAACAGAACACAAAACCAATGACACTGGGTGATCAACATGCTGCAAAACAGATGCACATGTGTATAAATCTTTTCTCAAAGAAAAATGCCTTGCGAGGGAATTACCCAAATGTCAATGGCATTCTTTTAAAATTTTATTAGTGTATGTGTTTGTTTTTAATGTGAATGGCAGAGGGACCCAGGGAAAGCTCTTCTCAGTTCACTCTTCAATTGCCTACAACAGGTGGGGTTGGCCAGGAGCTGGGAACTCAATCCAGGTTTTCTGTGGGTGGCAGGGACCCAGTTCCTTGAGCCATCAGTGTTGTTTCCCAGGATTTGAAATGGTGGGAAGCTGCAATTGGGAGTTGGAGCTAGGACTCAAGGCTAGGTGCACCAGTGTGGGATGTGGGCATCTCAGCTGGCATCTTCACTGCTAGGTGTAGGCCCTCTTCCTCAGCTGTTACCCTTGGATGGTTTCTCTTCCTTATGTTTCTATCACTTTCAAAATAGATCATAGCTATTGAATGAAACTCTTATACAGTTTGTAAAGAAATTCACAATTTTGAAAGCTATACTATTATTTTATAAAGGGAACTGCTGGATGAATAGGGAGTTTTAGGGAAGAAGTTGACAGCCAAAATCGATTAGGAATGACACATGCATTTCTGACATATTCAGCACTAGATATGTAAGCTGTCTTGTTTGACATGCCTAATACAGTGCCTGGCACTTGAGGAAGCCACCATAAGACGTAGCTGCAATCAGTCCTCTAGATGTGACCATTGTGTAGCTGTGTAGACTGAGGCCAGTGAGACTCAGTGACTCAGATGCCAAGGCATAGTGGGGCATCCTAGAATCTCTTCCAACAGCCAAGGAACTCAGCCTGACCTTGTGACTACTCCTTCTCAAAGAACAAGGCCCCTTTTTGGAGTGATGCCCATTGATACCGAGTGAACATTGACTTCGAATTCAGTCTCCTTTCACTGAGTAGAAGCTTCAGGCTTCGGGTTTCCTGTTGACAACCCTTTCCTTGCTTTACAAATGCCTGCTAGCTCTGTATCTATAGCAGCTGCTGATTTCCACTTCTCTGGAACATTTCCTTTGGCACCTCTGGGAGTATTTCCTGTAGATGGAAACCTACAGGAAACTACAGGGAGTGATAGTTCAAGATCCTGTTATCAGAATTCTCCTGAGGAGGTGAAACCTACAGCTGTTTGATCTTCATCCATTCATTCTTCCACCCATTTCTGTACTCATTGATTCATCTGTTGAGCAAGATTTTGTGCACCCTTGGGGCATCAGGCAACATGTTAGACCTTGGTATAGTCATAGTTCTATCTCCAGCTCCTGGCACAGCATCTGACCCAAGTGAAAGAAAAAAGAGGTTCTGAAATTACAATAATGCCATCCATGCCATCATATGAAAGAAGAATACAGCACTGGGGCTGTGGGTTTAGCCTAGCAGTTAAGTTGCTGGTTGAGACACCCAGGTTCCACATCAGTGTGCCTGGGTTGTATCCCCACCTCTGATTTTCAACTCCAACATCCTGTTCAGCAGACCCTGGGAGGCATTGGCTATGGCTCAACTAATTACTATTTGTGGACATCTGAAAAGCGAGTCAGCATATGGGAGCGGGCATGCTCTCTCCAAAGTAAATAAATTTTGAAAAACAGAGTATAAAATTCCTGGCCTGTAATGGAATCTCATTCTCTGGGCCTTGGTGACAGTGCTGTGTGGCTGCCTGGCATTTTGGTGCAGCTGTAGGCACTGTGTGGCATGGCTGCTGCCAGCCATGACCAACCTCTGCTTACAGGATGATTCTTTAGGAGTGAGAGGTGGCAGAGGCCTCCACGAAACTTCACCTGAGTTTGGTGGGACTCTGCATCTCAGGGGAGGCCCTGAGTGTAGCTGGCAATTTTCCCCCGACCCCAACACAGTAGAACCTCCAGGGAACAGAAAAAGACAGCTCCTTAAGATAGTGGTGACACTTCCACATTGGATAATCAAGGATGGTGGAGGGAACTTGGTAGGTACTGGGGTCTTTGGTGCTGTCAGGGAAGACGTGAGAGAAACAGCTTCTGTGAATGTCGGGGTTTCCCATGGAGCCGCAGCACCATGCTTCCCATAGGCTTGGCACAGCTGTTGTGGTTAAACAACATCTAGAAGGTCGTGGGTGCCATCCAAAGGGCAGGGCTGCAAGGACCACAGCAGTAAGAACGGAGCATGGCTAGGTTCCCCTTTGCCTGATAATAACTTAAGTACCTCCCACACCTAGAATTCTCCCAGCCAGGGGATCTAGGCTGTGCAAGCCTCATGCTTTCCTTTATAAGGAAACTGGAGGCTCAGAGAAGTGCAGGAATTTTCAGACACCCATGGATGGCAGGCAAAATCAGAACCCTGGGTTCCGGCATTCCCACCACACCATGGGACCTCTGCTGCCTGTCTAGGTAAGGGCACCCTGCCAGAGTCCTGAGGCAGGTTTGAGGTCCCAGCCCCTGTAGGTTAAAGAGAGCCAAATGGCTCTCGAGAAGGGTGAGCTGTGTCACCAGACACTGGGTCGGATTCTCCAGAGCCAGCACTCAATAAGTGCGAAGAAGGAATAGGATTGAGAACTAGGGGAAGGTGTGTGGGGCTGGAAAGTAGCGGGGAGGGAGGAAAGGACCAGAGAGAGAAAACTAGACAGGGAAGGAAGGACAGGAGAGAGTAAGAAGCTGCGTTTCAGTGATGGATAAGACAATGCCAACTGGGCTGGAGACCCAGGAGCTCGCCTGCCCACCCACCAGCTGCACAATGTTGTTTTGTTTCTTTTTCATCATTTCTCCTGGAGAAAAGAACCCTCCTAGGAGGATGAAGTGAACCCTGCCTTTATAAAGCCTATCAAGAAATGGGAATGGAAGCCATGGCTATGGCCAGCCCTTCCCTGGAGTTCACTGTAAATCAGAGACTGCACTAAGAGATCTCAACATTCCCCATCCACCGCAGTTCCCCACCTCCCCCAACTGTCACTCCTTTGTGAGATGACTATTGTGGCTATTGTCACACTCACAGTTCTAGGTTCTAGTCACTACCAAACTCCAAGCCAGCTATTACCTTCAGGACCAAATGCAATTACTCCCCAGTCTCCTCTGGAGAATATGAAGGACCTGCCGCTGGACAGGTGGGGAGGAGGGGGGCTTACCTTGACAATGACCTCCATGGCCTGGCGGTTTTCCTTCTTGCTCTCCCCAAAAGATCTGATATTGAAGGAGCAGAGCTTCAGGGCCAGGGAGCTATGCAGGCAGAGGAGGAAGAGCAGCAAAGCAGCTGAGCTCGTCCTGAGCAACATCCTGGCGCTCCTGTGGCCTCCCGGGCTGTGCCGGCTGTGCTGGGCGCTGACTTATGAAGCCTGCAGATAACAGGAATGACGGGATTCCTCCCTGCTACTTTCACTTCTCTGAGGAACTAAAGATCCTGCCTTTACATCCCAAAGAGATGAAGACACTAGGCCAGCCTGCAAGGAGCCCCTGTCTCTGTCATCCTGCTTGGGGGAAGGGTAGGAAACTGGGAGGCCTCAATGTGGCCCTGTCCTCCTGCCGTCACTCACACCTTTACTGGTGCCAACTCTGACCTCTGCCATGTTTCTGGGCTTTTGTGCCATGCACTTTTCCCGGATACCTGATGAATTCAGAAATGTCTGCCCCAGAGGGCAGCTGGGTGACAGAACCTTCTGCTTGGTGGAGGACAATGAGACAGGGACACTGGGAAATCCTGTGGATTTTCTGTAAATCACAGGGACTTGGCATCCAGCTGTCCCCAGACACACCCAGGCACTGACTGCCTAATGCCCTGATGGGTGTGATTAAGGTCAAGCTTAGTTTGAATTACTTATTTCCAAGGCAGTTTGGCTACACAGGATTTAACACATCAAGCCCTAGCAGTGTGTTACCCAAGAGGGAGTGACTGTTGGGATGCTGGAATGGTCCGGTGAAATGTCCTCGGACTTTAAGGACAAATTGCCAATTCAAGCCCCTGTAGAGAGCCACAATTCAAGTAGATACTGTTCTAATGTTTGTGATAGTTTTGTAACCCACTTAGAAACAGTTGTAGGATTTCTGTCCAAAGGGACTTAGAGTTGGGCAGAAAGATCTGAAATGCAAAAGAAATACAAAATCCAATTAAGTTATGCATGTGGATGTTGACAAAGACAAGTGGGTGAGGAAAGGGTAGGAAGGAGAATAATTAAATCAGTGCTGGAAGCTCCGGGCCACCTCTTCCTGAGACAGTGGGGTTGTGGCCATACCTATAAGAACACGTGTGTCACTAGCACTCAATAGTCAGCATGCAACCATGGCTTATAAGAGAATCCAAAAAGGAGAAATGAAAGGAAATCATGTTTTCCTGGACTCACGGTTTGACAAATCTCCCTGTTGTCCTAAACCTCAGGCCTCAGGCCGGGTGGAAGCTCTGGGATAAACCATACAGCTAAGGTGGCTTAACTGTGTTCTAGGGTAGATGGGCATCTTGCCACAGAAGAAGATTTAGAGTAAAATGCTGAAATGCTTACAAAATCCGAGCCATGCTTCACACGGTATGCATTTTAAGATGGAACATGTGTAGCGTTCACATACATAGAGTTTTATGAGCTTGGACCATCTGAGAGGGCAATGTGGGACATATGTCAGCAGTCTTTTGACTCCAATATCACACTTACAATTAGGGGAATTGTCTTAGATGCCTGGATTTAAATTGAAACCTTACTCAGTTTATGTATAGTTTTGGAACTTTGCTAAAGACTTTGGGTTCACAGTGTTTGGCAAGCTTAATTTTGTCAGACTTGGAATTGTTTAGTACAAAAAGGTGACATTTTTGTTCAGATAAAGAACTTTAATAGGACATACGAAATTTGCAAAAACAGTTTAAAATGCTTCTAAGTGAATAGAAACTTTTAAATTGTTTCAGTTGACTGGGTGCACAGTTGCCAGAAGAATTAAAATTCACAGCAATAGATAGATTTGAATTTTACATAATTCATTTTTAATTGGACAGTCTGGATTTAACATGGAAATCTTAGCTGGCTTGATTATACAAACAAGAACTTTTGTGAGCTGGACTTAAAAGTGTGACATTTTTCTAAGGTAATAATCACCTTCATCAGAGATCTACAAACCTTCTCAGTTCCTAGTACCTAAAATAAGCTATTGTGGGGTAGCTGGCTAAGATTTTGGTCTGCTATACCAGCATCCCATGTCGGTGTGCCAGTTTGAGCCCCACATGCTCTACTTCAGATCACAGTGAGCCTGCTGACGTAGCTGGGAAAGCAGAAGGAGATGGTCCAAGTCCTTGGACCCCTGTTACCCACATGGGAGACCAGGAGGGAGTTGCTAACTCCCAGTGACGTTGGCTCGGCCCAGTCCCTGCTGCTGTGGCCACTGGGGAGAGAACTAACAGTTGGAAGGGATATTTCTCTGTCACTCCATCTTACCACTCTGCCTTTCAAATAAATAAAATATTTTTAAAAAATAAACTAGCATAGAAAAGAGTCCGTTATTGATACATATTTCAATTTTGATAGTTTGTTAATTGGAACAGCAAAGCAAACCTGTAAACACTGACTTCTGTATATAAGAAATGTTCTTAAGGACCTAGAAAAATTTCTCTGAAGGCATGGATCCTATTCTGTAATTAGCATACCCACAATATGAAATTGGACTTTTTAAAAAATTATTATTTGAGTATATGAGTCAAACTGAACTGAATCCAACTCGGTGCTTTCTGTTTCACTTCACTCAAGACTCCCCAGGTCCCTTGCGATACTTCCTTCATTTCAGACACAAACAGACCCAGGTGTGTGACCCAGGACATGGAGCAGGGTCCCTTTTCACACAGGGACCTGGGCTGCCCCCTCCTTGCCTAGGGAACACCAAAGGGTGGACCTGTAGACATTTTTTTATTGTTGAATTTTTTTAATCCTTCTTAGTAATTAAAAAGGAAATAAAACATTTAAAAGGTCTTGAAAGCGGTTAAACAATGCCCAGACTAACAGGTTTCCTGTCTTTTCTGAACAGCTGGATCCAAGCAAGCTTCTCCTATCCCCAGGAGTCACCGATGGAGGGGTCAAGTGCCCAAAGCCCTCCAAGGTAGTCCAGGAAAAGCAGGAAAGCATCTCCTCCTTTAGATGGGCCCCATGAGAGGTCTGAGCCAGTCCCTCTGGGGCGCCCAGAGACCAGCAGCCGGGCAGACACTGGTGGGACCTGCTGTCCACTCTGAGGTGTCCGTCCTTCTGTCATTCGGTGGCTGTGGTGATATTTCCTGTGGCACGTACTTTCCAACATTAGTCTGTAAGATGTGCCTGCAGAAAAAGATAATTATCTCCTTCTTCCTGTGGGTCAGTGTGCATGTCAGCATATTTAACCAGTGATCTGAAACATCCTGAGTTTTTTTTTTTTTTTCTTAAGCTACTGTGCTATACTGAAATAGGAAATCCTGAATTTATCATCCCAGGTACCTCTGTATTTATAGGATTCCTTTGATGGTCTCAAACAGAATGTACCTTGGGAAATCCTGTCCCTGCTTATGTGATGACAGTCAGATCCCCTCAAGGTCTCAAGCTCTTTTCCCTGTGTGTAAGTCCCAGGAATGTCATATGCATGGACAGAAAAGAGAATTGGACATTTATATATATGCTGCTAAGGCTGGCCTTGGTGGGGCATGAGTGATACCTCAGAATTTGGGGACCACCTTGGGACAAAGGGGTGTTTGGAATGTCCAGAAGGCAAAGTAGATATTGCAGGAGGAGCAGATGTATCATAGGCTGAGTCACCCAAAAGGCGTCAGGAGAAACCAGGGACATGTAGGAAAATCCCCGCTGCAGGCAGGGGCTGGGTGGCATGGGCCAAACAGGTGTTTCCAGTGTCAGTGATCAGCGCCTGACGTGCACATGACTCCAGAGTCACGTTTCACAAGCAGCTTGGAGTTCAGGGTGAGAAAGATGCCTCATTGCAGGGTGTGTGACTGTGACGACACCGGCCTGCATGGGCTGGTTGCCAGCTGACACCACAGGCTCTGGGAGTCAGCTTCACCCTGCAGCTTCCCCACAGCACTGTGCCTGCAGCTCAGGGTGGTCCATTTACAGAAAACATCACTGCTGGTGAATGCCATTCATAGGCTCTTGCTTTGACAGAAAGACTGGACTGCTGGCTGGCATTGCCCCATAGCTGCTTCCCTCCTTGTCTCCCACCACCGCCCTCTGTTCTTGCCGCAGGGCCTTTGCCCTTCTACTCCTTCCTCCTACACTGCCCCTCCTTCCTTGCACCTGCAGTTCTCAGTTCCCACATTGCTGTCTTCCAGGAGCCTTCCTGGCCCCACTCACCCAAATGCAGACCTCCCTCCAGTTTTCTCTCATGACACCTACCCAGGTCTTCTGCTCTGTGGCATGCAGCATGTGTGATATCAGCCCTGGGCTTATGTCTGTCTCCACTAAACAGTTCTGTGGAGGCAGTTGTCTGCCCTGCCCTGGGGCAAGGACACAGCAGGTGCTCAATAACTCATCACTGAGTGGGTGGGATGGCAGAGCATAGCACAGAGCAGGCTCCTCACCTTCACATGAGGGACAGGTCAAGACTACATTGTTCTTTGTTTGGGGTGGGGCTGCTCTGGGCATTACAAAATGGATGCCAGCACTTCTCAGTTGTGAAGAGCCCTAAGAGTCTCCAGATATTGCCAATGTCCCATAGGCTGAGGAGTCACTCCAACGCTGGTGTGCAGTTTAAGGCAGGGGCTGGTGCTGTGGTGTAGCAAGGAAAGCCACTACCTGCACTGCTGGCATTCCATGTGGTCCCCAGTTCAAGTCCCTGGTACTTCTCTTGTGACCCAGATGCAGAAGATTATAGCCCAAGTGTTTGGGCACCCAAGTGGGAGACATGGATGACTAGTACCTGGCTTTGGACTGGCGAAACTCTGACTGTTTTGGCTATTTGGGGAGTGAGTCAGTGGATGGAAGATCAACCATCTCCCTCTCTTTCTCTTTCTGTCTCTATCTTGTCCATCTCGTTATCTGTAACTTAATCAAGTAAATAAATAAATCCTTAAAAAAAAAGCTACTGCATATCCATGTACCAGCTGTTCAACCTTAGACAAATATCTGGACCTCTCTGCCTTTTGTGTCAACTTTAACATGGAGATATTAATTGCTCTCTTTAAATATATATATGCTTGAAAGAGTTATAGAGAAAGATGGAGAGAGAGATTAAGAGATCTTCTGGGCCTACCATGATGGTTCATTGGCTAAACCTTTCCCTTGCATGTGCCAGGATCGCATAGGGACACTGGTTTGCATCCCAGCTGCTT